TGGATTCTTAATTGCAAACTCAGCTCCATGTGTCAAAAGTCGTTGCATAATATAAGAACCGTTGGATGTAATCACAATTCTCATTTCCCTCCGAAAACAACCTAACAACGTCACACTTAACCCTTCATGTTGCACTATTCTCGTACACTGGAGTATCACTGGTCTACCAAAAAACCAGTGGAAATAACGGCTACCTTTGTGTCGTTAGTTTAAACTATTCGTGCATTTTCAAGGACATAAATTGTATGTTACTGTATATAATAATACACGTAAATTACTAATAATTCTATTCCCAAATCCAGTTTTTGGTTAGTAAGTTTCTGAGCGGGTAACCAAAACAACTAATTTTAGATCTTACCACAAATGAGGACGTTTTATTCTAGGATGTGCTCAAGATACGGGGTACCATGTTCTAGACGAATGTGAATGTGAAACGGTGGATTTTTACCTCCAAGCCCCCAGCCGCCTAGATATCACAATGATAAGCTAGTGAGAAAATGTAATCTAAATTGTTTATATTATTATAATAATATCCTATTAAAGACGGTAGTGGCTCAGTAAAAGTTGGTGTAAGTAAATAGCAATAAACTTAGAAAGAAAGAATTCCCAACACCAACTCATCAACCTGGAAATTCATGTTCTCAAGTGATCACATCACCACTACGACGTTGAATATCGAACCGAAGTGTCGATGTACATTTTCAGCCCAAATCAATCCTCCACCGAGCAGTCTTGATATATCGATAACGCAACAGATTTGTATTTCGGAGAGGGCATCGGTTCGAATCTCCGTCGGATTACTGGATCTGCTGACTGGGGCTTTCCATGGTTTCTCTCAGCTCTTAAGATAAATGCTGGAATAGTGCATTAAAATGCTACGGCCGTCTTCTTCCCAAATTATTACCTACTAATCATTCATGAGTATCTTCTCATAAGATTCGATGTCATATACATTCTATAGTGGGAAGAAGATGAGATTACGGGGCATGTAGCACGTATAGGAAAATGATATGTATACAAAATTTTAAGAACGTCCACTTAGGATAATATTTAAAAAATCTTAAAGAAATACGGTGCGATGTTGTGTACTGGATATATCTAGCTGAGGATAGGGTCTCGCAGGGGATCTTGTGGACACTACACAAATTTTATGGTTCAATAAAGGGCGAGGAAATACCTTCTCCCTGATGCCATTGCATGGAGGAAAATTTCCCGTTATTCTAGCTTCTCTCGTTTCCCAGGAGCCTTGTTTAGCGAATTGTATGTATAAGTTCGGAAGAGGCGCGAAGGATGTGAATCGGATTTATATTTTTAATAAAGCACAGGGACGATTATTTTATATCCTCACAATCATTATTCGATACTGGCAAACGAGCAGCGCCTATATCTAATAACGTAGACTGCCCGCTTGGTGCAAATGGCAGAGAAGTAGTCTAAAGAGTACGGCGAATCTAACATTCTAGGCCTTCGACGGCAGGAATGAAGAAATAGAACTGGAATATATTTTGAGAAGAACTTACAGCGCCTCCTTTCTCTCACAATCCGACGTTTGTATGACAAGGCTAGCAAGAACTATAATTAACAACAACATTATTAAACACATTTGTAATTGGAAATAAGAGTAACAAATCACAATTAAGAGTACATTCAAGAAGTTAAGATCGGAATTCTGTAAATGCGAGTTATATTTTAGTTCAGAATATTTTGTTTTTCAATTGCCTATCTACAGATACAAAGGCAAAATACTCAAAACCAGAATTTTACATTTTACTTTATATGCGTTTAGAACCAGATAATGAAGAGATTTATAATACGTAACCTTCACCAATTATTATTAGGGCTAACAAATCAAACAGAGAGGGTAACGATCAGCGCACGTAGAACGCAATGGAAAGACGAAAAATGTGTACAATATTTTGGTTGGTAGAAATCAAGAGGCCATTTGGGAGACATACGTTTATGTTGGCATGATATTAAAAATAATTTTTGAAGGCATACCGATAGTATATGAGGGTGTGGATTACTTCCCTCTCGCCCAGAACCGATTCCAGTAGTGGGTTCTTGTGAAGACGGGGATTAACCTTCAACGTTCATAAACGCTGGAAATTTTGTGATATTCAGGGCTTATACCAAAGACAGATTGTTCTACTAGCGGCCCAAACTGTTGGGGAAACTTACTGTAAAACGTCCACTTGAACACTAAAAAAAAAAGAGATGGGAAAATGACATTAAGGTGGATCTTAAGAACACAAGCTTAGAAACATTGAAACTTTGGGTTCTGTTATCACAGAGTTAATATCATCTATAGACGATATGTAGCGTTGAAATAATATTGAGAGTCTTGAAAAACTTGGGATAATGCATTTATGGCCCATTGGAAGGTAGTAAACCGGCATTCGGAAATGAATGACATCAATTCTCGTCTCAGCTACATAACAAGACTGACGCTATACACCCCTGAAGCTTGCAAGTTCTGTGACTTACATGAGTTGGATCAGTATGAACTTTTGGTGTATTAAAATAATACCCGTTTCTGAGCTTCCAATGCACACAAGTATCTCGCCTTTCTTCATACAGAACATTAACCCAGAAAAACACATCAAACAAGGTCAGATTCAGCATTTGTTGCTTAAGACTTTTTATTCGCCCTTTGTGTGATATCACTTTAAGTTAACAGCAAGTAAGCTTTATATAATTTATACTCTTCATCTAGCATTACTCATTTGAATCCATGAAGAATGCTGAGTTGGGTGGGACATGTAGTAACCACAGGAGAGATGAGAAATACATCAGGCATTTCAGTTCAAATATCTGAACATACAGTACCACTTGGAAAAAGTAGGCAGATAGGATAGTTTTAAAATGATCTTAAAGTATTTGTAGGTGTGGACTGGACTAAAGTGGCTAAGGATAGAGTACAGCACCAAGCTCTTGTGAACCTTCAGATTCCACAAATGTTGGAGAATTTCCTGACCAGCTGAATGACTCTTGGCGTCTAAGTATCCTGACGAATGGAGTCTGTGCAATAGTAATTTTTAACTTGCAACAGACACCCCACAGAAAAAGTCTTGAAAACCAGAAGTACCGTTTGTACTGCCTTAGAAGCAAAATATACCTCAGTCTTCCTCCACCTGCTGCAAAATTAGAAGCATCAGATCTATTTCCTGCCATATGCGGTGCATATATATTGATATTACATATGGAACTCGGTTTGATTTAATTATTTAACGTACACTGTCACAGTGTTCTCTTGTTGATATTAAGTGAACACTGGAGTTTTGGCAATCTTATTATTATTATTATTATTAGAGGGGGTGGGTTTCCCCATGCACTTAGACCAGTTATTGGTCCATTGTGCATCCCCCTTTAATTTCTTTCTACTGTCGCCATACCCTACCAGTACTGGTGCATGCTATCAGCCCCGGTCAGCCAACAAGGTCGGCCGTTGGTACCTGATATTTCCCCCATCTACCAGAGGCATTGGAAACTACTTGGGAGGGAAATTGNATATTGTTGCCTAATTTTGCTCAGAGGTCTCCTAGACACATGAGGGTCTTTCATGTGCCATAAATCTACGACACGGGACCCATGGCTTAAAGTCCCTCCTGGAGGACTTCTTCCCTGAATTTTTCCGCCCTTAAAAATTCCACGACCTCCACCGGGTGTGAACCCGCGTACCTTGAGTCGTGAGGTGGGAATGTTACCCCTAGACTACGGAGGCCACTTTTGGCAATCTTACTGTGGCTTATAAAATCATAATGGCATTACGAATCTGTATTTCAGAAAATGTTACATATGTTGACTACCACTTGAAGAGTTTTAAATTTTGAAGATTAACAGGTCAAATTCCTAGGTTTCATTTGGGACCTGGNGTCAGCCAACAAGGTCGGCCGTTGGTACCTGATATTTCCCCCATCTACCAGAGGCATTGGAAACTACTTGGGAGGGAAATTGCTGCCTAATTTTGCTCAGAGGTCTCCTATACACGAGGATCTTTTACGTGCCGTAAATCTATGACACGGGACCCACGGTTTAAAGTCCCTCCTGGAGGACTTGTTCCCTGCATTTTTCCGCCCTTAAAAATTCCACGACCTCCACCGAGTTTGAACCTTACCTTCAGTCATGAGGTGGGAATGTTACCCCTAGACTACGGAGGCCGCTTTTGGCAATCTTACTGTGGCTTATAAAATCATACTGGCATTACAAATCTGTATTTCAGAATATGTTACGTATGTTGACTATCACCTGAAGAGTTTTATATTTTGAAGATTAACAGGTCAAATTCCTAGGTTTCATTTGGGACCTGGTATACTGAATTACAACAATGATGCATCTGCTTAAAATAAAAGCATATTTCACTAACAATTACTTGATATGCCACATGAAAACATAAAAGTGCTTTAATTATCGAGTAATTTACTCATTTTCCTTTGAAGTAAACATTATATTCTAAAGAAAGATGCAATTTGAATGTGATATACTGTTAACATTAGTCTTACTGATTTTCTGAGCAAAACAGTATTCTGTTCAGTGACTTTAAATTCAATCAGCTTATTTTAAACCTTAAATGGGGGTTTCACTATAATGTGTTTGGAAGATGTCAACAGTAAATATTTTTTCCCATGTAAAATACGTTAAGATGTTTATAAAAGTATTAATAAAACAAGAGTCATATATTTGCTATATTTTGATTTTATATACAAAATACAACATTTTATGTACAAAATAACATCCTTAATTACATAAAAAGTATACCAATCTTTCTTGGGTGGACAGTTCCTATTCCCAATGATCTGTGTGTAAGAAATAATTTTTTTCTTCACTTTCTTGTGCTTTCCCTTCCCTGAAGTCAACAGCAGCACCTTACACCAGACACTCCTGCATCTATACTATCCACATATGTTCTTTACTTCATTGTAGCAGGAAACCCCAGAAACTCCAATGTTATTACAGACTGAAGCTGTACATGCATCCTTGTATGACACATGTTGCTCAGTTCCTTCAGCAGCAGAATAAATTATGATTAATGCAATGTGAGATTTCCAGATCACCAGAAGCTTTTAATTAGTTGCACAGTCTTCACTTCTAATCAGCCCCAATAATTGCATATTATTTTACAAGCATGCTATTTCCATTTCATATAGTAGAACATTCTCATTCCTTGCACTAAAAGTGCAGTACAAAGCAAAAGCTATTGGATCCTCAACAAAATTCTTCGCACTTATGTGATATGCTGTAATGCAAGCATTGTGCCTAAGCAGATGCCTTCCACTTCTGCAAGATATCAGCAGCTTGCTGGAGCTTCTCATCAGTCTCGTGATGCTATTTCAATGCTTCATACAGCACATAAAGTGAATTTAATGTTAATTCATGTGCTATTAGCAACTATTTAATTTACTTACAGTCATTCAAGGGGGGGTACATGGTAGCATAGTTAGTTGAGGCACTACGCTACAAACTGCAGGGTCACATGTTCGAGTCTCAATGAGGTAGATATTTTCAATCGATCTAATCCTCCCAGCTGCATTATGATCCTGGGGGTCGACTCAGCCTCTAACAGAAATGGGTACCACGAATCTTCCTGGGGGTAAAGGGCAGCCGGCACGTAAGGCTGACGTTACCACCATCTCTGAGCCGACTGTTTAGAGAAAATGTGGGAGCCTCGACATCTCATAAACCTATGGGCCTTCACGGCATGTTACAGGGATAGCTTTGTCTTTATTTTTTTTACACTCATACAAGTAATAAAGAAATTCCTATTTTATCAAACCCCTAAGGTTCATTACTGTGTTCATAAGAGCCAGATGAAACAAATCCATGCCTTCTCATCAAATTTCATAAAGATGTGTATTAATATTTTTCTCTCATATAAGCTACATCTCCTAAGTGCCCTCTTTTCTTCAGGTATTCTAATTAACGTGTACTTCATTTATCATCCGTCCCATGCAATTACATGCCCTGACCATTTCATCATCCTTGATCTGATCATCCAACAATATTTGGAGAACAAATTAGGACACCCCTTATCATGAAATTTTCTCCATCTTCCTGTTGTTTCCCTCACCTAGGTCCAAATATTATGTTCAGAAAGGCCTCCAATCACACTTAATTTAATAAGAAGGCTTCGCCCCCCTCATCCCCCATCTGCCATGTTCATCCCTTAGGGTTAAAGACAAAGTTTGACACTCACACCACACACACTAATAAAATGCTTTACTGTGGCATCTTAATGTCAATTCTTACAATTTATGGTTAAAAATCTGTTGTCCCTGGCAAAACCTCAAATGAGAATTTCCTTGCATACAACCTCAATTTCAGTTTCTTCATACCAGCATTTCTATAAATTATGATTTTATGAAACTTTATGAGATTACCTTGTCTGTACTGTAACAACAATTTCTTACAAGTCGGATTATGATCATCAAGGAATAAAACCATTTTACCAACTCCACAGTCATTTCAAACATAAACACTAACTGATTATGAATATAACATAAACTTCTTCCATACCTTGATGAAACAGTAGCGCACAGAGGTCTCAACTAAAGATTTATGTGGCTCACTGTAGAATGCTGAAGGGGGGATACCTTGAAGCTTAACATTTTTAGACATCCATTTTGTGAAGCGATAATCTTTTAATTCATCTGTCTCTTGTTCAAGATTAACCTTGTCTCCTGAAAGGCAAATAATGTCTCTGATCATACATAAACTAGAAATGTAGCACCAAAACCTGTGAAACAAGCAAGGTGAAACATAATTCATATGTGTAGGTATATTTCTGAAAGTCAGTGATTAAATATATATATACATCTGAAATTATGTGAATGTTGTACCCAATCATGACTGATAAAATCATGGTGCTTGGGTGAATTTTAGGATGAGTGGCAGTTTAAAGAAACCTTTTCTATTTTAACTATTTTAGTGTGTTTATATTATAATTATGTCAATTAGAATTTATGCTAAATTAAACAATTAGATAAATTAATAATATGCAACAATAAAAAGAATATAAAAATAAACAAAAAATTAATAATAAACAATAATAACAAAATATGAATACTCTCTCATTTGCTCCTAATTAGTTTTCACTGTCTTTTGATTGGAAATAATATTTTGACACAAACATGGCCACTCAATCTACACAGCACACTAAACAACAATCTGTGAACAAATATTTTTTTGGTCAGATTATTTTGCCACAACTGAGATGTTTAACTTTGGTACAACAACAGTGTATCAGGTGCACATTATGTAACATGTTGTCATGACTGAACATTATTATATTAGACTACTAACCTAGTGCCGACCAGTCAGCTACCATAAAATATCCCCCTTCTGGAATGGTAGGAACCATTCCAACGTCTGACAGGAACTTGGCCATGAAATCACGTTTTGCTTCTAGTTCCCTTGGAAGACTCAGGAAATAGCTCTCAGGTTGTCCTAGTCGCCCCAATTCCAACTCAAATCCTTGAGCTACTGCCTCCTGCAATATATTGGATGACTTTTACTCCTTCTTACCAGGACATTCTTGTGTATTTGCTAGGCTCTTATAAAACATGAACAACACTGTCACACAGGATTCAAGCATTAATTAATAAATACTGCTGATAATCATTAACAAACCTGACAAATTTTTGGAATACAGAATCAATATGAAACTTTTGTGAAACTGGAAAAAGATGTCACTGACATTTATAAAACGTTACACTGAGACTATGAGATCAAGTGCAGAATACAGGTTTCTTGATGGGTTAAGCAATTTTAAGATAGAGGAAGATGCATAAATATTGAAAGATTTGGTTGTCAAGACAATTCCAAAAGAACTGATCCAAATGTGTATAAAGTGACTGATATGGTGAGAAATGATCATCAGCAGACTGTTTAGAAGACAGCAAAAGAAATAAACAAGTACACAGAAACTGTAAAACTGATTTGCTAAAAGACCTGATGACAAAGGTCATCTATGCTAAATAAGTATAAAAAATCTAAAGGGAAAGTGGGGGGGGAATAGTTTTTTTTTCAGCAGAACTGTTCGAATAATGTAACCTCTTGGGAAAGGATAAAAAATAACTGGTGTCTTCCTGAATGACCCAAGACAGAATGCCAAAGGAAAAGCCAAGCCTACAAGAATAAAAAGCATAAATACAGAAAATAAATGTCAAAATCTTGTGGATCAACTTTGTTAATGCCAAACGAATTATCCAATATGAATTTAATCCTCATTGGCAATTCACTCATTAAAATATATTAAATCACAAAAATGGATTTTGCATATGCCAATCTGCCATCCCACACAGCACTTTTGGTAAACCAGTTTTTGAGCCAACAAAATTTGAAATATCCAACATACTTGCCAAATTGGGCCCTGTGTGACTTCTGTATCTTCAAAACTAAAAATATCCTTGAAAAGGTCTTATTTTAAATCACTTAAAGACTGTCACACTAATGTGATTATAGTATTAAAAGAATTTTTGGAAACTTATTTCTGAATATGTTTCTACAGATGGCAGGAAGGCAGAGACTGCAAACAATTTAAAGGCAAAAAAAAAAAAAATTACTAAATGCTAGTGATAATACACACACACACACACACACACACACATGTGCATGCACCCACATTAACACACACACCTACACAGGGATGCTGGAGACACCATTTTCAGCAGCTACCATAATATAATGCAAGGAAAGTGGCTCTACTGAAAATAGCTTTGAATATGGCACTCCAACTAGACCCATTCAGTAGCAAGTTGAACTCTTACTGGAAAATGATGCCCACTAACCAGTATCCCACTCTATGAACAAGCAGGACTTAAGAACTCTAGGATATGACAGTAAGAAGAGTTTAAGTAAAGGAGTGAACATCTCTGAATATGTGTGTGTATGTATCTTTGTGGAATCAGCCTGGTATTTGTCTGATCTCATACAATATTGTGATGCGGACGGGGCAATGCTCAGTAAACACACCCCCCCCTCCATTGTGATATATCAGCATCGGAGCAACTGCTACAGTAACAGGCCAGTCAACATTTAGTCCCCCCCCCCCTCCCCTGTGGTGATGTAACAGGGGACACCACTGTTAACACTAGGCAACAGGGAACAGTATAAAAAGCTGGCTGAGCAGTATGTGAGCAGGAGTGACACAGTGTGGACCGTGAAGTCGCCAAGTGCAGCAGAAGTCTAGCAGTCTCCGAGAGCAGTGGATGTAATTGTGATACTGCTGATGGCAGTAATTGTATAATTGTGAACTGTGTCAGTGTAAGAGCGAATGTGGAACAAATTCGCTATATCCAATACGGCATGAAGTTATTTGTCACGTTATACACCCGACACGTGACAGTATCTTCAACACTGAGTGGCTAACCATAGTTGATGTCCGTTTAAAACCAACCTGCATATCTAGCCAAAATGGTTACTTAGAAATTTTCTGACAATTATACAACTGTTTAACCAAAATGTTATAATGAGTACAATAATCTGGCTTGTAATGACATGTAATCTGGAGGGGACCCAATGTTTTGGAGGAACACATCACCTTTATCTTGAGGGTCACGATGTAAGTCAAGCAAAAAACCAGCAAAAGCAGGCAGCAAGCAAAACTCAGTCACTGTCATGATATCCTAAAATTCAGTGCAGAAAAGGATATATTTACAAAAACTCAATCATATTACAGAACACAGATTTTAAAGCTCTGAACCTACAAAAGGCATATACCTGAATTGGTGTGCTGCAAGTGTACACACAGTTCTGATGAACAGTCTGTAAGTTCTTTATCAGTTTAGCAGGGCCATATGCCCAGCCAATTTTCCACCCTGTCACACTAAATGTTTTTCCTGCAGATCCAATAGTAATTGTCCTTTCCCACATACCAGGCAAAGTGGCTGTAATAAAATGTAAAATTGTATACATATAATTTTTAAATGATTTATTGAATAATATGATCAGTCACCTGTGACCAGATGTTTTGTCCCCCTATTAGAGATCTTTTCAACATGTCATTAGAGGATCATGAAACCTTGGAAGTATAAACAAGAATGCTGAAATTAGTCAGATGCATAAAAGAGCGTTCTCTCTCACATATTTTTTTCCCCAAATATTTATACAATGATGGTACTGAAAAACAACAATGGATAAATAAATAAATACCATTTTATTTATTATGTAAAATTACAAAATGCAAATATTCAAGAAATTATGTCAAAAGAGGAGCTTCATAATTTGCGATTCATCATCATACAGTAGAAACATATAGCTATCCTACCATACAGAAACAGTCTCCTAGCAACTAACTGACAGGTTAATCAACCTATCATCTGAGAATAGGGAATTTCAAAAACCCTTATCAGTATGAGGCCAGCAGTTAACTCAGGAATAAGAGGATTAGCAGTGCCTTAATTTCTAAAAACATGTATGCCATTGCTCTTAATCTCTTGTATTGGTCTCAAGGTCAGAAAACATTACACCCTGGCAGATCTGCAACTTCTGATTTTCAACAAGCTTGCTGGTAGGCATCAACTGTTTGCTGGCACAAGTAATGGAGCTGAAAAAGGTGCCAGGGATCAGTACTAAAAATGCAATGCTGGGCCACCTAGACCATGAGTATGCACTGTTACAATAGTGCAATACATGTCAATATAGGTTAATAACACTCTGCAATGCATAACACAGGAGAACACACAAACCAGCCACTGCTACACATAAGGAAACAGAATGTAAACCAATGTGATAGCAAGGATTACCTCCACTGTTAGCTATGGAGGTCTGTTGAATATGAGATTCTCAGAGCAGAAACTATTAAAAATATAGTCTTCTGGGTTGTAAGACCATGCAATCTGGAGAAAGCTCAGCTACTGCCTGCTTGTGCTGGTTTCTTGCTTCGTTAACTTTTGACCTTGAAGATGGAGGCAGTATGTCCCTTCAAACTGCTTGGCTGTGTCTGAACTATACAGAATTACACCTCAGAAGTGCATACTCTTTATGAAGGTCTTACTGCATCAAAATTGACAGCAAACTATCAGGGTTGGAAAGGAAGCAGTTGTTGCCTATTTCATGGTAACACACAGATTGTAGAAAAGTGTTTGCAAACTATTCAGAAAACTACAATTGTAAAGAGCATTACAATTGAAAATTGTGAGAGGATTTTAAAATTCAGTTGACAACATTTTTATTGCAAAACTCTTTTTATACATGTGATGAATTCTTTAGTAACAAATTTGCCTAGCAATAAGGATAATAGCATAAATAGTTTTAATATTGCATAATTTTATGTATAGTGATGTAAGACTGTAAATTTAACACATGTTTTTTATCTATTATAATGATTATAAGCTGTACACATATATTTATAATTGTATTGTACCATATTAACTATGTGACTGATTCTATATCTATGTATATGGATTTATGGAATATACAATAAATGAATGAATGAATCATATACCCTACCATCAACACAAAAACATCAATGCAGCCACTCAGCAAATCTGTGAAATATTAGCATTTATTACGAGTATTATGTTTTTGGACAATATATATCATCTGGTCTATTTAAAAAAAACGCCATGTTTCTTTTTAAAACACGTTTCAGAGACTGGATTCTGTCTCCATCCTCGGGTAAAACCTACTCAGTTGGATCCAATAGATAGAGCTAGCCCCTATCTCCAGACCCAGACAGACAGGGGCCAACTCTATCTATTGGACCAAACTGAGTAGCTTTTACCTGAGGATGGGGACAGAATACAGTCTCCAAAACACTGTTTCAAAAAAGAAACAGGACGGTTTTTTAAAAAATTGACAAGATGATGGATAATGTCCAAAAACATAATACAGTAGAACTTGGTTATAACGTCATCAAAGGGACCTAAAAATAGTGTCGTTATAAACGAATGTCGTTGTAACCGAAATGGGCACTTCCACAGTAGCCTTATGTTAGTCACGTAAAAATCTACCAAAAACTGAGTTAAAATGTTGCATTTTTTAGTGAAATACGTAGTTAAGTACAGACTAACGTAACATTAACGTGGAATTGCCCAAATGTGTAATATCAAAGACATATTACAGCGCTTTTCACTGACAATACACACCGCACTAATACTGTATATTAAAGGTAGGCCTACTCACCAAATTACAGTAGATTACATCAATTGTTGTGCCTTACTGTACCTAGATACGAGTACAGTAATCAGTTATCTTCATCTGTTTCCTGTTACTTGCCCAATACACACTTTCTAAATTACGTTCAATGTCCATATCAGAGAAATTCAGGAATGAAAATGACGTTACATACGAGGTTGATGCATTTGTGCATGTCGTACTAAGCAAGGTATAAAAACAGTTGCTTTATGAGGAATTAGTTCGTACCATTGAATATTTGACGCAATAGACAAGGTGTCGCAGAAACCGATGTTGCTATAAGCAAGTTCTACTGTACTTGTAGCAATATACTATCGTCACAAACTTTTAGATCTTGTTAGCATTTATTACTCTCAAACTGTTTTGAACTTGTTGAACTTGGGAATAAGACAGTCATAAAAAAACTTGTATCTAAAACTGTAAGTCAGAAAGAAAAATGGAAGAACTTTTCCAACAAAAGTATGGAAGTTGTGTATCAACGATTACTTACCAATGCGTATATGTTTGCAAGGTTTGTACACTAGCCACTCATACACCTCATCAGAAATACATAGTACATTCCACTTTTTGCACAAATCTGCAATAAGCTCAAGCTCCTTCTGAGTGAACACTTTTCCAATCGGGTTGTGTGGAGTGTTGAGAATTATGGCTTTGGTTCTGGAATTGAAGAGATTTGTCAGCTCTGTTGGGTCAAGTACCCAGTCACTTGACATAATTTTCCCACTAGTTTTGTTCTGTAATACAAATTAATTGTATGCAAGTTAAAGATATCTCTCTGTAAATAAAATCATCATGGTGCTGCATGACATTACGGTAATACAGTGCACTGACAGGGTGAAGCATGCACTAATTGCAAGTAATATCAATTCTGAATATGCCAGAAACAGGCCTTCTTTCATTAGCTGTTATCATTTTAATGAAAAAGGGATTCTTCAAACCTGTGTTTTATACTTTTCAGTACTGAATGTTATGACTGGATTGTATGCTAAGCAAAGCCCCTGATATCCTAAACATGCATTTTGAAAAGGTGAGCTTTTTATTTCAGTAATTTAAAGATATTATTATTATTATTATTTGGAGGGGGTGGGTTACCCCATGCACTGCGACCATTTACTGATCTATTGTCCCCCCTTTTTTTAATTATTCTAACTAGTCGCCATGCCCTTCCAGTACTGGTGCTCGCTATCAGCCCCATTCTGCTAGCGAGGTTGGCCCTATCCGGTAGTGGTCCCCGATACTTCCCCATCTACCGGAGGAATTGGAAACTACTTGGGCAGGAAACTGCCATGCCGTAAATCTACGACATGGGACACATGGCTTAAAGTCCCTCCCGGCGGACTTGTTCCCTGAATTTTTCTGCCTTTAAAAATTCCACGACCTCTGCCAAGTTTGAACCCACGTACCTTGAGCCATGAGGTGGGAACGTTACCCCTAGACTATGGAGGCCACTAATTTAAAGACAAGTAAATGTACAAAACAAAAGTGTAAGCGGCATACTGTGAAAACAATACAGCTGAGGTTTTACTCAGTACAGAAAAATAAACAATGGAGAGCAAAAATAGTTGTCTCTGTGGCTGTGCCATAGCTCAGGCAGTTCATCACAGGCTTCACACTGCAGCCACCCTCGTTCGATGCCACGTCAGGTCATGTGGGATTTGTGAACAAAATGGCACTGGGGCAGGTTTTCTCCAAGTACTTCAGTTTACCCTGCCAATTCTCATTCCACTGACTGCTTCACACTCACTGGGCATAGTACAACAGTCCAAATAGTGACTAATGCACCAATTGGACTAAATGTCACCCTACCCCAAAAAACCAATTATCTCTGTGCTTATACATGAGATAAAAGACGAATAGCTTCATAAATTCTTAACTTCCACACTGAGGTGGTGACTAGTCAGCTTCCAGTTCCAGCTGCCTTATCCCCAGGGAGATACTTTTTTATCCATCTGAACAGAGGGTGAGTGGACCCCAGAACAATTCTGAATGCTGTGGATATGAGAAAATTCTCTGAACCCAGCCAGGAATCACCCCCAATTTTTTAGTTCTCCAATACATAGCCTACTTACTATATCAACTGAGCTATATCACCTCTTAAGATCAAGAAGGGATAAAATCCAATCAGTACATTAGGCAGAAAAGCAGAAACACTGTAAGAAAAGTTAGCAAAATTAAGGATATGGTACTATGTTTCCTACACACCTTCAGAAATGATAATGTTCAATAAATGACAGTGGAGCAGACCAGACATTTTACAATACAAAAGTGAAATGTTCCCAAGAACATGGCCATCGAAGCTTAATATGGAATTTGGTTCATTAAGATACCTAAACTGAGATGTGGTTTTGCAGTCAGCATCCCTACTTCATATCTCTGAGATGTATAGTTCAAATTCAGGTAACATGAAGGGTCTGTTATGGTTTTCCTCTTTCCTTCAGGAGATCATTAGGACAGCACATGACCACTTCCTAATGTATTGTCCATAATCCTCATATCATCTGACATCAGACACTTTGTAACCTATATGTTTAGGTTAGCCATCACCACAACAAAGTGATTTATAATGAATCAATATTTTACAATTGAATATTTATTTCCTGCTACATGTTTATGTTTGAGACACACAACAGGATGCACACTATGAAGACTGTGTAACCTCCTGAGCTGATGCAATATCATTAAACAAACCATGAATCAATCAAGAGATCAACTGATATACTTCCCCTCTTCCTCTGTAGCGGAACGCATATTACTATACTTACCAGTCTAAGAGGTATAAAGCGAGGAATTCCTCCTGCTGCTCGTACCATAGGGTCATAGCAATCAAAAAAAGGTTCAATGATTATAACTTCATCTCCTGGATTAGTATGACCAGAAATTGTACTAAACAGTGCTTCATAAGCTCCTGCTGTGACAAGGATTTCAGTCTGTGAACTAATTTTACGGTCAAGAAGTTGAGAATACAGCTTACTTAGGGCACTAACAAGCCGAGGATGTCCCTGAAAAACGAAAAGTGCATGTTATGGCCAAAGACTAAAATCACATGTTACCAACACTGACTGCCTATTTTCAACAACCCGAAGCTTTACATAATATCATGAAGGGGCAGTCATTGTCAGGAATGTCCAATGCCTCTGGCCAATGACCACAAAAATAGTACTTTAACAGCAATGGCCTATCACTGTCAACAGTGCCCAAGAGCAAATGGTTAATGATGAACTCATGAAATAAAATTCGATGAGGTGTAATTTTCACGAGAAATAAATTAAAATAAAATTAACAGAGGCAATCACAATTTATTTTACACAAGGAATTAAGTGACAGTACCATTTCTGAACAAAGATAAGAGGCAAAAATACAGTCTTATAAGGAAACCACAATCAATTTTACAGAATAAAAACCCAAAGTTATAGTAATTTTGATATAAAAAGGACAGACAAGAAAACAATGGCTGAGGATAACCTGGAACTGTCAACATCAGAACGTCGATATCTGAAATTATCCATTATAACACCATGAAATAGGCAATGGCCAACAATGGAAGCCACTGTGGACAACAATCTGCCAATGACAATAGTGCTCAAGGGGAGCGGTCACTGCTTACATTGGCTGGGTGATATAACACCTTCTGAACCTTCTTTGACAAAACATATTCATACACTTGTGCCACAGTATAATTGTATTTACTTACATATTTTATGAACGGTTACACTCCAAATTATATTTCACATAGTTATTTAATTAATGCCCAGCAGCATAGTCATGTAGAATATTCTTTAATTTCTTACAACAAATTTATGCATACTATATTTTTAAGTAGAGCTGCAATCTTTCTTCTTTACTGGGTCAAACATATATCAAAATATTCTGTTCTTGTCAAACATCTTGCTGGTTTGTGAACGTTACCTATAATACAAAATCCTTTCATCTATCCAGTTTTTCCCTTCACTTCTGTCTCTGGTCTCAATGGTAGGCAACACATGCTTTCACCGTAGTGCATAAATGTCTATGTATATCACTGTATCAATAATTGGTAAGAATTTCAAGCATAAAGCAATCACTATATGATGCCATGGCAGTAAATAGAAAAGATGTGTGATGTCACATCCTTTTATGTCTAGAATACAAATTTAATGAAAGTAGAATAATTCAGTGCAAACAACAGACAAAATGAATGTTACATCAGATATATTCAATTTACAACACAAAATACAAATATTTATATTCATAATTTCATTTGTAAAAACATAAATGGCACACAAAATTTAAGATTAAGAATTTTAGGAACCTTATATTGTTTTTAAACCTCAGTTTCTTCTACAAAGTACACTTAATAACATAAACATTTTAAGTAATATATATAATTTCTTTCCAATACCACGTTTAGGAGACATAAGTTACAGTGTGAGACAGACAGGTGTAGCCTATTATGAGTATACAAATTGATTACTATTCTGATACCATATCCCACCAGTTTCATGACAGTAATATGTAGAAAGTGTGTGGTACAGAAATTTGATTTCAAATTAACCGTTTTGAAACAGTCTCAACTGAATAAGATCTGTAGAAACAGGACTTACAAAACCTCGAGTATACTGATTCAGGAGCACATTTTCACCCGTTGCTACCTCTGATAAAGCTTTGGTAACATAATCTGGAGCTGCGAAATCTGGGAAACCTTGTCCCAAATTTAGGGGCTTATAGTCCAGAGCCAATTGGATATATTCCACCCTGCAATGCAAGTATATGAAATTGGGTGATATCTGTACACTATCTGATAAAATTCAAGAAGTACTTAAATGGAAGAGACCTGGCCTTATGAACCAACAAGTCCCCAATATTATGACTTTTAATAGTTTGTTACAAGATGTGAATAATTCTACAAATTAGTTACAAACTGCAAATATACAACTAAAGCTGTGATCATGCATCACTACATCAATACACTGTATTATAACATGGCAACCATGTAGATATCTTGCCCAAGAGTTGGATTTTATTAAAAAAAAAATTCACATCTGTTTGCTTATACTTAAGAAGATATAGTCACTGCATTCACCTGTCACATTGTAAATCTTCAGAGAATACTGCAGTACGTAAGTAAAGAGAAGTATGAGATTATGCAAGATTTTAATTTTAACACAAGAGATTCTTGCAAGATGTATATATTATGTAACAGTGTTGATGATCTTTGCAGAGTTATTCAACAAACTACTGCAAAAGCAACAAAAGTATGAAAAAAAAAAAAACATGAGAAAAGGAAGGATGGAAACACATGAAAACAAGAGGAGGGAACATAAAGAAAACAGAAAACTTCCACTTCTCATCACCATGTCATGAAAATATTTAGCTCAAGTTTGTCTCAGAGGTTACTGAATGACACTTTCAATATTGAGAATACATATGTATACCCCACCAACTTTGGGAACAAGGTTGCGTCATCTTCAATTGATGACGTAGAACCTTATGTCATCACCAGACAGCTACCAGATTCTATTTTCAACATACTTGCAGTATTAACATGCCAGTGGGAAATTTAGACATATTTACATAAGACTTTTCTTTCCCAGTGTTGCATACACAACGTAGTATGATGAACCCTGGTTCATACAGTGGTTCGACTACAGCATAGGATGATAGGACAACTGATTAAATGGAAAGAATATGATTATGACCCAATTGAGATATTATCCCACAATTTTCCTGGAGGGGCTGAGGAAAACCACAAGAAACCTAAGTCAGGATAGCCGGTGTCCTGGCCTACATTCTGACTGAGCACCTACTGAGGCCAATCTGTTTGGTGAATTTCTGTCTCATGACTTGAGTCATAAATAAATGAGTGGTTACTGTGAACTACTTTTTGAAATTGGGATTCCAATATAAAGAGGTCTTACTGCAGTATGTAATGAGATGCATGATGATAGATGATATCAGATACACCTAAAGTGACATCAAAAGTTATGGAGCAGTATATTTACTTCAGTCGTTGATGATCTTATTGCATTGCATGTTGTTTCATAAATTGCCCAAACTGATCACAAGGATATACATAACAAAGAACTTTGATATTATTAGGATAGAGAATTAGCAGAGGCTGCAATGGATTGGACTTACAATGGGGGAAATAACAAATGCACACATACACATACATATATATATGTTTATTTTTTCCATAAATCCATATTTAATGACAAGAGTCCTCTTGAAAGACTAAGAAAGAAGTTGATAGGGCAATATTACAATGAATGTTAGAGAGATGGGTTCTGAGGATTGGAGGTAGACAAAACTGGTTTAGGATTATGTACAGGAGGAGGCTTCAGTATTAGTGGTGTTGCACCTTTGGTTTCTGCTAACAAAGTGCTAGTTCAGATTGAAATTATAAAGAGTAATTGAAGACAGTAGATTTACATACCAGACACTTTTTTCAGAACCATGATATCTTGAAGGCAAATCAAATTTATCACTCATTGTTGAAAGCAGGACTTGATGTGAAACTGGAAGAGCAGGCAAAGTATTCACTGCAGGTCTAGGCCTACACAAATGTCTGCAGACTGGACCAAAATATTTTAACATCTAAAACAAACGAATAAATATACGTAAGAATAAAATTCAAAAGTTCACAACTCTGATATATTACTACAATTATTGACTTTCTGGACCTTACCTGACAGCAGGGATAGCTCAATCAGTATAGTGACAGGGCATGGACTGGATAGTTGAGGTTCAATTCCTGGTAGGGGAAAGATCTTTCTCTTCTCCACAGTGTCCAAACAGGCTCTGAGGCCCACGCATCATTTTACCTCATGGGTACTACAGGCCCTTTCCCCAGGGGAAAAAAGCAGCCAGGGTGAAGCTGGACACTCACCTCCATCTAGTACCGAGGTTAAGAATGATGGAAATATGCCTTCACTCCCCCGTATGTCTTCATGGCACAGTGCTTAATTAATTACGTACATGGACAACATTATCCTTTTATCTTTGATAGACTTGAATGGATTCTGACAATGGTGTATACTGTACTTCTTTTGGTTTATTTTGGACTTCATTCATTGTCCAGCATGTAAAAGACAAAAGACTACGACGTTTCGGAGACTGGATCTGTCTCCGTCTTCAGGTGGGTAGGGAAGGATAAACCTACTCAGTTGGGCCCATGATTGAGACTAGCTCTTTCTAACGGGCACAACTGAGTAGGTTTATCCTTCCCTACCCACCTGAAGACGGAGACAGATCCAGTCTCCAAAACATCGTGGTCTTTTGTCTTTTACATACTAGACAATGGATGAAGTCCAAAATAAGCCAAAAGAAGTACCTTTTATCTTTACCTTACTAGGACATTATACGTAAAAAAACAGGATTGAATAATGCCCCAAAACTTAATAATTGTACTGGAGTAAATATCATCTTCCAAACTTAAGGTGAAGCTTCAATCTCATTAATGTAATCAATGCTCAGTCATTATTGAGCATAAATTATGACTGACCTACACATGAAACCATAAAGACATCCAGTTACAAAAACCAGAGGCACACTGGAAAGATTCACATCTAATGTAGAAAAAGTGGTTCTAAAGAAACTGATCTTTCATATTTATGAGCAACTTATTCATAAGCCAACTGCAATTCAGAGGATTCTAAACAAAAACTGACACATTATAACATTTACTGGGCCAGTCTGAGACCAGAAGTATTTAGCACAGACTAACAATTTATTCAATACATCTAACTTAAGGATGAAAAACATTCCTATAATTTGGCAAACTTATAATTATTAAGGAATGGAATACATGAATACTAGACAAAAATATAAGTTCCACCTACCCTCATCAACTTTATCAGTATATCAAAAAGGAGTCTACTTTACTGGCATTAAAGTGTTCAACAATCTGCCACAAAGTATTAAAAACTTGGGCAATGATACTAAAAAGTTTAAATCAGAGTTAAAGAATTATCTACATGCTCATTCCTTCTACTCTTTAGATGAATACTTCAATGTAAATAGAGAATGATGTAAAATTAAGTTATATTAATTTTTAAGCTAAAATTGCCTGTACTTATGTATGTAACCTTTTGACTTGTTCTGTATCCAAAGGTACTAACCTGTTTAGGATTTATAGAATGTAAATAAATTCAATTCAATTCAATACATGTCTTTATATCCCACAACACACAACTCTTTTTGAATATTGGTTGGTCAGTCATTTTGCAATGTTCTATTAACCCTTGTACTACACTTTACGAGGCACATTACATGCAGCTGGAATCATATTTAACTAGCCACAAGACATGCTTATGTTCAAATGGGCAATGATCCGAATAATATACACTTTGTTTAAGCTAGGCAATACTGAATAAAATATGGTAGGCCGATTATGAATAACTTATTGAGAGATATATAAGAGCAAGTGGCCATGCCATATTTGATGGCATTATCTTGAAGGGACTGAGAAAACCTATTAAACACCATCAAGAAATAAATCTAACTTGGAATCTCTCTGGAGATAAACCACCAGATAAAGTCTGGTATTTTACACACAATTAAAAGAACGCGGAAAGAAATCCTGTTGGGAATCAACAGAAACGTCTGAAAACTCAGATTCAGAAAGAAGTTCACTAATTTCGGCTAAATTTACGCCATAGAGCCTTTCATGCCTTCCGAACCGCAATACCGAATTAGGAAAACAAACCAGGATATTGTACTAACACTACATTCTCATATTTCGATGGACAAACATTTATCACTAAAACAATGGTAGATCTTACGTAACGCAAATCCGCTGAAATGTGTATTTGAGCAGTTATATCTTCGGACTCGAGTGTTCTTAAACTTCAACTTTTCATGCAGTCATTCGGAACCCTTCAGTACCTTCTCTAAGCAAGTACCGCAATTACAAAGTACAACCCGGTACGCACATTGACCACACGATTCTTTTACTTCCTGCTTTCCTCAACGCTGTTACATGCAACTACAATAACCGGAGCGAACAGCAGAACAGGAACGGCCTGAGAACTGACACCGACATAGCCGATATAGCAGACCCAGCCTTACAGAGCTTACGTTGGCTCTATTCTCTGCCAATCCCTGTACTCTCTGTCCTCTCTGTCGCTCTCTGTAATCCCTGCAAGTATGAAACCTACGAAATTTCCAATAGTGTTATCGATATCAAATATTCAATAATGTTATCGATATTCGTAGTTACATAGAGATGCACAGTTTCATCAAATTCACGTTAAATATCAAAGGCAACAGTTTAATCGAATTCACATTCAATATCACAGGCAACATCGATAGCTTTTCATATCGAATACCCTTTCAGTAGCTGATTGTTATTACCAAATTTACATTTCAATAGCTCGTTTGGGTTTGTGTGTGTCTCACGAAAGGAGTCGAATAGCACGGGCGCGGAATGGGTCAAACGGGTCAGACGCATGAGAATGTTCACAAGTCCGATTGAGGCATTATAGCGAGCAGTTAAGGGGTTTAATGGACCGCACAATCGAGGAATCAAAGTTCAATACCTGGCACGGGGGTCAAGAGATCCCCCCCCCTTCCCATATGGTCCAGATCGGTCCAGATCAGCCCTGGGGCCCACCTAAGCTGTTATGCAGTGGATGATGGTAGCTGATTCGTCGGGGCTCAAGCAGTAGGGCCGTGAAGCTAACCGCTCACCTCCAGCTAATGCCAAGATTAAGAATTGTGGAGGTACACCTCCACTTCCCCATACGTCTTCTTGGCGTGGAGCTGAATGAATTATGACCAGAGATCACGTTTCCGGTCCCATGAGAGGTTCCTGTAAATAGGGACAAGCAATAATTATAAACTCAAAATAACTCATAGTTATAAAGTTATTATGAATTATTACGAATATTTTAAATGTTTATAAACGCGATGCTCTCCCAGTTATTAGTGCTGTGAGGACTAAAATTTTAATTATTGTTAGTAGTTTAACAATTGCTTTGATATTGGTCGTAAAGCGTTAGTTGACTTCTGCAACCACCAGTAGGCGCTATATTTGAATGGTATAGGCACAAAATTCAGAAGCGATCGATATGCAGGTGGTTTGATTAGATGTCTGGGAAGGCGGGCATGACGTGGGTATGTGCTTATAATTGTGCCATATAATATATATAATGGTATATATTCTTATATCAATTGTTGAGATTAAGTAACTTGAACGTGTTAAAGCTATTGTGTCTGTTCACCGTATGATATAATCTTGAGTGAGTCTATGTGATAGGAAGCCGGAAAATTAATTGATAGAAGTGTTTGAAAGCTCTACAGTTTGCAACGCATTTCACAGCCATAAGCAGTGAAGTCTGTTAGGTTATGATCAACACCAAAGAGTGGTTTCTGTTTTCAGAAATTGGGAGTATGCTTTTTGATAACTACTCTTCAGATACTCGAGAGTTGCAGTGCAGTTGTGGATGATAGTAATGATGACAATGTTTTACATATAGGAGGTATATTTCCTATAGGAGGGAAAGGTGGCTGGCAGGGTGGACAGGTAAGTTTTCGTTTTGACGTTATTTTACTAAGTATTTCTATTAAGCAAAGTCCTTGAGAAGCTGTCAGTTGCTCAGCTATTCAGGACTGCCAAAACATGTTATGGAACCAGAAGGTTCTTTGCCATGTTCACAAGAGCTGTGCACTGTACCCTATCCTGAGCTAGATCAACCTAGGCCATACCATCATATCCAATTTCTCAGAGATCCATCTTAATATGATCCACTTACATTTAGGTCTTCCTAGTCGCCTCTTTCCTTCTGGCTTTTCCACCAAAGCTATATATACATTCCTCTTCTTACCTATGTGTGTTATATGCCTTTCCCACATCATCATCCTTGACCATTCTAATTATATTTGGCAGAGTACAAGTTATGAAACTCCTCATTATGCAGTCTTTTCAACCTCCTATTATTTTTCCCTATTTAGTTCATATAGTTTCCTCAGTGCCCTGCTCTCAAATATCTTCAGTCTATGGTCTTTCTTAATGTCAGAGACCAAGTTTCACACTAAGGTTTTACACAGCAGATGAAAAGATGAAAGATTTTGAACTGAATGGTAGCAAGCATTAACTGAATTTACAAAAATGCAATTGCTCTAGGGAAGTGAAAAGTACTATCTTCAGGGATGAAATGCTGTGCAGTCTGGTAGTCAGCAGACAAGTTTAGAAATATTGATAAATGTGGTTAATATAGACTACAGCTTAAAAAATTGCAGAAAATTGTAGGAATATAGTGTGACTACTTAAATTCTGTACTGTATGCTTTTTTATTACCTTCAGTGCAGAGCAGCCATATGTAAGAACATTTTTGTGGTACTGGGCCTTCAGAATGCCAAAATTGAATACAGTCAGTAATGCATTGAAATGTTGATGTAACGATGTCTTTGTAATGTTAATTTCTGAAATGTATCTATTCCTGGTCAGTTTTGTATATTGTTTGGGAGCTGGGATAGCCCAGTCGGTATAGTGGCGAGGGTGCGGTCAGAGTCAGGGTTCAATTAGTAGTAGGGGCATGAGATTTCTCTGTCCTCCATACCATCAAGACTGGCTCTGGGCTCACCTAGCCTCCTGTACAGTAGGTACCAGGTGCTGTTTCTTTGTGTTAAAGCTGCAGGAGCATGAAACTGGCCACTTACCTCCACCTAGTGCCAAATTAAAGAATGTTGGAGCCATACCTCCACTCCCCTATATGTCTTACTTTTTCATTCATATTCATTTCATCAATCCAATCCTTTGCACGTTGGCCTTGATATAAAATATGTCACATATTACAAATTCATTATAACTATACATCATACATCTTAGGTCCAATAGAGTATATACATCAGGCCTCATGCAGATAGCACACGTAAGTTGTGGAAACACTATTGTCACATTCGACCCTAAATAAAATCTTTCGTATTTCCAGCTATATTAATTCAATATAGTGCAATTGTCACATCTGGTCATTCCATATGCATTGGCCAACAATATTATCAATTTAGTCTTCATGGAATGGTGCTTAGCTAATTAAGCCCAAGAATAAGTTAACCTTTTAATTATTAAAAAATTTTGTTGCATAACAGTTTGAACTTACCAGATTGACTCTTTCAGTTGTAATGTCCATTTAAGATGAAGTTGACATAAGTCATAACTAGAGAAATGTAATTTCAGAATATGCTATACTTGAGTTATAAACTTGACATTCTGTAACCTCATTGTGTACTGCTTGAAGCTGTTCATTTGATTTTGTAGTCCTGAGTTTATATCTTCCGAAGCATGTGTTCACAACAGGGAAATTTAAAAGAACATCTTTGTTGCAATCAGTGTTTAACTGAAATGAGATAGGTAAGGGGAAGCAGGAGATAGATTAAATTTAACCATGATATGCGAATACACTATTTATGTCATTTTTCATTTTGTTTTAGGCATTAGGCATTAATGTCTACTGCACCTACAGTGGAACTTTCTGCAGTTGCTTATGTGTCCGTTGTCTTTAAATCATAAATCTTCCAAGTATTCTTGTGGCTTCCATGCTCTGCATTTTATTTCCACTTATGAGAACTTTGTTTAAACATTGTTTAAATTATTGTATTCGACGTGATAGTGGCTACTTTAATTTACTGTGTTCTGTTGTGTTAGGCATGGAAGAAGTGGGGAGGGGCGCTTTTGTATTCAAATTGTGAGCAGCCTGGCAGTTAATATTTAAAAAAATAACAATTTCTCTACTAGTAGTACCAGAATTCCATACAGTAAAGTTCCCTAGAAAATGTGATGGTCACTCAGCTGGTCAGAAATGTTCCTGCCCTTTACAAACCCCAAAGATTCAGCAGCATGTTAACAAGAACCCATCACTGGAATCTGTAGTGATTCAGGGTAATCCATACAGACCTTATTGATTTTCTTTTATGGTCCATTTTAATATTATCCTTCCATCTATGTATGTGTCTCCCAAGTGGTATCTTCCCTTCAGGTTTTCTGGCTGAAATTTTATAATGGGTTTCTCATCTTCTGATACTTGCTACATTTCGTCTATCTCATCCTTCTAATTTTATTACCCTAATAATAATAAGTGAAGAAACGTGTCATTACTCAGTTCACTCCATCTTCCCATTACTGTGACCCTTCCTGGTTTTATTTTTGTAGATTCTTCATCATCTTTGTCATTTTGTTCTAGTGTTGTCCCATAGTCAGTACCAGTCTGAGTATGTAAACAAAATTCAGCTCTTACAGTATCATGTTTCAGTTTGTCTTAAAAAGATTTGCTCATATTTGTATAATAAAATTTGTCAAACAGAGGTTGTATCTCCAAATATGGATTCTTGGAACAAATAAACTGATTGATTGAATGATTGATTGATCATGTTTCATACAGATTTAATTCAAAAGCCTCCATATGTTTGAAGCAGCAATAATCACCATATTTTTTTTAAAGCAATCTAATGTATTGCTGCAGTAAATTAAAGAGTGTTTAATCTGTGTATGATTCCACATACCTTTTGAAATCTAACCATTGCCTTAAACTTTCCAATTTTATATCGTTGCAGTTTAGTTATAATCATATACATGTTTGTAGTGTAGGAATGCTTGTAGAGAAAGACTTACCCCTCACTTCTCAGCCCTTGCCTCTTTTTTCAGGATCATAGTTTCAACCCAACTTAAGACTGTAAATATCACAAGCTCTTTTGGATAGAAGGTTTGGTTTTCCAAATCATCAATGAACATAAGAGTGAGGAACTGCACATACTGACCTGAAAGACTGTATGTTCCTGAAGAAAATCAAAGTAAATAACATGTAGTGTTATTGTTATTTGACTCTATTTAGTGTCCTTGCTTTCAGCCTTCTGTGCTGCCTTGTAAGAATTGTCCAGTTGTAAAATGCAATTAACACTTGCATGATTATAATAAGAAATCCACTGTCCCATGTTGTACAGCTGCAAAATTCTATTGTATACATGTATTTGAGGCAACTTCTTTTTTAAGTACATTAATTCATTGAATGCAAAACCCATAATTTTACCACTTGTTTTGCAAGGATGTGAAGCTTGATGCCATGAGGGATGAACATGGATTTAGGATGTTTATAACAGGGTGCTGAGAAGATAATTTCAATGCAGGAGAAAGTCACACAGTGAATATCTTCATGATTTATATTCTACATCAAATGTTATTGGGTGTTGATGCCAATTAGGTAGATTAGACTGAGCATCAGATGGGCAGGACATTTAGCATGCATGGAGAAAATGACAAATGCATACACAGTTCTAGTCTGTAAACCTGAAGCGAGGGGAATATTTGAGAAAAATGAGAAGATAATATGAAGACAGATCTTAAGAAATCAGATGTTAGGGCTTGGGTTGGATTCATCTGTATCAGGCTAGGTTTCTGTTATGATCACAGTAATAAATCTTCAGATTCTTTAAGAGCTGGGAATTTACTGACCTGATGAATGACCTCTGGCTTCTCAAGACTGACTCACCTCAATGAAGTCTGTTAATTTCAGTTCATCAGGGTACTGAAATACGTACATAATAGTTGTGTGCAATCTGTTACAGGCATGTGAGCCAGCAGCATCTTTAGCCCTAGAAGATGTCAATAACAGGACTGATTTACTGACAGGCTTCACCCTGAAGTTGCATTGGAATGATAGTGAGGTAACTATAGTGCATACCCCATTGATGTGGTGTGTCTTCCTCCAAACTTTCCAGCCAACAAATTACACTGTAAATTTGGTATTAATGTCGTCAGGCTTGGTAAATGTAATCAAGAACATTAAAAATAAGAATGCTGGAGAGGTTTAAAATCGGCTTTAACTTGTAAATAAAAGTGGCATGATGATTTTCCTTTGAACTTCAACAGTTTGAAAGAAAAGTTTGACGTTACAGCAGTCTTACATTGGTCAAATAACGTGTAAAAATTTACATACCAATTAAAATTAAGTAATAGATTGAAATTAATGTTGGTATATGTAGATTAAAGTAGTAAGCAGGCAGTAATGTTTCTGGAAATTGTTTAACATTTGTGGTGGAAGGAATGTGACCAGTATGAAGAAGTAAAACATCATGATGTATTCCGATTCTTCTCTCCTCTTTACAGTCACCATCCACATATGGAAGGATCTGATCTTTCATTAGGTATTATTTTAAATTGCATGTTTAACTAGATGTATGTGTTTCCATTTTGCAGATTTCCATATATGTGTGTGTGTGATTTTTATATTCAGGAACACAGGCCCTGTTTGTGTGCCATATTTTCACATAGAAATATTTCACACCCTTCAGTTCACACTGATTTATTTCAGGCATCAGACAATTTGCTGTCTCATAAGAGTGTGTGACCGCACACATACCAGTACTGGAGTGTGGGCTTAGTATAAGTACAAGCAGTGGTCTCTTCATCCCATTTATATATTTTTGGCCTTTTGTTGCCGAAGTTTAAACTTAATAAATTGTACATTCTACCTAATCAACCTCAGAAATTGAAGTTATTGATCAAGAATCTGAAGAAACCTCTGTTAATGACCCCATTCCCTTTGACTTCTCCAGCTAACATTCACAAACCTCTAACCATAATGCCAATCAGTTAAAGAGGGTTCAGAAGCATTTTTGATGAGGACAAATGTTATAGAAGATATATAATATGATTAATATAATGCTGTTATATAATGTAATTTTTATGTATTTAAATGCTTTTTATGTGTTGTTGCTTTGTTGTTTTCATTTAAAATAACAATAAATATAACAGTTATTAAGTTTACTAACCTATGTGGTAGCATAATATCCACATGGCTGCTTCCTCCTAAATAATGTTTGAACCAAGTGACTGATTTTGATTAAACTGGGTTTGAATACCATGTCACTAGAACCCATCTCCACCTTATTTCTTAATTTCCTATCATCAGGAACACTTATGGCAGTTGTGTGAACTTGTGAGATGGGAGTTGTAGAAGTGCTCTTGTGAGGAACTCAAATATTTTTTATGGTAATGAGTCTTTCATGCAAAGTCTGATTTTGTTTTTAATTTCATGATCATAGCTGATGAACCATTACAATGAAATCTGTGAAATTCTAATGTATTAATAGTTGCAGAGAAGTCAGTGCAAAACTTTGATGTTATGATTGACATAAGGGGACACGTGGTAGCATAGTTGGTTGAGGCACTATGCTACAAGCTGGAAGGTTGTGGGTTCAATTACCGATGAGGTCATTGGATTTTTTCAATTCACCTAATCCTTCCAACTGCACTGTGTCCTTGGGGTTGACTCAACCTCTAACAGAATGAATACCAGGAATCTTCCTGGGGAGTAAAGGGCAGCCAGCACATAAGGCTGACAACCTGACCTCCATCTGTGAGCCGATTTTCTAGAAAATGTGGGAGCCTCAATGTCTCACAACCCTATGGGCCTCCACAGCCTGTTGCAGTGATAGCTTTACCTATAACTTAGTTAAATAACATAATGTAATACACTTACGTACACAGTGATAGCTTTACGTATAACTTAGTTAAATAACATAATGTAATGCACTTATGTACAGAGATGAATTACTAAATTGCATAATTAATAACTTATAGATCTTACTTATTTTGTATTGATTCAAGCTTTCAAGGAACATGTTTTTGTTAACATTTTGTCTGTGGGAAAAATATCTCAGATTTACAAGGGAGAGTCAGTAAATAGGTCACAAATGGGTATAAAACATAAAACATGTGATGTTCGAACCTGGAAAAAAACATTTATTTCTTGACATATCCTCCACCAACATTGATACACTTGTCCCAATGGTTTACCAGTGTGTCAAAACCTGCAGAACAGAAATCTTTGCTTCTGTTGCAATCTCAACAGGGCGACCTGGTTGGGCGTCATCTGTGACTTTTGAACATGCTTAAGAGAATTCTCGACCCAGCTGTGAACTGCTTTACATGACAAACACTTCCCACCATAAACAGGAAACGTTTCTTTATGAATATCCTCTGCATTGAGTCCTGCCCACAAAAAATGAACAACAGAACACTGCTCTTCGGTAGCATACTCCTCACACGTTGTCGCCTTTTGACTACTGAAACCAGCCTGTGAACATGTGCATGCTCATCTGCTACCTAGACTGTCATGAAGCTGGACTTCGTTGCTATCTAATGATACATGTAGATAACCTATTAAGTCCATTACAGCTGTTTTACTTTCATTTGCGACCTATTTACTGAATAAGATATACAAAAGTACAGGATGTTTAAAAAAGAGCTTTACAACTTTACAACTTTATAAGGTATGCCATCTACACAGCAATATTCTGTATTTAAAAAAACAAAGAAGACACTACTGTACTTTCTCTCCCTCATATGTGGTTTTTCTAGGAATGTAGCTACTATGTAAATCAAGGTATGTGAGCATTTATAAATGATGTATGGGAAAACTGTGTTCCACATGGCAGTGATAGGTTATGTGCTTAAGGCTAAATATATGTACAAGCTGAAGTTTTTTTGCAATGTCAAATGTAGTATGTATTGAGAGCAGCTGGATTAATGAACCCAGAATTTCGTTATGTGTTAACTAATAATCTTGTGTACTGTAGTAACTTTAAAGCATATGGAATCTACAAATATCCATTCCTCCTAAAAGATGACATGCTTCTCACTCCTTAGTTATAATGTCACTACTAAATGAGTAATTTTTCCCGTGGTTCTCTGGAACCCAAGGTTTGTGTGACATATGAACAGGGCTCAACAAATGTTAAGTTAGTTCCGGTCTGTCCTGTAAATTGTGCTTATGAGGAGTATGAACGTTTCACAGAAACTTATATGCAACATCCAGGATAATAATTTTGTAGTAGCCAACCATGATATTTCACTGATAACAGACAAACAGATGAATGTATTCATTAAGCCTCATATCTGAGCATCCCTAAAGGATTACTGTGAAAATGTTCTTATATCACTTTAAGTGCACACTGAACAAAAATGTATGCATACATGCACCCATCATGCAGTAGTATAGCTTTCACTTTGTGATGTATGCGGATGGTAGAAGGGGTACATAGAGAGAGTTTGTGGTGCCATCAGTGACCATTTTCCACGATGAGGTAATGAACTATATCTAGATTTGTAAAAGAGACACAAAGCACAACACAACAGGAAGAACAACCTGTCACTTGGAATACACATGGGCATAGAGGGGACCATACTTTAAAAAATTAATTGCCAAAGCCACAATAACAGAAGTACAGCAGTTGCCTTAAATAAAATTTTCAGCACCTGATGATGACCATGTTGGTTGAAACATGTAGTGAAAAACTTTTAAGAAGTTAAAAGTTATACCTATGATGTGCAAAACTTCTAGAGTGAATAACCTTTAATAAGTTTTATAGAAAGACATGTTGCACATGAAGCGGTGGAACCAGTTAACATTTCATATAAGTGATGTGCAGCAAGATGCTACAATATAATATTACTATCTAGATGGTAGCCAGTAGGATAATTAGGTCACTGTTTTAGTGAACTGCTTTGAAAGTTTATTTGGATTACATTGAACCCGAGCACTGATCTCTGCAGGAATACCCAACATAGAGAGGAAGTTACTGACTTGGGAACATTGAAATTGGGTCAAAAAGTAAGGAACTTTAAAGCAATTTCATTATTTTATAGTTTTGACTTTTAAAAACTTTCCCTTTGTAGTGTGAGCCTGGGCTTGGAGCTTCTGTGATGTACAACTTGCTGTACAATAAGCCCCAGAAACTGATGCTTTTGGCGGGTTGCAGTACTGTCTGTACTACAGTTGCTGAAGCTGCCAAGATGTGGAATTTGGTTGTGGTGAGATATGCAATTAACCTTCTAACCCAAAATATGTTTTGGTAGTGATTCACTTTTCATGTCATTTGCACCTTTCTTTCACACTTGTTGATGCAGTGCCAGTCAAACCATTTCACTAATTCCCTCATTTTGAATCTCAGATGCATGAGATTGAAGGTTCTCAAGATGGTGAATATGAAGAGTACTATCACCTTGGATCTGACACTATGTAGCCTGGTAGAAATTGAACTTCTACATGATTATATGGAGTAATAAGTCAGAAGATGGTACTCCTCTTGGACAAGTTAGCAAGCAGTTAGATCTCACTAGAAACTGATGTTGCACTGTAATAACACAGCTGGTTTTGTAAAACCATAGGAAATACATGGTGTTCAGTGGTATATGGAGTCTTGTTTACAGCTGCTCAGAGAATTTTCTACCAGGATCATTATTAATTAATTGATTCCCAGTTGAAATGTGTTCTGTGATGCCAGATTCATTAATTTTTATGCAGTACATGAATAAATATAGGCAGTCAAACTACTATGGCCTTTTCTGATGGTAAATATAGTACTTTTTCATTGTAAATCTTACAAAACGTCTTGAATTATTCAGCCTTAATAGTGAGCATTACGTTTCTCATAATTGTGACTGTGAAGACTGCTGTTCTCTGAGATGTGATGCCATGTAGTCTGGTAGATTGTTACCAACATTTCAGAGGAACCTGCTGCCTCTATCTGCCACAAGTAAATGAAGATGCAGACAGCAGGTTTCTGTTAGTAGAAGTCTACCAGACTACATGATGCCACATACCAGAAGACGGTAATCTTCCTCTGTAGTGCTAATTCAGTTCTTTAGTATTACAATTTAATTGTAAGGTTGAAAAGGGAAGACATTATTTAAATGTTAATGTTAATGTTAATTGTTGTGGTGTTTACCTCTGTACAAGATACCGAAGCATTTAAACATAAAAACTAACCAGTTTGAATATCTTACAAACAGTTATGTTATGGTGCAAGCTCTCCAGCCCTGTCAGATCGAAACCGTTTCCCAACTCTCTTTCGAACACATCCATCTGCTACAGTGCATAACCCAACACGCATCAAGTTGATGGAGAAATTTGGTTGGTCACGTGTTGCTATTTTGCAGCAGGCAGAAGAAGTTTTCATATCTGTAAGTGGTAATTGCTGCATTGGAATGGCAATGTAATGATGTCATAGTATGTTAAATCACAGAAATACCAGACTTAGTTGTAAAAATAATATCCTGCAGTGTGGTAGGTAAGTACCAATGATCTGGAGGAATCTGCTACCCTCATCTCCAGGGATGAAGGAAGCGAGCTGAGTCAGCAAGTTGGGGGTGAGAGCAGATACACAGTTGCTAGAGGCAAATTGTATGGAATGGGGAACAAAGTAGGAGCATAAAGGAAGAAGGTGGGGAAAGGGGAAGAGGAGGCACTGAAAAGGACAGTTTTAAAGGGCTCTTCTAAGAACTAAGTTAGAAAAATCAAGTCACTTGGAAGTAGCCTTCCTCAGTTCATTCTAGAAGTGAGATGCTACTGTGATTTGTCCAGGGAGTGGCAGTCTGCTCTGTCCATGTTGGTGGGATGGAGCTATGAAGATAGTGGGAGTGGAAGTATTGTCACAGTATTAAAGTATCAAAACTCCACCCTCATCCAACAGGCTGGTCAAATGGTAATGTTCTGGACTTTTATTGAGGGGATGATACCTTTTGGGACACTTAGGTATAGATAGATAGGTAATATTAAAATGGTTATTAACCATTTCCATGCTGAGTTTCATTCGACTAGTTCAGAATACAGAATTGTCGAAGCACATATATACATCTCTGGAACCAATTTAACAGCCCCACTTAATCTAACGTAATCTAACTTTGCCTGTTGCAGTCTAGCTTATGAAAGTACAACCATGTATATCCATAGCACCTGAGGAGGACTGATTCATCCAACTGAGGATGGAGTCAAATTGCAGGATTTTTCATACACAGTAATCAACTTCTGCTTTCTATACAAGGTGGAGAATTTCTTGATGAACTGAGATTATCTGTAAGCTCCTCATGGAATTGGTTAATATAACATGACCAGAAGTATTGCAGCATGATAAAAATTGTAAGAAACATCTTCAGTTAAGAAAGGCATAGTGAGTGCTGGGTATACAGAAACTCAGTTTGCAAACATGTACATGCATTTGCTTACAGACAGTTGAAGACCTTGAAGCTCGATGTAAAGAGACTGGAATAGAGATTGTGACACGACAGAGCTTCTTGAGTGACCCCACAGATGCTGTACGCAATCTGCGGCGTCAGGATGCCCGGATCATAGTTGGTTTGTTCTATGTGGTAGCAGCTCGGAGAGTGCTGTGTGAGATGTATAAGCAGAATCTCTATGGAAAGTCTCATGTATGGTTCTTTATAGGTGAGAATTCTGTCTGTAACGTGTTATGAAATGAGTAATTGTCTTTATTTATATGAAGCATGCTGTAGAAAGCAAACTCCTGTCTATGAAGTCTTTTAACATTTTCAGTTTTGAATTGTGTGGTAATCTTAATGATATTTCACAGCAATGTTATGCAAAACATCAGTTCTGTATACAGCATTAACCTGTAATAGTTCTTTTCCTGGCCATTTTATTTTACATAATTTTAGTAGGTTCAGCCCCTGTTTAGATAAGTTTAGAGGTTTCTTATTTATTTATTTGTATTTTATTTTTTAGTTCTATCAGGGTTCATTTTAGACCAGTACTTAATTTTGCTTCTTTTTTTAGTGAAGATGGGAAATAGATATTTAGCTCTGTGAAGTTGAAGGGGTTTTCAGCTCCTGGGTTTTTCACATCTTGCTTTTTCTTTAAACTCTCACAGGAAAGATTTTTCAGCACTGTATTTTACTTTACTTTTACAGTGTATCACATGTTTCAAACTTTAGTGATGGTGCAGGTAAAACTTGGTATCTTCTTAATTTTGACATCAGATGGAGGTGAATGGTCAGTTTCTTGCTCCAAGCACCTTAACATAAGGAAGGATCTCAAAGAATCCAGAAGGCTGAATGGGCCATGGAGGTCACCTGGGTGCTGTGACAAAGGGGAAAATCCCAGTAATATAAGGAATTGGCCTGCAGTTACCCAGCTCTACAGAGAATAAATTTTAGTTACAATGACAATGTTAAAATACAAATTTCTCAAAATATGACAATCTCAGTGGAGATGTTAATCCTATGACATTTTTGGACCTACTGATGCATTGAAACTGTAAGAATTGTAGAATCTCTTGTATCTGAAGGTCAGTTCTAAGTCAAATGTTAATTTTGTTCATTCAGCACTTTTTGTTTGTAAGTAATGTCTTTATGCTGTGTTTGTATATACCAGGGTGGTATGAAGACAATTGGTTTGAAGTGAATTTAGAAAAAGAGGAAGTTGGCTGTACGAAGGATCAAATGAGAATTGCTGCTGAAGGTCATTTGACAACTGAAGCTCTGATGTGGAACCAAAACAATCAGCGAACAATATCTGGCAAGGTAATAACTGGTGTGATAGTGTTCTGATCAGTGTTCATCATACTTCCTTTAGAATATTGTCAGAATTCAGGGGTTTGCATAATTATAGACAGGGTATGTATTGGTGAATTAAATTTATTGACCACTTGTATACATCACTCAGAACTACACTTTGCAGAACACTGGTACACACAGACTAGTGTCCTCAGTCTATTACAGTCTCCACTAGCCGTTTCCTAGATTTAACACTGAAGATTCTTCACCTTCCCACGCTCAGATACTCTTGTCACAGCTGCCCATGCAGAACTCTTGTCAACTGATAACTCAACTAACTGGGTCCCAGGCTGGTGGCCATTTCATACCACCCTCCTAGTCTTCTCTTTACAGACTGACTTTCAACTGACAACTCACAACTGAACTATAGTGCCAGGTGTCTTCGGATAAATCTTCGGGATGGACTACACAGAAAAAACAGCCTCCAACAATCCTTCTATTGTTGTTATGGGCAGTTGCCTAGCAATAGACTGGATATTGTTTCCACAAGAATGTATTTACTTACTGTTTCTTAAACATGTGTTTGTTTAGCCACCTATTGCATAACAATGGCTGTACTCATCCATTTCAAGGTCTGTGCCCAGCAATGGGGCTATAGTCAACAATATTATGACAGGTTAAGCAGAATAGTTCTACTTATCAGCTGTTATAGCTTCAAATATATTTAATGATTTCAGTTAAATTATTATAAAGTTAGGGAAAACGTTTTATGATTGACTCTGTGACTGGAAAGCTTTAATCATGTTTCTTGCCTTATGTAGTAGAGTGTAGTCAAATTAAAGGCGCCATTCTGTGCCTAACATGCTAAAATGTAACACAGAAAGGACATATTTCTTATCTAAAATGTTTTCATATAATAATGTATCTTCATTTTCCTCTTAAGCCATGATAATTAACCTTCTCATATCTCTCTGTATATAAAATTGAAATGCAATAAATAGTGAAATAACCTTGAGTGAACAGGTTGGTGACACTTGCTGGGTTTTTGCTGTAAAGCTACAGGGTGTACCACCTGCTGGTCTTGAATGCCAGTGCCAAATACAGACTGCAATAACAGATGGTGTTGCTAATGTTGATTGTTTGGAATGTTACAAGTACATACATTACTCAAGGCTAATGCATAAATCATCTTTTTGCCAGTGGCTGTAGGCATGCACATTTGCACTTGGGAATTACATTGTATGTGCATGTGTATATATACACATACACGCACACGCACACACCCATGCTGTCTCTCTCTTGCTCCCTCTCCCACCATTAATCTCCTGTTATGCTGTCATTTTAAAAGCCATTGCAGTGTATGTTGGCAAGATCTAAATATTCACATCTGGGAATATGGAATAAAGAACAGTTGTAGCAGGCATGGCAATTGTCTTGCAGACATCTGAGGATTTTCGACTGCGCTTGAATGAGGTGCTGCGCCAGGCGGGGTATGACATAGACAACATGCGCTACCCTGAAGGTTACCAAGAGGCTCCGCTGGCATATGATGCTGTGTGGGCTGTTGCCCTGGGTGAGGCATGTGCATGCCTCCCCACAATTGTTATTGTTTCATTTTTATACTGTTATGTTTAATTACTGTTGCACCATGTTCTTTAATTTTCATTTAAATTTTAACTGCCATGCTGGATATTATTTTCCCACCTATGAGATGTAAATTATGCACATTGACAATTAATGTATAGTGTGGTCTTATAACTGAATTTCGAATAAAATTTAAAATGATGTGAAAATATTCTTAGGGTGTGTCTCTTTATATATATATATATATTGTGACATGTTGCGCTATGCAGGACACTCCTCCCCCCCCCGCCAGCGGTGACGTAACACCATCAGAGCACTGTCGTTACTAGGGAAATAGGCAAGTCAACACTCCTTCCCCTACCCCGCTAGCGGTGACATGACCAAGGGATGCCGCAGTTGCTATGCAGCCGTAAACAACTCCCGACAGCGTTGCTAGGCTGTTGGCAAACACGGCGTCAGACAACAGTGGTGCCTATTACGTAACTGTTTTCTGTGTTGTCCGTAACGGGGCTAAATAAGGTGCAGTGAAGACTATTCAAGAGTTATGAGAGTTACGAGTTACGAGTTGGCCAGGGAAGAGTATGCAGTCTAGTATCTGTAATACTGCAGATAGCAGTAGCTGTGGGATTGTAAACTGTGTGATTGTATGAGCGAGTGTGAAATAAAATTTTCTATATCCAATATGGCGTGAAGTTATTTGTCGCGTTATACACCCAACACGTGACAATTTTGTGTCAGAAGTGGGATTGGACTTACACACGTGATCAACAAGATTCGAACTCAAGACACATGACAATATTGTAACGTGTTTTGCCACTGAAGACGCCGTTCAGATTGTTAATTGGTTTATTTAACAACCTACAAATCGTAACTACAATTAATTATGACACAGCTGCGGGTTTACCCAATTTATAAACCCTACACAATAATCTAGCCACTCTCTTCAGTAGTCTTCACGTATTTATAACTCGGGAGCTATACAAGTCTCTCCCAATATAACTGTACTACAGCACACAATCTTGAAGTCACACAATAAGTCTTCACTCGCTGACTCCTCAGTTATCGCACACTATCAAATCTTCTAACCACGCGTCTGGTTCTTCTTTCCGCGACTGTTGCCATAATCCAACTGTCTGCAGCAGCATTTTAACTGTCTTCGGCAGCTGCTGCATTTTAACTGTCTTCTTAGGCAGTCCAGTTCTCTTATAAACCCTCAGCCAGACAATGGAAAGCACCTCACTTCCCTGTTGCCTAGTCGCCATGTTTACAGGTGTTGCTGGGAACGGCATCGAGAGTTGTTTATTGCTGCATAGCAACCATGGCATTCCCCGCTACATCACTGTTGTCACCTGCCATGTCACACTGAGAAGTGCTACCACAGCACCACGTGGGAGGGGGCAGAGTGCTGGCTGGCCCGTCACCGTAGCAGCGGCAGCTCTGTTACGCCACTGCCACCGCTGGCAGGGGAGGGGGCATCCTGCATAGTGCAACTACATCACAGTATATATATATATATTTCACAATCGGGCACAGTATTCCTCTGATTAGGTGTATATGGTTAATTATCTGTGCATGCCTTTTTCAGTTTGTGGTTTTCCATGCATATTTTATTTAGTTTGCAGTCTATCCTTGTACATTGTTTTTGATTTTATACAAAGTTTATAAAACTGTGCATTGTTGTTTGCACATGAACTTGTGAACCAAGCTTTGAACCCTTCTTGCTATGTATATACCAGTGTGTTTTATCACATCTTCCAGCTTGTTGGGAAATTCAGTGAGTTGCAGGAGGAATAGATCAGAATCTGCCAAGTTACCTATATCACTACAGTTTTCTCCTGTTGCATTTGTAATTACTAAAACTAATCCATATACTACTGCGAATAGGTTGTGATGAAATCTGTGTTCTTCAGTTATTCGTATTTCATGCACTTTCCAATGTTGATACTACATAATTTGGTTTAAATTCTCACCTTCAGTCAATACTGGACCTAGTATATATAAAAATAGATGATTGTTATTTGAGATCTTTTTTATACCTGAAAATTCCAAACTTGTTTCACACTGCCTGTACAAGTTTTGTGATGGTAGGTATCAAAGTATTTCAGCTAGAAACATGAATGTTAGCATAAGAAGAATTAAGTTTTTGGAACAGCTGTTTATGTATTGAAAATACTAACATTACAGCAACTAAAACATTACTATCAGAATTTTTAGTCTAGTTCCATCAATTTTCTTTAGTTTAAAAACATCTGTTATTATCCAATCTTATTAAATATGGCCCCATCTCTGCTACACATAGATTGTAGCCCATGCCTACAGTGAACCATGCTCTTTGATGAAATGAAGTTGGATAGTTTTGTTGTATTATATGATTGTAATTCCATTAAATTTATGTCTTGTCACAGAGAATAATTTCAAACAGTTGCTCTGATTCATTTTATTGTGATACACTTTGTTTCCAGCATTCAACAAAACCATGGAACGGTTACATAAACATGGAAAAAGTCTGAAAAATTTTACTTACACAGATAAAGAGACAGCAGATGGCATTTACTCAGCCATTAACAGCACACAATTCCTTGGTGTCTCTGTAAGTGTAATGATATTTGGTGCAAAAATTTTTTATGTCACCTTGATTGCAATAGAAAAACTACTTAGCTAAGTGTTTATGGTATAAAAATTAATTTTAATGTGGAGGACATACAGGAGTACATTTTGTTTATACTGTTTAACATTCATTGGCTTAAAAAAATGTTACATATGAAATCTGTAGAGCTCATTGAGATTAGATCTTATCGGTTATTTTACGAGAGATTGGTTGGTCGGACATAACATTAAAGGTAAAATTGCATTTGTGCCTGAAGACCATTTAATGAAGACATATGTAGGATTGAAGGTAGAATTTCATACATTTTTAACTGCAATGCTAGGTGAAGGTGAGTGATCACTTCTGTGCTCTGCCATGATAAGTTTGTGTTTATATGTGTATCAGAGCATAGTCTAATGTAAGGCCATGCCATAGCTCAAGCAGTTAGTCACTGGCTTCCCACCGCGACAGCCAAGGTTCAATCCTGAGTCTGGTCAAGTGGGATTTGTGGTGGACAGAATGGCGCTGGGGCGGGTTTTCTCCGAGTACTTCGGTTTCCTCTGCCAATCTTCATTCCACCAAATTCTCCATCATCATAATCACCCAGGGCAGGTACAGTAGGCCAATCAGTGGCCGCCGTGCCAAGCGGATCCAGTTGGACTCCACCCCCCACTAAGCGAAAAATAGTCTAATGTAAATTAGTGCGTTTATTTGCACTTTGTACTATAGTTTATACACGTTTTTGTGTTTCATGTGATGATGCAGTAAAATCCCCCATTTAAGATTTCTTTGGGGATCATTGGATTTTAACTGAGGGAAATCTTAAATGGAGGAAATTTTAACACAAAAAGTATTGAGTATGGATTGTTGAAACTGAATAGTAATGAGGAAAAACTTTGAATGATGGAATATTAAATGTGAATTCCTCTGTGTCTGTTTCAGGGGTATGTAGCATTCAGTTCACAAGGGGATCGTATAGCGCTGACACAAATTGAACAGATTATTAATGGAACATATGTGAAGCTTGGTTATTATGATACACAGAGTGATAACCTAACGTGGCTGGGCAAGGAGAAGTGGAGTGGTGAGTTTTAGCTACATTAATATTTTCAGTAGAAGTATTTCTCAGAAGGCAAGACACTGGCTTGTACTCCTCAAACTTTATTTAAAGGAAGTGATATTAACAAGTAACTTCTATTGCAGCTGTGTAGTGAACTACCATATATATACATTTTACTTCACATTATTTCACAATATGAGGTGTGATTAAAAAATTTCAAATTAGCTCCAATGTAATATTATCGTAGGAAGTACAGAGTTTTTCTTCTAAATGAAGGTAGAATGTAATCTTGTGAATCTTTTTTCTTTTTTGTGTGTGTATGTGGTTTATTTTATGATTTGTCAGTATCTCAGATTGCGTAACATCAAATGGTAAGGTGGTGACTGTGATTAATGCACTGGAAAGGTTTGGAAGGAAGTGGTTGTGGCCTAATTGAGGTACTGTCCTGGGATTTTCCTGAAGGGACTGAGGAAGGCCATAAAAGATCTCAGTCAGGTTAGATGGTGTCCTGGCTGAGATTCAAACCAACTACCTCCAGATACAAGTGCAGAGTATTACTGCTGCACCAACCTGCTAGAATATTTGTTGTTACTTTCACAACTGTGGCAGTAAGTTAGAACCATCATGTTGTAAATAAGAGCTGAATGCTTGTAGTTTTGGTATATCAATACAGTTACTAACTTTTTGGACATTATCCATCATATTGGTTTTAAATAGTTGGTTGAACTGTTTTCTTATAGGAGGAAAAGTGCCACAGGATCGAACCATTGTGCGTCAAGTTTTGCGCACAGTCTCTCTGCCCCTCTTCATCTGTATGTGGACCATTTCATGCATAGGTATTATGGCTGCCATTGCACTCATTGTGTTCAACATATGGTACCGCCATAGAAGGTTTGTTTTTCTGAAGACTGTATTTTCATATAAAATAATTTGATTGCTTGTACAGCATGCAGATTTCATGTTGTTTGCTGTGTTTACGAACTCGGTGTAGCACTGCATTGTCATTCTGGTAGTGCTCAGCACAAAACAGCTTAATTTTCCTGTATATGATGTCTCTCTTTTAGTCTTATACAACTTGATTAGTACAGTTTTAAGATTTTTCAGTTTCAAAGAATTCCATGATGATTTGGTGTTCACATCTACCACAAGAATTTGTTTGTTGTCTTGTTTCTCTTATTTTTTGGATTTGTCTGTTAAGAATAACAGTAACGAATCAAAATCCCCTACATTTGTTCAGGTTGAAAATATTACATATGATGAAAAGAAAACGAAATGATAGTTCGTTCAGCATTCAGATAGATGTAATTTGTACTTTTCAACATACATTATACCTACTAGATTGTAGGCTTGTGTTCTGAGGCATATTCTGCTTATATTGTAAGTAGGACTGAAGCCCACTGCAGGTTCTTAATTACTTCTGTGTAGATTTGGAGTCAATGTGTAATGGTTATGGGTTCAGTGCCATTCATGGAAGACTCTGTGGCTGTCATTTTACCCCAAACTGTCCTCCATACTTGAATTAGGATGCCTAGGTTTCGTGTATAGTAACTCTTAATGTTGTTGTCTTGAAAGTAAAAAAAAAAGTTAACGTTCTTGTAACAGAATATTACGTAATTGCTTTTATCATCATTCCTGAGCCAAGAATCGAGTTACCCAGTTCTGTTCCTGGATTTTTTTTATTGCTAGTGGGGTGGGACTAAGTCCCTTGTACTGCGGCCACTCCTGGCCTATTGTACCAGCCCCAGATGATAGGTGAGTGTGATTGTGGAGCAATTGGTGGAATGAAGATTGACAGGGGAAACCGAACTACTTGGAGAAAACGTGCCCCAGCACCACTTTGTCCACCACAAATCCCACTTGACCAGACCCGGGCTCGAACCCGGGCTGCCACAGTGGAAAGCCAGCGACTAACCGCTTCAGCTATGGCACGGCCCTTCCTGAATGTTTAGCGTGTGTTCTGTAATCTGTACCAATTTGTCTGCATCAGCACTCCATTTCGCTGTTCATGATGTGGTGTCAGTACTTGACAAGAATCATGAGAGTGATCAGAACTTTAGGACCATTAGTTCCATAGGCTGGACTGCTCTCCTGGTCATATTGGGGTAGCATGTTACTGAGAACTGACCAACTGATGGTACTCTTGTTTTCCAACATAAAAATTATGTACAGTTCTGCTGCTTATTTTGGCTGAATGCATAAGAGAAGGGAGTGCTGTGAAGGCAGGTCTGAGGTCTCACTGTACTCCTTGGTCATTGCACCACTGTGGCATCTGAACCACAAATTGGTTTAGGCAGTGGAATATTTTACATGTTTACACATACAGACCTTACATATCTGAAATGCACTGCAAATAATAACTGTATGCTATTCTGCTAATCCACAAGGTTTAATTGATATTACTATAATTAATATATTGTTATGGCTATATTTTATACCAGAACACTAAAATTTAATATTTGGGAGGGGGGTTAGCATTGTCTTTTAATTTGGAACTGCTTAATTTCAGGGTGATACAGTCATCTCATCCCGTGTGCAACACCATCATGTTACTGGGTGTTTGCACTTGTTTGTGGTCAGTATTCCTGCTAGGATTAGATGGCCAATTTGTGAGTCCCCATGTGTATCCTGTGGTATGCCAGGCACGTGCGTGGCTTCTCTGTATTGGCTTCACTTTGGCATATGGGGCCATGTTCAGCAAAGTGTGGCGTGTTCATCGCCTTACTACCAAGGCCAAGTCAGAAGTCAAGGTTTGTATCCTTGTACCAAACTTATTGTAAGAGGCTTGCAGGATTGCTTCACATAAGAAACTTTTGCTAAAATAACTGGTAGGTACCCACACTAAATGAGATTGTGTTTAATTTTGTTCTGTGGTGTTTCTTATGCAGTATTTGCATAAAGTGAATACAATGAATGCATAACGGGAGTCTTATGTCTGTCTGCATGTTTTATTTGAACAGTTTTCGGTGAAATTTAATATTGGGCAGCCTACATAAAAAGTTATCAGGCAAATTTAGCCTGTTTTATATCAGTTGAAAATAATCTGCATGTTACACTAAACTCAGATTGAAAATTTCCCTGTAATTTTTCTTGAAAATAGCTCATCATATATGAAACTGATACATGATATAAATTATAGAATCTATTAAGGGACAGAACCTATAAACCAAAATGAAAGCATCCTTATCTCCTTTAAAATTTTGATTGGATTAAGTAAGATTCTCTATTTCTTTTCACTGTCATAATACATTTTTACCATCCCATGTTCCTGTATGTCATCCTAGCATCAGCAGAGTTCATGTTTATTATAGCTGTAATTCTTTGTTTGTTAAATGCCCAGATATGTGAATTTAACATTGTTACTATTTTCTTAATGTATTTCTGGAGTACATCAATGGAATTTTGTTTTTTTAAATTTTAATTCACTTTGGTAGGCATCTGAATATGTGAATTTAATATGCTTGCTTGAGTATTGGGTGTACTTGTTCATAGCTTCAATCACCAAATAAATGACACCAGCACTTAAGAATTATCTTAAACTAACTTCAAAAACATTTTTGGTGGTGTAAAGGTTATACTGCCATGACTAGGTTACCAGAGCTGTGTGTGATAAAAGGATAAATCATTTGAAACTGAGGTTGGTAGTGAAGTAAGAGAGATGTTAGGAAATGCATCCTACAAATCTTATGCTGTTAATGTCATGATTAGGTAATGTAAATTTATGATCCAAGAATGAAATTCAGTTTAGCATATGGGCTAACATGTTGGACTTGTCCATAGATTTTCAGATCAGATTTTGGCCAAGTCAAATTATTATTGCTTTCGCTTATAAGTGATTGTTGTCTTCGTTGTTATTTTGGAAGAAGTTATTACTTAGGCCATAAAACAGATTTTGTTTACTTAAAATTTATCAAACAATGTAAAGCGTCACACTGTCATCATGTTTATAGGTGTTAGCTTACAAAGAGTATTTGATACATAGTATATAAATATGTTTATTATATGTCTCTTCATATTAAATTTCACATGTCCAGTTGATTATTAGTTATAGCCATCAAACCTAAAGCCAAATGCAGTATCATGCAACCTCCATTTGTTATTTTACATTCTACAGAGAAATTTCATTAATGAATGGTGCATATCTCTGGACAGCTTATTGCCATACACAATTTCAGGACCCTGCAGTAAGTGGTGTTAGTGTTGTTCTAATTCAATAGTTTGTGCATCTGTTATATTGCAATTATTGGTTGTACGAAATTAAAAAGTATGATGTTGTTATGATCTCTAATGGTGTAATGTCCATACCAAGTTTCATGAAAATTGATGGCCTGGTTCGAATTTGACATTGGTGGGACACACACACACACACACACACAGAGACAGCATAGAGATCTGAAAACCATACTTCTTTCCCGTAAGGGAGGAAAGTATGCTAGAAGTAAAACTGGAATGTGTCTGATTGTCTCTTTGATTTGTCACTGCAGAAAGTAGAACCTTGGAAATTGTATCTCATGGTGACTGGCTTCCTGCTGGTAGACATTGTTATACTCTTAACCTGGCAGTTGTATGATCCACTGCAGCGCCGTATAGAAGTGTTTCCGTTGGAAGATCCAGTGTCAACTGAAGATGATATCAAGATTCGGCCTGAACTTGAACACTGTGAAAGTGAAAATAACAATGTTTGGTTAGGTAAGACAGAGATGATATTGTCATCCCTGTATTCATTCATTATTAAGATCCCTGATGATACAAGAAGTAGAAGTATTAAGATAATGATTCTGTAAGGAGTTGGAAAGGAAGTGGTCATAGTCAGTTTGAAGAATCTGTCCCAGGTGGATTCATCAATTCCTAATTACATTGTTTCAATTGTGAGTATGTGAGGTTCTTCCAACAGTGACTAAAGATTATAGTCTCTTGGGACGTGATGATGAGTAGGATGATAAAGTTTTCAGGCTTTGCTGCTTTGTAATAATTCATGCTAGGAACATGAAATGGAAGAGAAGTTGAAACTTTACATACATATATGTTGCAGTGAAGGGAGCAGAGCTTGCATCATTAGCAAAATCTAATAAAGTACAGTTAAAAAATAAGAGGGAAATTTCCATCATCATTCACTGATGCATGGCCAGTAAGGATTAATTTGAGCAATTCATATTTAAATGAAGCCTGCATTTTATAATATTTTTTAAAATCTTCTGGGTCATACATATTTATTATACAGTGTGTCCCCAAAGTCCTGTCGGGGTTTTGAAAAATTGTGGCACGCAAACAAATTGATCTAGCCACATGAGGTTTATGGCAGATCATAGTGAAACTATGGAAGTTTTTTACTGACCTCAGTAGACCTTGATGTGGGCTCCCTTGATAGCACGGAGAACACCAAGACGATATTCGAGCTCTTAGCATGTTCTGTGGAGCATGTCCACTGCAATAGCCAAGATCGCATTCCTGATACAGATCATCAAGTCTGTTAACTGGTGTTCAGAACACACTGCTCTTGACATAACCCCACATAACCCCATCTCTGCCGATCCATCTTCCTGGAAATGTCCTGTCTAGGAACATGGATTTTTTCTTGTGAGGTTATGTCAAGAGCAGTGTGTTCAATTTGTTTGTGCGCCACAATTTTTCAAAACCCCGACAGAACTTTGTGGACACACTGTATATCAGTATACTTACAGTATGAAGCTACTTCTTGTAGAGTGTCCTGCTCAAAATGTCATTGCAGCGATAGCTGCATGATGCCTCACAGTAACAGAGCTTGTCATCATTAACAAAATGGTACTTAAGAGTCCCACACTGGATGTACGTCCACTAAAGGTTAATTTTCATGCACTACATTTAATGTAAATACATGTTTTATAATACTTTTATATATCCTTGCAGGTGTTATGTATGGCTACAAAGGACTTGTGTTGGTGTTCGGTTTGTTCCTGGCTTACGAAACTAGAAGCATCAAAGTGAAGCAGATCAATGATTCACGCTATGTGGGAATGTCCATCTATAATGTGGTAGTTCTCTGCCTCATTACAGCACCAGTCACCATGGTTATTGCTTCCCAGCAAGATGCTAGCTTTGCATTTGTTGCACTTGCTGTCATTTTCTGCTGTTTCCTCAGTATGGCACTCATCTTTGTTCCTAAGGTATAGTACCATAAATTGAAAGCCTAAGTTGAAGCATGTACTGTGTAAGCTGCAGGAAGTACATGAAGGGTCTCAATTTAAGTACTGGGTTTGGAAATTTGTACTAATCTAAGGAGTAAATGTACATCTAAGACACAATAATGCAACTAAAATATTACACAAAAAAAACTTTTAAGTTTTAACAAAATAATCACACAGTAGCTGGACAGATCATATTCTGCACACCTCCTTGCTCTTCAGTAATGCATTTGGCCCCGTAGTCTGCAAATACCCTGATTCTATTAGAATAAAATATAGTCATTCTGTAAGATTACATCATGTACTATGTTCGTAATTTATCCAGATGTTGTAACTTCCACTTACAAAACAGAAGTAAATGCATTCAGAGGAGAAGAGTCTATAAGAGCAAAAATTGTTGTAAATAATAAAATATTTGAACATGTATGAAATTTTGATTATTTAGACTGTAGTTTAGGTCTGAGAGAGACAGTGATATTATTATAAAACTAATAGGTTTTAACAGTTCTGTGCAAGTATAAAACGCACTCCGCTAGGGAAATGTCAAAAGTAAACCTTGGTAAAGTTCTGTAAAATAATGGTCATGCCTGTATTTTATATGGATGTGAATTATGGAAAGATCAATTGCTGCTTGATTGGCTTCCTCTTTGATCCTGAATATGGAGACAATACATTCCTCTGAAATGTTGGTGAACTTTTGCTGACCCACTTAGCATCACTCCCCAGTTGACGCTACTCTCTCTAGTCACCAATGTGAGAACTTTAATCCAGAAAGGAACATGTCTGGAACGTGCTGTGGTATACATCTTTCCTCACTTCTGTTCATACTTAAGCATGGTAAATAAATTAGATTCTTCATTATATTGCTGCATGGTGTATAATATCTGTGGCCCTTGCTGACTGGTTATATTATTTATGCAGGTGATTGAAGTGATACGCCATCCACGAGACAAGATCGAATCGAAGTACAACCCCGATGTAGGAATGACCAAAGAAGATGAAGAACGGTATCAGAAGCTAGTGGCTGAAAATGAGGAACTCCAGAAACTCATATCAGCAGTAAGATTGTTGACATTTTATTCTCTATTTATAATGAAAGTTCTGAAATGTCCACATAAATTTATTTAAGGAAATTATAGATTGTAATCCTATGTGATAATGTGTATTAAGTTTGATCTATACATATAGGTTACTGACTTCTGAGGCTAGATTAGTATTGGCTGTACATGGTTGAATTGTCTGGGACATCCCAGTCCATTACTTTTTTTTATGACACTTATATGGTGTGCCAAGCTAACTCCTTCAATATGGGTTGAACAGTGAGGGTTTGATTCACAGCAGGGACAGAGATAGGGGTCCGGAGATTGGGACTAGCTCTATCTATTGGACCCAACTGAGTATGTTTTACCTGAGAGGACGGCGACAGAATCCAGTCTCTGAAACGTTGTGTTTTGAAAAATAAACAGGACAGTTTTTAGACAGTAGGATGATGGATAATGTCCAAAAAACATATACATAGGTCGTACTGAAAATCATGAGCAACTTTTTTTTGCATGCAACCTGGGAACAGCAGACGAAAGAGAGTACGGTGGTAGGTGGAACCAGCTGTTGTGTTAACCTTGAGTGTCTTGTGACATCAATAGCTTGCATCACGTGACCAGTATCACTCCTAACAAAATGGCCGACAATGATATGTCATTTCACCAGCGTGCTGTCATCGAATTTCTTGTGAAAGAGGAAATCCGTGCTGCAGAAATTCACCAGAGACTTCAGCGTGCTTATGGAAATGTGTGCGAGCAGTGTTCGAAGGTGGGTGAAACATTCTAAAGATGGGAACACCAGCATCAAAGATGAGCCTCAGAGTGGTCGTCCTCGTACAGCCTTAACTGAACGCAACAAGGAAAGAGTGGATGAGATCATTCAAGATGTCAGGAGTGTGACTGTGGACACAATAGGCCAGAAACTTGGAATAGGGCACAGTACAGTACAGGAGATGATTGAAAGCTTGGCCTATAGGAAAGTTTGTGCTCATTGGGTCCAACGGTTATTGAGGTGGTGTATTTGGTTTGTCAATAATAAAGCATGTTACTTTACAAAAAATTGTTGCTCATGACTTTCAGTATGACCCTCGTACTTGCAGAGATTTTTTGTTTACCAGAAGTCCAGACCATCTGCAGGTTCCAGTCAACCTCTCATCCAAAGCATACCAGTATTTTTATTTTTTAACTGGGATTAAAGTGGTCGTAGTATGAAACTAACTATTCAGCTCCAGTAATGGTGAGGTTATTGTACAGAGCTGTACTACCACTCCCCAGTACATCTTCATGGCATAAAGTTTAAGCACAGGGACAACTTTATGACATATTGTATACATCATGAGGCTGCCATATATTGTGCCATATTTTGTGAAAAATATTGTGACGTGTTGTGCTATATATGATGCCCCCCCCCCCCCCCCCCCAGCCGTGAAGTGCTGAGCGGAGCTGAAGTTAGCCGAGTCCCAGCATCCTGGTAGCTATGCTACGCGAGTCAACAGCAGTGACGTCACCAAGGGATACCGCGGTTGCTAGGCAGCAGTAAACAACTCCGGACAGCATTGCTAGCAACACGGCACCACACAACAATGGTTCCTATTACGTGGCTGTTTTCTGAGTTGTCCGGAACGAGGCTACATAAGGAGCAGTGAAGGCTATTCACAGCCAGTTCCGAGCNTGAGTCAGTGTGTGTGTGATCATCAGTTCTCCATTTAGCCAGCGGAGAGTAACGAGTTAGCCAGCAACCAGTCAGTTGTATTCTGGCATTTGCAGCATAGTATTTGTGATACTGCAGATAGCAGTAATTGTGGATCTGTAAATTGTGTGATTGTAAGAGTGAATGTGCAATAAATTCACTATATCAAATAAGGCGTGAAGTTATTTGTCGCGTTATACACCCAACTCGTGACAATATGAAATTGTGACCCTTCTTTTCACCAGTGAAACATATGATATTTGTTATTATTTGCATACATCTTGTTGACACCATCATTGAATTATTATAAGGATTATAATTATTCCATCAATTAATAGTAGCTCTTGATGGTTCTGATGGAATTGTTTAATTATTTGGTGTCATAATAAAAATGTCTCTCTCAAGACTTGCTGAAATTGCATTACAAACTTTCCTGAGAGTTAGATTAAGATAAGATGTGAACTAATAATCATTTGAAGAGTATGATCTATGTTATATATAACACCATATAGTTTGGTAGGAGTCCACCATTGTTTCAGTAATGAAGTAATGGCATTACAACATAAAAGATCATACTCTTCATAACCATTTCTGTGAGAACCTCATATCCAATTTAATAATCATCAGCTTAACAATAATTTTTTAGATTGTTTTTAATTTAGAAAAGAAGTTATGATTATAGGGGTGAGTATAATGTGGAAATATTCAGCAGTCAGAGTTAAACACTTTATGGCGTGAGTTTTGATACTTACTGTTTGTGTATTGTGTTTCTTCTAAATGGATTTCACATATAGTGCATCATATTTGTAAATACTTTCTGTTGGCTCAAAATTAACTGTAGATTGAAAATAAATGTATGAACTCAGTAGTAATGTTACCTCACTAGCACAGCAGAATTGCTGTTGAACGTTTTTCAATTTAACATTTTATCATATTTAACGTTTTCAATACCTAAATTCCGATTCCACTGACAGGACATTGTTAAACTCTGTCCATTTGAGGTGTCCCTCAGTTTATAGTTCAAATCTGTTGACCAGAAGAGAAACCTTAAGAAGAATATTCACAGTGCCTTAGGTAATGACTGTTTTCTGCCACATCCTTTCAAATTGATCACTCACAATTGCTTTACTGTTTTATTATATACAGTCTATTCATTTGAAAAAGATACTGTTAAATGAACCAAGACTCAATTCATTGAAGAGTAATAAAAGATGGCAATGGGATGCAAATAAGGAGGTTACAGAGTCTCTTATTTTCAAACATTTTTACAAAAGAATCTGTTTTCGTTTAAATCATGCTGTTTTTTTCCCAAACATTGGTACAAAAGAATCTTTTAATTTTGATCTTACTGTTTATTTTTTAAGTTTATGAAAAGCAGCTAATGATGCAGCTGCAGTTAAGTCCCTCAATTAGTCTTGTAAATCGTACTAGCCAGGCCTGTCTCAACATCTGTGAAGAGGTAAGTTTCTGAGAAGTCTCCTACCACTGATGGTAGGGTGAGGAGGAGCTGGTGATGGCAGGCAGAGGAGATCTGGAGCATAATATTGTCCCTGATTCTTGATGAGGGCATGGTGTTCCTCCCTTAAATGAAGTTTTGTCTTTGTCAGAAGCAAGAGAAGCGAAAACCATGCAGAAATATCAGCACTGAACATGGCTTATATTGAACCCAAAACGTTGGCATCAAAGTAGTCCAACATTGCCATTAAGTTGTAACTATGTATGAGTGTAGATATTTAAACACCTAAAGTTACACACCATACCTCAGATATATTCTTGTTTCTGTTATTATTTCTGTCATTTCTCCAATTTTTTTTAGTTTAAGTTACACAATTTTAAGTTTTTGGCTTTAAAATAAAATTCTTCCATTAAAATCACCCTTCAGATTACCTAGTATGTCTTTCATTACCTGCCAGAACTTCACTAACCATAAGAAAAGCTAGCTACAATTTTACTCTGGTGAATTATGTTTGTTTTTATAGAAAGAGGAGAAAATTCGATTGATCAGAATCCGGCTGCAGGAGCGTGAGGCTTTGCGTGGTGGAGGGGTGACAGATGGGCGCCTCCTTTCTGGTACAACTCCACAGCAGGATTCTACTGCCAACACAGGTTTGAGTACTAACAAAGATACTCTTATTGTAGCTGATTTTATTACTGGAGAAGGCACTTCAGATTCAGCTTTTTGTGGTGGTGTGTCAGTCCATACACGTAGTTCAAGAGCAAGTCAGTCTGACTTTGAATTCTCAGAATCATACCTATAGGTCACTTGCTTGTGGGGTACAGAAAACAGCAATTTAAATGTGAGCGAAGACAGTGCAGTTTTTTTTACACACATGAAGAACTCACATCATAGGACATATGACAGATGGAAGATAAGGAAGACTGATGGGATGCATGTACCAGTTTGGCAGACATTTTGAAAATGGACATTTCAGTTGAATGTGGTACAGTTGGGTTATTTGAGTAGAATTTAACAATGAAGTTTTTGACAACCTATTATTGTATTTCACAAGGGACTGAAAATGTAGCTCATAATTCTTATAATGAATCAATTTGTAACACAGTTTTGCTTTATGAGTTAAAACTTTGGGCCATAGAATAGCAAAAGAAAATAGCAAATTATTATCGTTACTTACAATGCTGCTTATGTTGAAAGGTGGATTATTCTAAAGAGTTGTTAGTTGGGATGTTTTGTGATTTAGAATTGTGGAAGCTGGTATTGGGTAAACAGATCTCCCAGACTTTATTACTTATTTATGCTTAAATTAATGTGGCTCATTGAAGTAGTGCATTCTCACCGTCATTCTGTACCTTCCTTTGTCAGTGTACAGTGCAGCCTCAATATTATGAGAATTTATAAAACATTACTGAAATATTTCTGATTATCATGGGGATATGAAAATAACAAACAATTCAACATTTTTATTCTTGTCAGCCTCATCTGAACTGAAGAGTTCAAGATTTTCTTAAACTTACCTAACATCTTCTGCTCATAAGCAACAGATGTCCTTCATGAGACAAAAGTGCTACCCACCCATAATCATAGACCACTCATTCTGCTCACTGTTTGCTTCATACTGACAAGATACACTCACATTCCTCCCATAATTCATTGCATATGCATACATGTCAGAATAAATGCATTAACTTGTATCAGCAGTTTAAATCATGCTAGTATTTACATATGTACGGTATGTTATATTATGGTTCCTAAATGTCACAATAGGAATACATGCAATTTTTTGTCATTACATGTATAAGAGATGACTGTGAATTAGCCATTTTAATTATCTTAAAACATGTGTTATAGTAGTGACAAGTAAACTACACATGAACTCAATAGCTGTTTAATTTTCTAACCAAAACAAAATTATACAATTACATTACCACACTTGTAATGAAAATAGCCTTTATGGCTACGATCCTTACCAACTGTATCCCATGCCTGTGACATTATACAGATAACACAGATTTCATTTCATTATGTTCGTCATACAGTTACAAGCCAAGATCTTGAAATGAATTTCACCAATATATGCTCACAAAAAAGAGGAACAGTATGGTAGTATATACCATATTTTCTCTTCTTCAATGTCATAAACATGCGAAAAAGTGAATCCATACTGCCTTCTATTTTGTATTTTGACAGACTGCCAGTTTCACATAGGCCTGTAATTTTAAGCTTCATATTCATGTCCAAATTCCTTCATTTCTTTGTCATAATTAGGGGTTTTCAAAATTTTGTAGTTGGTGTCAACTGAACCACAGGTGGGTGTATGATATAACAAAAACTGTAAACATGCACTTGCATAATGTTTTGTGACATCATCATCCTACTTAGGTCAGTGGAAGCTCAGGAGAAGGGGAAACCTGTGTGACAAGGGGAGAGGATGCTGAAGAGGAAGTTCAGAGGACATTATGTGATGTGCATTTCTCAGTGATTAAAACTTTGAGCGGATGCATAAGCAGTTTATAGTCAAATTCTGGAATGTTAACGTTCTACTAGACAGGGGTAGAACAGAGAAGGTGGGATGTTGAAACTCATATGATGACTGCCAGCCATAAATAACTTTGGAAATAAAACTGCACTTATACATGATGCAAAAAGTTACAAGGAAGCAATGGCAGCTGGTTAGGGGTCACTCCTGGACGCGCCATAACTCAAGCAGTTAGTCGCTGGCTTCCCACTGCGGCGGCCCGGGTTCAATCCCGGATCTGGTTAAGTGGGATTTGTGGTGGACAAAGTGGCACCGGGGGCAGGTTTTCTCCAAGTACTTCAGTTTCCCCTGCCAATCTTCATTCCACCAAATTCTCCATTATCATAATCACCCGGGGCAGGTACAATAGGCCAATCAGTGGTCGCCGTGCTAAGTGGACCCAGTTGGACTTCACCCCCACAATGCAAATTTAAAAAATTTTTAGGGGTCACTCCTTATGACAGACATACCATAAAGAAAACCATCTTTTTATTGCAGTGTTTTCCCAAGTATGTGATGTTACAGAATTAGCAGTTCCAATGATTTTTGTCGCTATAATAAAATTCTCATTATAAACCATGCTCGTTCTATTGTTGTTTCACTGTATATCAATTGAGCTTTTATTCCCTGGTTATTTTGCTGTAGCACTGGGTGGTAGTAATAGTATGTTATACAAATGTTGACATTTTCCATATAGAGAAAATGTTTCTCTATTTTTGAAGAAACAAGGCAATATATGAATGTTTCATGTGCAGTATTTTTGCCATTAATAGTTGTCTCCCCCCATGTGTGTGTGCGCGCGTGCATGGCTTTACCTCGCTGTTGTAATATGCATTAATGCATAAGTTCCAGTCATGAATTTTATGAAATTGCAATGTAACCATAAGGGAAGCTTGATTAGAAGAAGACGGTAAAATGCCACTATGTTTATATGCATCAGATCAAATTTGTTCAGGACTATTAAATGTGTTAGGTTTATACTGTGACCATTAGCTGTCATAAATTTTGACTATACTAAAATCCAAATACTGGAACTGTGGTAAGTAATGTCATATAGTGGAATATTTTTTGTGACATTTTGTCCAGATGGGAATTCTTCACTGAAGTACAAATTTGTTTTCCACAGCCCAAATTAACAATTGATGCAAACAGTTTTCTACTTACACTGCATGGAAAATTTTTTGAATGATTCTAAAGGAAGAAAATTACATCACATTTTGATGTATAAAAATGTGAATGCTATATGAAAGCACATCACTTTGTCTCCTGGTAAAGCACTGCATTTTGTTATGAGTGTTTGTAGATATTCCATTATTGACCTTTATCGTTGTAAAATACCCTAGGTCGGTGCTCTAAAAGTATGTTTCCAAAACCCAGTGTTCGCCATGATGGCACATTAAAACTATTACAATAGGTATTAAATTATATACAAACACATATAATGTCTGAATACACAATGTGCACAATGTTCAACTTTTCACAGTCACAGCAGCCTTCCTGGTATTAAAATTTGTTAAAGTTTTTTAAAATAGTAGTTTCTGGAAAAAGTATTGATGACCTCTGAGGATGATCCATAGGGATCGAAATATGTAAGGGTGATGAGTTTTCAAGTGATAAAACTTAAATAGTCACACTGGACGGTGTTGTTTTTGTCTTTGTAATTGTTAGTGTGACGGACCAGAATGAAACAAATCAAATTGTACACTCCTGTAGGTGGGTGCTGATGTTTCAGAAGAGGAGTACACAGCCTCCATCTTTAGGGTAGAAGTGAGTGAAGTTAGGAAACTGGCAGGTTATACAAAAGTAGGGGGAAAGGAAATGAGTCATGGATGGAAGGAGTACTTGGCTTACATCTGGACTATGAGTCACCCGACACCCATGGTTTGGAAACACAGATGTTTACATCCTGACTAGCATGCATCCTGCACAGAAAATTGTCTCAAGTTGTAACATTGCTGACTTGTATTTAAGAAGTATTTGGTCTAAATCTCAACAGGACACAGACTATCCTAAGAAAGGTTGTCTGCAGTTTTTCTCAGTTCCTTCAGGCGAATTTCAAGATAGTTTTTCAGCTCGGAACATGACTGTTCCTTTTCACGTCCTTTCCAATAATTGTTCACCAACCATCCCATCATTCAGCACTTTACATTCTGAGCTGCTGATATCACTATTATATAAGTGGGCAGATATCCTACAAGAAGTTAATGTTATGCCCTCATAGCATGTTGGCTCAAGCTCTAATGTTTTTAACATACAGGATGCATATGGTTCAAATCTTGATAGGGCACTGCCCATCCTAAGTGAGGTTGTTTGTAATTATCCTCAGTCCCTTCAGGCAAATGCCAGAGGATATTACCATAAATTAGAACACAACTGCTTCCTTCCACATCGTTTCTAATAATTATTCACTGATCATCCTGCCATTCAACACTTTATATGCTAAGATACTAATAGTGTTGCTATATGAACCATAACTATAAATGGTCTGATACCCATTACAAAACTGTAATTTCTATAATGAGTATGGAAACACTATGAAACCTGCAGCTGTTAGTAACAAAGCACAAAGCCACAAAATGAAAAACATCTACTTGATAAACAGTGATGCTTACAATAGAAATAAACTTCCTGGAAGCATTGGCCATTCAGAGGAAAATAACTGCAGCATTCTCTGTTCAATCACAACAGAGATAATACACCTTACCCATGTAAAAAGATGTGATGCTATCCTGTACACTATTGCATGCTTTAGGGATTGTGACATTAGAGTGAATTTGTGAGGAGAGTACCTTGTTGTGGGATGACCATAGGATTCACTTAGCAGACAGGTGAATAAAACACACCAGAAAATTTAATTTTTTATCTTATAGCAGATTCAGGTATGAATCTCTCACATACAAGTTATAGAAATTTTTTTTAGTGCCATCATCACTTTAAGATACTTCTTATTTTATATTTTTATCATAAAAAATGTTGGAAAAAATTACATTTGTAGAAAAGAGGACACAGTTTTAATTAAAAGCCATCATTTAATTTGGGCCATGAGCTCTTACAGTGAGGAAATAAATCTGGTACTGTAAAGGTTAACTCTTTGCTGCTTCTCTAGTGGAACAGTGTGAAACTGAAAGGTTCTCTTTTAAATATAGTAAAATCTCATTTAAAATTTAAATACTCAGAGAAAGCTGGACAGATACTAGCCTGCATTATTGTTATAAATAGGATGGGAATGGTTTAATTAGGAACTAAAATAATGAAGTTCAGTTGGATAATATGGAAGTACATTGCCAGTGAAGATTACCAGTCTGTGACATCATACAGCATTTCATAAAATATGCATCACATTTGTGTGTGTGTGTGTTATATTTTTCAGTAAATTCTGCTTATTGTTCTTTCTGATTTTGAATATGTGCTGCTTGTTGCTTTAGTAGTAGTAGTAGTAGTAGTAGTACTAGTAGTAGCAGCAGTAGCAGTATAGCAGTAGCAAAAGAATACAGCAGCCAATAATGCTGACCCTCTGTAGTACTGTCTGACATGTTTCTTATAAAATATTTTATGATTCTTACATTGTTGTAGAGAGGGCTGAGTAATTTTAACATATAATCCTATTTATGTAATAGGAATTTTGAGAGTCATATTTTATATCTTATGTGAAAAACAGGACGTCTTACATTTGCTGTACAGAACTATTTCATGTATTTATACATGTTTCTTCTATGAGATCAACAATTTGCAGGAAATTTTACAAAATATTTTGAAGCACTTGGTAACTATATTTAAGCCCAAAATTTGTTTTATTCTGATATTCTTCAAACTGCTCAATTTTATGGGTGTTAATGGAATATTACATTATGAAATAGTAATTAAACACTTATTTTCTTATTTCCTGAAAGGTATCACAAATGTTCACAATTGTTCAACTGTTTGAAATGGTAATAATTTTTAATGTATTTATTCTATGGCTACAAAGGTGAACATCTTAGAATACAACTTAAAATATCATGTATGTTTTACACACGTGCATTTCACAAGTATTTTGTAGCTCTTTTAGCCACTGGAACTGCATTTAAAAAATGCTCATCAAACTATTGTCAAACCTGCAAATTTCTTTGACCAATGTGTATGGTATGGTATATTAGCCACCTCAGCTGTAATGAATAAGTACATTGTAAATTTATAGTGGATGCAAAGGAATTAGTGAAGTGCAGTTGGTAGTGACTTACAAGACAGTTAAATAGTTGCCAGATCAGGAAATGTACTGGTGTCATGACAGTGTTCAAAACAGAGAGGTACAAAAAGCACAGCCTATAGAAACACCATTGGCATAAACGCTCCTTAACAGATTCTTGTATCTTATATATTGTAACGTGTTTTGCCACTATTGACGCCGTTCGGATTGTTAATTGGTTTATTTAACAACCTACAAATCGTAACTACAAATACTTGTAACACTATGTTGTATTTTAGCGTCCTGTTGCACTGATTCATATTCATAATATGTAGCGTAGAAGTGGTAAATGGGACTGTATGCACTTGAAGACTGTTAATACATACACATTATGAATTTATAACACTGTTACAGGTTTACACACTTTACAACCCTACACAATAATCTCTTCAGTATTCTTCACGTATTTATAACGTGGGAGCTATACAAGTCTCTCTTAATTACACACTCCCAATATAACTGTACTACAGCACATAATCTTGAAGTCACACAATAAGTCATCACATGCTGACTTCTCAGTTATCGCGCACTATAACATAAGATCTTCTAACCACGCGTTCGGGTCTTTTTTCTGCAACTGCTGCTATATTTCAACTGTCTTCGGCGGCTGCTGCATTTTAACTGTCTTCTTAGTCAAAGTCATATTGCGACTGACGATCAGTCAGTCAGTAAGCCCTCCTAGGGCTCATGACCAGATGTTTATTACTCCTTGACAGTTACGGTATTGTTTCTGTGGGGCGCCCTCTCTGGTGAGAGGATGGGTCTGTCTTTGGTATATGCTGCTGGCTCTTGTCAGTGCAGTGTTTCTAGGGACTTGCGACCATATTTTACTGTCTAACTGTCTTCTTAGGCAGTGCAGTTCTCTTATAAACCCTCAGCCAGACAAGGGAAAACGCCTCACTTCCCTTTTGCCTAGTCACCGTGTTTACAGGTGTTGTCGCCTGTTACATCACAGTGGGAAGCGCTGCCATGTCACCGCAGGGGAAGGGGCGGAGGGTTGACTGGCCTGTTACCGTAGCAGCGACAGCGCTCGATGTTCTTATGTCACCACTGGCAGGGGAGGGGATGTCCTCCATAGCGCAATATGTCACACTGCTCCCTTCTTAAGGCTGTTCGTGCTGAATAGCCTAATGGCACATCCCCGTTCCTTTTATTTGCAGGCTGTTCTTGCAACGTCTTCTTTCTTGTCCAGCTACTCCTCTTGCAGCGACAATCCTCCGTCCATTACATCCGCTCCCCTCTTAAGACCAGCTCGTCTCGAGCGGTTTCCTTTTAACTTGCCAGAAGATCCAGTTGTATCACATTCACTCCTTCACTTTCTCCCATCACACATTCACTCTCTCTGGGGAGGCCGGTGCTTCTAATTTACCAGCTCCTCTTCTGTGCTCTGCTTCTTTTTCGTTTCGAAGGGGGTCGATCCCTCCACAAGGTCCAGTTTTTGATGTTCTAGAATCTGTTGGAAATCTCTACTGCTTGTTGCCTGATATCCAGTCCTTGGGTCTTCCTGAGGGTTCAGCTGGCTGTTCTCTCGTTCCCAGGATGCAGCCGCTCTCTTGTGTGTTCATCCTTCACTCCAATGCTGCCCTCCGGTTCCACCTTAAGTCTCCGCCCGCTGAGGGCTCCTCTTGCAACGCTGTTCCAAGTCTGGTTGTTCCTGACGATGTGTCCCTTGTGCCATGCCGCTCCTGCATGGCAGGTCATCCTGCCGGGAGCGGCGACACATTTCTTCTGGCACCCATCCTGATTTTGGGTCTGTTCTTTCTTGAAGACATCTCTCCAACGTCGTGCCACTGTTGCGCGATGGGATACCTCCCTGCAGGTGGCAGCCAACTTCATCCGGGATACACAATCTCCTCAGGTCCAAGATTTCCTGAAGATGTTTCTTTTGCGCCATGCCACTGTTGCACGGCAGGACACCTTCCTGCTGGTTTTCTTCTGTCGTGCCACTTCCACACGGCAGCTCGTCCCTCTGCGGGCTATGGCTAACTTCTTCTGGGGTTCACAATTTTCCCGTGTCGAATTCTTCATATTTCGCTGATTTCGGTCCCTACGCCTTTTCTTCTTCGGTTCTCCGACCGGCATTACGTCGGCGTCTTCTACGGGGACATCTCGTTGTTCTGCCGCCTCAGGTTTCCTGTCCAGTGAGGATGGTATGGCCATCGATCGAGATTCTGGGGAGGGGGGGGGGGGGGGTATAGCAAACTGAACCCCTTCAAAGGGACGACCCCTCCAGCAGAAGGTGCGGTACCTGGGACATACGGTATCACCGGGAAGTGACCGCAAACCCAAAGAAACTGGAGGCTGTACGAGAAAGGACACCGCCGAAAGACAGACTCCAAGTCGAAGAGCTTCCTTGGTCTGTGTAACTATTGCTGGAGGGTTATAACTGGATTCGCGGACACCGCAAAGCCGCCGATCGAAGTCGCGGAAGAGAAGCGAACTTTCGAGGAGTCCAGAGAATCAGAAGCCGCCATCCAGTTTCTGAAGAAGTCCAAGCATAACCGCTGTCGTAAGTTCATCGTCGACAAGGGGTTGGAGGCGTGCTGCCGTAAGTTCAGGAAGGTCAGGGTGTATAGTAGCTTATTACAGCAAGACCCCAGCCAAGGCTGAGAGAAACTACTACTTGACTCGACGGGCTCTACCGGCTGTTGTGAAGATGTTGGATTACCCCCACAAATACTTCTGTGGTCAAGAATTCCATCTGCGCACCGACCACTCCGCCGTTACCAGACTCCTTAGTTTCAAGAAACTGATAGAGCAGATAACCCTCCTGGCCCAACGTCCAGGAGTACAGTTTTTACGTCCTAACGTATTCTAGGGCCGCAGCACAGAAGCGCAGAGCCCCACCCCGCTCCTGCTCTCTTCGCTCTGATGACATTACCCTCCTCGTCAAGACTGTTAACCCCGAGTAACTTCTAGTTACGGTGGCAGGCTATCCAAAGTGCGTCACCATAATTTTTGCTCTTGGATAATGCTAGCCTACGTCGTTGACTCGGGTGACCACCTTATAAGGCCTACCATAGACCGCTCGCCCCTCTCATTTGACAGTAGTTTTAAAACAGACGGCTTAATGCGGATATGTCTTCATTGTAATGCAGGCTTACATAAGACAATTTTTAAGAGAGACTGAATTTAATGAACCCCTTCCGTGTAGAATTTATGCCTGATTCAGAATAGATGTAAAATTACATCTGTTACCCTATCATCGTCCAATATATCGAAGGACACGTACGGGTCTGTAGTAAGGAAAGAGTTAAACTACGCATGCAATTTCAAAAACGTTAAATTGGTAACGGGATTAATTATTATGTACGTCACAGATGCCTATACCGAACTTCATATCGATTAACATCTCTAAATATGTAATCCTTGGTTATAATTATGTAGCTACGCGTAGGTCCTGATATACCAGGATTGATGCTGAAAATTAAAGCTTTCGAAAACACTCCATGTAACGTATTTTTTATGCTTACAACATAAAAATACACCTTTCACAGGGAACCAGAAAATATGATGCCATTTTTAATGTCATGGTTTCTTAAATGGTTGTGTTTTTGTTTGTCAAGGTGGCGGTGAAATCATGATTTGGAAACGAAATTAGGAACATGAATTAATACCAGGTATATTCCCTACGCTTCTCGTGTCATTTTCTCTTGACGTAATACGCGATGTAAAAAGTCTTGGAAACGTAATCATCGACATGGATCAATAAACCGGAATATCCCCCCACCTTGTGGCATCTGTCTGCGTAATCCGACCTGTGAAAAGTCACTGTTTTGCAGCGTTGTAGGCCTTTCCGCGCCAGGCTGGTTCGTAGTAGGTTGTAAGTTAGCGTGCGGTTTGTATTCTAAGCCGCACGTGGAGGGCCCGAAGTCATAAGAGAAAATTTGATTAATTTGTGTTATTGATTATGGCTGACTATTTAATTTGCGGCGGTACGGGTTATGTTCCCGAAGATGGTTTAACAGGTTCCCAGTTGTTTGGGAACGGCGATGGATTAACGTATAACGATTTTATAATTTTACCAGGATTTATTGATTTTACTGCAGAAGAAGTGGATCTCACGTCAGCTCTTACAAAGCAAATAACACTGAAAGCTCCGCTAGTCTCGTCTCCTATGGATACAGTTACTGAATCCGATATGGCTATTGCAATGGCATTGTGTGGAGGTATTGGAATGATACACCACAATTGTACCCCAGAATATCAGGCCAACGAAGTGCATAAAGTGAAGAAGTATAAGCAGGGCTTCATTCGAGATCCAGTTGTGCTTAGTCCTAAACATACTGTAAGTGACGTGTTTCGTGTAAAGAGAGAGCATGGATTCTGTGGAATTCCAGTTACTGAAAATGGGAAATTAGGTGGAAAGTTGGTTGGCATAGTTACATCCCGAGATATAGACTTTTTGGATGAGGCCATGGACAGGTGTCTTGAAACTGTGATGACAAAGTTTGAAGATCTGATAACAGCATCATCTAATGTGACACTTCAAGAAGCTAACAGCATTTTGGAACATTCAAAGAAAGGAAAATTACCAATTATCAATGATAGAGATGAATTAGTAGCACTGATTGCCCGTACGGATCTCCAGAAGTCACGCAGTTATCCCAATGCTTCGAAAGATGAGAATAAACAACTTCTTGTAGGTGCAGCAATAGGTACTCGTGAAGAAGACAAACGAAGACTTCAACTCCTGTCACAGGCAGGTGTGGATGTAGTGCTCCTAGATTCATCACAAGGTAACTCAGTTTATCAGATTAATATGATTCGTTACATCAAACTGACTTACCCAGAATTGCAAGTGATTGGTGGTAATGTTGTGACAGCAGCCCAAGCTAAGAATTTGATTGATGCAGGAGTAGATGGTCTACGAGTTGGAATGGGAAGTGGATCAATTTGTATTACTCAAGAAGTTATGGCGGTGGGGCGTCCTCAGGGTACAGCAGTGTACCGTGTGGCAGAATATGCTCGTCGGTTTGGTGTACCTGTGATTGCAGATGGGGGCATTCAGTCAGTGGGTCATGTTCTTAAAGCACTGTCATTGGGTGCATCTACAGCAATGATGGGTTCCCTAGTGGCAGGCACTTCAGAAGCCCCAGGGGAATATTTCTTTTGTGATGGTGTTCGAGTGAAGAAGTATCGTGGTATGGGTAGTTTAGAAGCAATGTCTCGGAAAGATGCTAAAGGATCTGCAATGAACCGCTACTTCCATAACGAAAATGATAAAATGAAGGTTGCGCAAGGTGTAAGTGGATCAATTGTAGATAAGGGATCAGTGTTACGATTCTTGCCATATCTGCAGTGTGGTTTACGACATGGATGTCAGGACATAGGTGCTCGCAATTTATCCATTCTCCGGTCCATGATGTATTCAGGAGAGCTGAAATTTGAACGTAGGACCCAGTCTGCACAGCTTGAAGGAAATGTTCATGGTCTGTTCTCATATGAAAAGCGATTGTTTTGAGATTCACTGGTCTGTGGTGGACCACCTAATTACTAGTTGGTCCAGTTTAAAACTTGAATAGGTTGTGAATCCTATAATCCATCCTCCAGAATAGTTCTGTGGTTGTTCAGTTTTTGAGTTGTAATTCAGTTGACCCTGCAAGCTACCAACTAAATGAGGGACACATATGTGATGATGTAGTGTGGTGCTTATCTTCTAAACAATTTAATTTTTACAATACTGTATTTTCACTAAGGGGTATTCATTTGAGGAGTTTGTCATGCCCGGCAGCATAAATTTCAAACACAGCTAGAGGTACAAAGACAAAACAACTACATCCAGTGTGACTATCGATGTCCCTCTTATAATGGTCTATAGGGACCGAAATATGTAAGGGTGTTAAGTTTTCAAGTAGTAAAAACTTCAATAGTCACACTGGACGGAGTTGTTTTGTCTTTGTAATTGTTAGTGTGACAGACCAGAATGAAACAAAAAAAAATACAGCTAGAGGTATTTTATGATTTTGAAAGTATTATTTTAAATGAGTATTGAAATGTAAGTGGAAAAACTACTTAAGCCTTGAAGTAACAGTTCTATTCTGTGTTTATACATGTGCCAAATTGGCAGTGTCTTCATCCTTCCCACGCAAGTCACTTGGAATTGTGATTTGCATCATAAAGTGTCATCAGGCATGTTTGCCAGTGTTTTTACATGACCTCATAAATAGCATAATTGTATGATGTAGTGATGCGTTTGTGTTCATATGAATATATGCTCAGTCATAGGCATTACAAGTATGAAAGTCAAACTTCTAACAGTTCACAGATCTTGAGTGTTTGTAATGCAACTGTTATACTTAAGTTGACACAAGTTTAATACATAGCATATAAACTGTTTTATGTGTGCCTGGGATAATTCATCTATTTTTTTTTATGTTCATTATGACCTAAGAAGTAAGATATTCCATCATATTTTATAAAATGACTAAGGGTGCCATCCAATGTGATTGATTTATAAAAGTTGTATTTCAATATTTCATTTTTCTGGATGTGTTTTGGTCGGGTTGACCATTTTCAGAAGGACACAATCAACATTTAGGAAACCACTATTACAATGTCATTAATATGTAAAAGTTATCTCTTGTAACTACATTAAGTACATGAAGTGACTGGAACATTTCTAAGTTATTACGATTATATGTATATGCCAAGAGATAGCTTAGGAGAGTTGTTTATGCAGGATGTAACCGAAAGGTGTGGGCAAACTTTGAACATGAGTTCCACATACCAAAATGTACATATCAGTATATGTCTGGGAGCATTTAATTTGTGAGTTATAGTTGTAAGAGTACATTTGTAATACGTGCTCAATATTTCCTTTATGAAATTCCATGAACAGCTGAACACATCATGGGCCACTACATCCTCACAAAGAGGCTAGGGTAATCGCAGGTGGTCAGACAAGTATCCTCAATGCAGTGGTGAAATGCCTCCTCATTGTCAACAGGAGCTGCATACACAAGGAGTTTTAGGTATATGCAGAGGTATGAATGAATGTATGTATAAGGGGTGGGCCTTCTCAGTCCTTGCACCGCGACCTACAGTGATCTGTTGTGCTTCCCCTTTTGATTATCCCCTCAGCAATCCTGCGCTTGGAATGAAGCACAGGATTTTGTATGTGCGGGCGTCGAAATAGTCACTTGGTTCCATAAAGTAGTGACCCAAGTGACATAATCTTGAATAAGCTTAGGCCTCACATTCAAACAGGATATGTGTGGCTGTTTCATCTTCTTCTAGATACCTCTCACAAGTGGGACTATCACTTTGTCCCAGTTTGAAGAGGCGTCCTTTAAGGTGACAGTGTCCTGTAAGTAGTCCCACCACCCATCGTACCTGGTTTCTGTTTAACTTCAACAGTTCCTTCGCTCTTTTAGCAGAGGGTCCTCGTATGAGTCCCTTTGCATGCCTGAGTCCAGTCAAGGATCCCCAGATCTGCAGATGTAACAGCCCATTGGATTCAGGTCTGGCATGCGTGGAGACCGTGCAATGGTCTACCTTTATCAATTATGATAAGTGTTAATTGAGAACACTTCGCACAGCATGGCCAGAATGTGCCAAAGCACCATCTTGCATGTACCACATTCTTGCTCTGACTGCTGGTGGGGCATCTTCTGGTAGCTTTGGCAGATCATGTAAGAGGAAATCTCAGTAGTGGTTGCCTCTGAACCGATGTGGCAAAACATGCGGGTCTACCAAAAGCAACAGTCCCTGCCCACGTGTTATTGCTGAACTGCTGCCTGTGTCTAGAATGGATTACACTATGAGGATTCTACTGTGCCACCCACTGTCAGTTGTGAATACTGATGAGAATTTACGTGGCAGTCCATGGTGATATGTGTCAGGCATATATTGATTCTTGTGGAGGACATTTTGAGCACTTTTTGTAAACGACTTTTTCAACCAATCTTGTTTTAGTATGTGGAACTCATGCCCAAAGTTTGGCCACACCTTTCATTTACCCTTGTATGTCTGTGTGTGTGTGTGATTATTATCTTTATTATGTAATGTGAACATTTGGTACCAGAAATAAATTTATTTTGTTTGACATATTTTTTGTGATTTGCTTCAAGGGATGGGATCTTTAAACTCTAAAATTTTGTATTAATGTCTTAGTGACTGATAAATGAATTTTATGTATATACTTATGGCAGGAGGTTTCAAGGGAAGAATTGAAAATATGGAGGAATAAAGTATTGATATACTTTGATATTGATGCAATTTAATAAAGAATTTCAGTATTGATTTGTGTGTGTATGCTTGCATGCATGATGCACCCTTATACAGTGTATCTCCCAATGCACTTAACTGCATGTTTCACTTCCCAGCTAATGTCCAGGAACAGCCTGCTGTGGGTTGAGCACTTTCAGTTACCCCAGTACAAATGCAGACTTACAGTGACAGCCTGTGTGTTGTAATAAATGCCACTGAAATGATTCATGGTCACATGAAGTACAGTAGTGTCAGTGTTCAGTTGTGGCTATTAGGCATTAGTGAATATGGTTCACTGTACTGTTTAAAATGCACTTTTATATGAATCATGTGTGAAATGTGGTTTTGGTAAAAAGCATAAGGGTCAGTTTCAACCATAACAGGTGTGTGTGAACTTAATAGTAAACTCAGGACACAACTGGGTCACTTCTGGACAAGACACTTTATGTAATTCATAGATGTGATAGTTTTAAGAATAAAGTGTACAAAATAAATCCCATATGTGTGGAGTTTAAGGAAAAGATCTAGAAGAAAAATTAAAGTACTTCCCTTCAGCTTAAGCATGTTTAAAGGATGTGGAGAGTAAGTCGCTCTGATTGTTCTAGTGGAGCAGTTCTGGTCTCATATTAGGAATAATGTATAGTAATGGGCAAATGTATGCTTTTGCTGGGCAGTAGATGGGAAGTGACAGAAGTAATAAAATCTGTATTGTTATTGATGACGGGGAAGGTAATGATTTTAGTCTCCCAGACATGTTGCTACTAAGGTCCATTGTTAGTGCCAGTTAGAGAGTTCTCACTGATACTGGAGTCCAAACCATCCTGACAGATCATAATCTATGTAAGACCAAACTATTTAGGGGCAAGGTACATCACTGATGGCCATAGTTTAGTGACTGGTCAAGGCCCACCCTTTCTTTGTTCATTAAGAACCAAAGATTTGTCTACTTTGCTAACCAAAGCTAAGGGTTAACAAAGTACATGGTAGGATTCTTCCATGTGCCTACATTTCCTGCACATAACTTTCTGAGGAGCACAAATATGTAGTACCACCTCAGTGTACAGTGGCCAGTTAAAACTCTACAGTGTTTGCTATCTAAAGTTAATGTGTTGTTAGATAGCTTATGTAGAGGCCTTTCATTGAAGAACTTTGACAGCCGCATAATGGTGTGGCAGCTGCTGTTTAGATTGAAGACAAATGTGTAGGAAGATGTACTGGAGAAGACAGTCTGTAATTTTGTATATTCAGTTTTCAATTTTTCTGTAACTTTATAGTGATTTGTTGTTCCCCTGACTGGGTATCTTATGTGGAAAAAATATCAGAACAATGTGATGTTATTGGGGACCAAATTTTTCATATACTTAAGAGGACTTGAAAAACAGAAGTGAGAGGGACCAAATTTGTTGTATAATTATGAGGGTTTGGAAAGTAGAAGGGAGAAAGATTCATGTGTAATACATATATTCATTCATTTCCAGTATAAATTCTCCTTAATGTTAAGAAGTTTTCAGTAGATGGGTTTATGAATTAAACAGAAAAGTACTTTGACTAGTGATGAGATATACTGGAGTGGAGAAATATGACCATATTATAAAAAAAAAAATAAAAAAACATGAGTGTTCTTTGAATCCGTCTAATAGTGGTTAAATTTTATGTCCAGTTTCCATTTTGCTTTAAAGGTTCTTACTGCTGGCATTACTTTGATTTATATAGAGGATGACTCAAGTGGACATACAGATTTCTTCAACTGCTTCAGACAGTTTTAACTGTTTGTGTGCTTAATATAGTAGTATTTTTTTATTGCTAGTGGGGTGGGACTAAGTCCCTTTACACAGCCTTTTAGCCTCAAGATTGAAACATACATGTATTGCACTAATGCATGCAACTGTTGAGAAATTCGTTGATAACAGTTCTTTGCCAGTATATACCAGCTGAAAAAGAAACCCTGGTATTGCAGTATATTTCCAGGAATTCAGGGTAGCTGAAGAGGTGGAACTTCATTTCATTTTTATTTCTGTGTGACTATTTTATGACATTTGTTATTTAACCAGTTGTGGGAAGATGGTTTCCACTCAGCAGGTTGGCTCAAGCAGTAATGCTTTTGACTTCTATTAGGGATTTTCCCAGATTAAATCTCAACTCCTGCATGAAATTTTTTGCAATTTTTTTCATTTCTTCCATGCAGATAGTAATTTAAATTAGGCCACGACCACTTCTTTCCATGTCCTTTCCAATTAATTCCTCATTCTCCAATAATTGATGCTATATAGTCTTAAATTACTGACAGTATCATTAAAGAAAGTACAAATGAAATATAATAAAGAGAAACTTTTTCCAGGATAACATCTATATCTAATGGAAAGTTGTAGTTATTTAATTATGTTATAAAATCTAAGAAAAGAGAAGGAAATACTGAAAAATTACAACATATAAAAATAGCTTTTTAAGAATAGGTTGCTGTATATATTAGCCCAATAACTATGTAAAGTCATCTTTAAGCTTGTGGGGACATGTTGCATTATCTGTTGTGCACTTAGGCAGCATCAAAGAACTGAGAAAACCTCGTACTACTAGGACAATGCTGATAAAGAATTGGAAGTTAAAAGAGTGACTCATCATATCGGTAGTATGTTCTTTGCAAAATGCTAGCAGCTGCCTTTGTTTTAATGCTGGAAGAAAATGCATATTCAAATGGCAGTAAAGCCTGATGCTGCTGCTCAAAAGGGGGGGTGGGGGTATGGATGTATGTGTGCATGCATGCATGAGAGACATGTCTAAAGCATGTGGTAGTAACAGAAACTCTAGAAAAGTGAATAGCACAGTGGAGTCCTTCCTTCCTTTAGCATTTAACAAAAAAGAGTTGCCATATTGCAAAAGAAATAATCCTCCTGGACTTCAATGATGGATCCATTAGTAGAGGACAATGGTCTTATGTGAACATGTCTGGTTTATACCTCAGGAAAAATTTAAATATGAATTTAGAAATTAGTCCTCTGAAAGCTTAAAGTAAAAAGCACTTACTTGCATTGTTGTCCTGTGATGGTCTGATCGACCATCCAAGGTGTCTTTAAGCTGTGTATCCTCAGCTGTCATGGAATTTTAAAAACAAATATGATGGTTAAACTCTGTTTTTTGATGTAACAGAAACAGTTATTGATAGTCATTGATAATTGTGTACTGTTTTGAGGAACATGTGTTCATACGCATTGAATTATAGAATTTGGAAACAAATCCACAGAATGAGAAGGGTAGTAATTGACTGTGCAGTACCTTATTTGCAAAGCTGCAGTATCAGGTTGTCTTTGGAACCATGCGAGTTGAAGTGAAACTCTATTCTGTATGTCCATTTTTAATCTCGTTTTCTTATTTTGAAAAATGAAAATTGGGCTTATGCCATCTCCATCCTCTCGCCCCCCCCCCCAGACAACTTGAACTAATCTTTATGAAACTTGGTATGTATGTTGTGGCAACTGAGCCTGTCTCAACTGTGTACATCATAAATCCTCCCATCAGTCTGTGTGTGTATACCGCCTGTCCTTGCTAGGCTGCAGCTCTGTAGACATGTTCCTGCAACAATAGAAGAATTGTTGGAGATGCCTTTTTCCATATGGTCCATGTCTTATCAAAGAAGAGTCTGTCTGTCTGTGTATCCCCCTAATCATTGCTAGGCATTGCCTGAGTAAACATATTCCTATGACAATGAAAAATTGTTGGAGGTGTCAGTTTCTGTGCAGTCTGCATTTTATCAAAGGAAATCAGGCAATTAGTTCATCCCAGAACTTTTTGTTTCTTATGCATTCCTTGTACAATGTGTGTAAACTGAATGTAAGGCAGGTTATGTCCCAGCTCTGTGTGTTTCAACGTTAGAACTGGTGAATATATTTTAATGGAATTTTATAATATCAATCCTTATAAGAAGTTGTAGGACCATTTCAGTTTTCATAAAGCTTGACAGCATGGAAGCATACTTCCTTAATAAAGTAAATGGAACAGCTGGGAATATTCAGAATATCAAGGTACAAAGAATGCATGTGGAACCTTTTTTTTCCCCCATTATAGATTACATTTCTGTCTAGTTTCCTTTGTCATGGACAGCTTGATCTCATTTTTAAACCTCTGTGAGTGGCATTTTGTTAACATTGATGTGAGAAGTTGGCAGTCCTTAAATTACTGTGTTGCACCAAAGTTTTTAGTATTCGGAGTGTAATCCATGTTTTGGGATGTGTGCGCTAATAATGGTCCTTCTGGTATAGTGCAGTGCATGTGTGATCTGACAGTAAAGTTTGCAAACACATCATGTTAAAAGTGCTACAGACCTCATTGCTGAATGTCACTATGATCGCCTTCAAAGTACTCCCCTTGGGATGCTATGCACCAATGCCAGTGCCTAGTCCACCCTTCAATACAGTTTGTAACTGGTTTTGTCGACTGGCCTTCAGAGCTGCCATCATATTACTCCTGATGTCGTCAGTGTCATCAGAATGCTTTCCTTTCAGTATTTCCTTTACCTTTGGGAACAGAAGAAAAGTCAATGGGGCTAGGTCCGGTGAACAGGGAGGGTGTTCCAGCACAGTTATTTCTTTACTAGCCAAAAACTCCCTCACAGACAGTGCCATGTGAACAGGTCCTTTGGGACCATTTTTGCACACCTTCCTCATGTCAAGATCTTCAGTTAAGACACTCCTAACTGTTTCTCTGTCAATGTTTGCTTGCTCTGCTGTGCTTCTGACAGCCAACAATTTTCACACACAATTTGACAAATTTTTGCAATGTTTTCTTCAGTTCTGCTAGTTGCTAGCCGTCCTGATCTCTCCTCATCAGTGACACTTTCTCTTCCCTCAGAAAAATGTATCACCCACTTGCAAACTGCCATTTTCTTCATAGCATTGTCCCCGTAAACTTGCACTAATATCTCTCTGATTTCGCTTCCATTCTTTCCAAGTTTAACAAGAAACTCTGACATTCTCACGACAACACACCAAAACACACCCAGACAATAATAGACACCACTCAGAAAGAGATTGCCATAGATTAACAACAACACAGCTGTGAAACACTTACATGCCAATGTCATCAAACCATACTGAGTTTTCTGTCCACTGCTGCCACAGCAAGAACACAGTGGTGAGTTCATGAACTTTATTGTCAGACCACGTATATCATCTGAAAGGCAGTCAGTTATATCATTCTTTATATGAAGTGAATGAGGTGTGTTGGAAGTGTATAAATACTTAAAATTGAGTAAGATTTTGTTAGGTTACATATAAAGAATTCAGCCAGAGTATGTCCTGAATGGAGAAAAGGGTATACTCGTATAATATTTAACTTTGCACTTTCCATAATCTAGAAATTATGGGTGTGTTCACTGTTACAGCAGAGCAACCATGGTTTCTTTCTTTATGAGTCGAGCTTAAAATGGGATGAATTATCTAATGCTGAGTCACTAACTGCAGGATGTGATTCACTGTAATGGATTGAACTAAATGTTGTCACTTTTTACAGAATCATGTGTAAAAGTGCTGTAACTCAGTAGAATGTAGAAGGTATAAGATTGCATAGCATCATGTTGAAATGACCCCAGACACTAGCACTGATACTTCCATGTCCCTCCAGGATAGAACCTTGAATGATGCCATGACTAATTCCTTCCACATTATTTGCAATTTATTATTCACCACCATCCAGAGACTGTGGTCACAGTTATTGACAATGTTACCAAATAAACTGTGAATATGTGCATTGATACATGTGTTCAAAAATACATGTCTTGAAGGGAACCCCTTCAGAGTACTTAATTCAGTAATTAGCCGTGATGAATTTTCCTGTGTGTAATATAATAACTTTGACTTGGAACTGGTGAAGGCTTTTTATTGTCATGTTCCCCATCTTTTTTTAATAGCGTGTATGATTCAGTTCTGATCAACACTATAATAGAGTTGTAGTTTTCAAATTTTGTACATCTGTTTTTGAGGTATACATAAAAGTGCTCAGTAGCATGAAACTAGATCTGTGCTTCCATTTTTTTTGTTATGCTGATATGTTTTAATGACATAAAACATGGTATCATCACTCAAAATGGAAATTGAGCATCATGTCACTATGAAAGCCAGAACATGAAAAAATTATTCTAGTTTGTTACTGCAGTATTTCTGGAACATGATGCAGTGAGATTCCACTTTAACTGTGATATCACGTTAAAATATATGTATATCTTTTGCATGTTTTGATGCACTGTAGCATGGTGTAAACAGTTATTTTCACCAAATTCGTTTGCAGTGACAGTAGAATCTGTCAGTGTCTGAAAAATGTATCCAGCAGTGACACATCCATATTTTTATGTGTGTGTTCATAAATACCTTTCATTATTTAAAAAAAATAAAAAACAAGAGTTTATATGTTTTTATATCTGTGGATTGAAATATCTGTTGAAGTAAACTTTGAGAATACATATATTTAGAGGATCATTTTAGTGACTGGAACGTGTTAAAAGTGATTTTATAGTATTATCATGTGCAGTCTCTTTGTGCTATTTTATTTTATCATTGCCTGCACAATCAGATACCATCACCCTTCAATATTTTGGTTCTATTTTTGCACATCAGTCAATTTTCTCTTATTAGCGGTGATTGTGTGTGTGTGTTTTGATTGCTTGGTTAGCACTACTATAAAATCTCGTTATAACAAATGCTTAAAACAATAACAAATTTGTGTCTCATAAGACTCCCAAATTTATATTGAGTGAATGTTAACAGCCTCGGATATAGTTTGTTGTAACGAGATTTTTAGAAAATTTTTAGCTTGGGGCCATTCATAAAGCTGTTAGTTATGTCATTTCATATTACAAATTAATACCGAGTGCTGTAGAAAAACTTTGAAAACTGAAGAAAAATTTGGGAGTCCTACTACCAATGCTGTAAAAATGTATTGCATTAGTTGGTATTGATTAAACAGGAGGGAACAAAAACGTTTCTTTGCAGTAGGCATGATGGTGTTTCAATTTTATGTGCATTTCTTTCACATAATGTGTTATGGAAGAAATTTTAACAGATTTTCATATCAGCTACTGTTATCATAATATTTTTCCAGAAAATGTGTTCTTCGTTTTTGTAACCACTAAGATGTCAGAAATCGAAATAAAATAGAACATACTGGCTTGTGTTTATGAATGGCTCCTGAAATGTTCATATGTGTTTTATGTTTATAATGTGGACTGGATTCTCTTGTGAACAGAGTGAAGCAAGCAGAATGAGGCAGTAATGTCAGCATACAGACATCAGCTGTGGAACTTCAGTTGCGTGTCCTTCAGCAGTATCTTCGGTGATAAATTATAATAACAGTTTTCAACTGGCTTTGTTTAGGCTGTGCAGTATATATCAGTTCTACTTGTGTGAATGGTACAGATGGGCAGTGATAATGAAAAGGTCTTTGTTATATTCACGCACTAATGTTGTACTATTACAGTAGTGAATAAGTAATTGTTTACTAAAAGGTTTTGACTTTTCCAGAGTTGGGATTCTTGTAAATAGTTCTCATTTGACAGAATCAAAAGGAAGGGAATTGTTATAACGAGATTTTACTGTTTTGGAATTCAATTATTTCAGTTTATTTTATCCTTTGCTGAGAAAAAAGAAAATTGTTCAGCAGAAATATGGTGGTGATGATGGGTGTGAGCCAGTCAGATTGTACATGCCCCTCCTTCAAAGGAACTTTTGAAAGTTGTTACTGTAATCTTTTTAGTTATTTTTTTTTATACTTCGTATACAGCAGATTTAATCTATTCATGAAAATATATCGGGTCTTGTGCATAAAAGAAAAGTAATAGTTAACTTAAATATGTTGATTTTAATATGACTGAGAAGAGCCATTGAGATTGTACATTTCGCTTCGAGAGAAGTTGCTCTGTCAAGTTCAGTTTATTGTTTTGTATATATTGTAAATAATAATTATATAGTCTTGAAAGTGTTTCTCTCAACCTTTGCTGTAATATTTATGTAATTGTGGAACTTACAATTCTGAATGGTGTTTATGCAGTTGTTTCTTATGATTCATGTGTGCATCTTAAGAACTATATGCAGAGAAGGTTATTATTACATTCATATGAATTTTCTTTTTCATTGTCATATTTATGTTTGTGAGGTCCAGGTTGAAGGACAGGAAGGGCCAGTCATTGTGACACTTGTTTTCTGTATTCTTCAGCTTTATGTAGCATTGTAATTTTCTAATTTAGATAGTAGTGTTCTTGTTTTATAGGCATTAGTTGTAGATAGTATAAGATATTCCCTTGTTTTATCCATTAGCAGGTAGTTTTATTTGTTTGATTCCCTAAACGTTTATGATATGGTGTACATGAGACTTTGTGATTTAGAATTTGGTTTGTTAATAGGACATGTTGCTGCTAATAATAACTGTATGTGAGTTGGATGTTCTGGTATTGTTTTCCATTATTTTGTTATGTACAGGGGGAACTTGTGTACAGATATGGATATGGTAAACGTTTGTACATATTCATACATCATAGAAGTGATGCTTATTGCCTGTGAAGTAACTCTCACTCATAGATACCCACATGCAGGGTGAAGTGGGAAAGGAAAAAGGAGGAGTGTGCAGGGCCTAATTCTAAATCAAAATGAAAGTCTGAAAAATTGATGTTGGGTTTTGTAGGTGTTTCAGTATGAAATATTCACCTTGTTTCAGTGTCATATTGACATTTGTTATGTGTCTTACTACTCATCTTAGCATGTTTGTGGAACATGACTGTTCGCTAGTATTCAAGAAAGGGATGCTGAGATGTTCAGCAGTGTTAGATTTTATTTTGAAGTGCTTGTTTAAAAATGCATAGGTCAGTCTTTACTATGGAGTGTGTAGTGATTGTTCAGGTGTGTTATATTCTAGATGCGTGATATCCAGGATAACTTTGTTGACATCTATTTTTTACATTTTTCTGTAGCATGTACCAGTTTTGAATATATGTATAAATATGAATGTCATTTAATGAGTTAAATATTGAAAGCATTGTGTTAGTTACGAACTGTCTCTCTGTTCAGTTCAGTCTTTGAGATGGAACAAAGTAATATGTAATCTGTTTAGAGCATTATTTTGTAATCCCATTAATTTTGAATCAGTGAAGTCGTTTAAATTGCTGATTGTAATAATTGGAGTGATGTGTTTATGTGATGTATGTTTTAGTTGTGCTTTGAGGAGTGGGATAAAAATAAATAATTGAGTAACAAATCTGACTGCCCTGTTTGTTCCTCTTGTATCATTTTCTGCCACACAATTTAAATCCATTGTTCCTATATGAACAGTCCTAATATGTTAAATGCAGCAAGGTAATAATATCAATCTAAAATATCTGTGAGGATATGTCATACTTTGAGAAAGCAATCTTGTGGAAGGGCCCGTGTGTTCTTTTGGAGACATCTGGTATGATGTGGTTCCTGTTATGCATTTCAAATAGAATCTAATAACTTTCTGAAGGTGGAAAAACAATCTGTATCACTCTCTGATGATGGCATGTCCTCCGTATTGTTAACCACATGACTAGTATTCTAAAATTGAAAACAATTGTAGGATAAGATACATTAGCACCTACTGACTGTTTAGCCAGTGGAACTGTCATGAAGAAGTCATGTGATCTCATTTGAAAAGTGTATTAAACTCTCACATCATCAAACTTGGTAGCTGATGTTTTTGTGTTGCCCTTTGCACTGAACTGTACATGTAAGAACACCATCTGTGAGGACTGTCCTTGCCAGTGAACTTCCGCATTTTCTGTCAGCTAAGATCATTACCGTATTTACGCATGTGTAGGCCGCATATTTTTTGGCAAAAATTCAAGAGGAAAACTGGGGTGCGGCTTATATTCGAAATCACGCTTCATTTAAAAAAATTATATTCATAATTAGTAATACAGGGTGTAATACTCCTGAAATAATATTCCAAGAAAATTATTTTTTCTATAATTTCTGTCTGAAAATTGTGCTGCGGCCTCTACACGCACGCAGCCTATACATGCGTAAATACGGTATTTATCACAAAAGTATCTGCAAAATGTGCTTGGACATAGTCATCAGTCAGATCTCATGATCAACACTCCCATTCACATTAAAGAAGTACCAACCTTCATTTCTCAGCCTGGAAGCTGGCTTTCCTACAGTTCTTTAACGGTTTCTTTCAATCCCTGTAGGCATATACTAGGAAGTTCATTAAATAGGCTATAACCACTCACATTCTTCTAAATTTATTATTCATAATCATCTTGCTCTTTGTTGCTATATAACTTAGGCAACTGAGAAAACATCAGTCATCACTTGGTCCATTTCCTATGTTATGTGATGTCTGTTGTGTACCAAAAACTTTCCACTGAGTCTCCAGTTTAGCTGCTTGTGTTCACATTTAAATATATTAAACTGTGATGCATGTCACCATGAAAATCCTCATCACAGAACATTTGAGTTTTTAGGATGTACAAAACGAAGTGGAATGCTTATTGTATTTAAATTTCACAGCAGTTCTACAAGTTATTTTGCAAATATTAGTATACATTTTTGCAAACATTTTCTTATAAAAGTACTGCAATGTTTTAAAAAGACAGTGATAATATTGAAGATATTTTCCAATGTGTAACCCTGAAATGAATTGTTAATACAGCCATGTTTCTGTTACGAGTTCTAGTACAGAAGTATTTCCTCAGCTCATGAGCTTCTGCCAGCAGACATTTACATGTATTTGGCTGAGGTGTGTCAGTTCAGCCATTTCACCTTCAGATGATTACCCAATTTTGTTACTTAAATTTGCATTACATTTGTGTGAATACTTAATCTCAGGACACAAGGAACTTTTCATGACTGGTTTCTAAATTATTCCATAACTGGAGGACCATATGTAGGTTAAGATTGCTGTCTTCTGGGATGTAACACCAGTGTGTGTGATGATATTTTCCAGAAGACAGTAATCTTTAAATTCATCACCATGAGAGCCTCAATTCTCACACAATGTATCAGTGATACACATGTGATTTCTTTTATCAAAAATGTTAAAATCATTTTAATACAGAATTATTTATAAAATTTGTACAATAAAGATAGTTAGGGGAGACAGTGATATTGCTAATAAAATTAATATTACTTACATGATAACAAAATTGCTTATGAAATAAGTTTCTAAAATGGCAGTGAATGAGTTCTGAGTTTGGTTCCAGTTAAGTAGACCACCCAGTCTTAAAAATATAAGCTAGACATTTTGCCAACAATTGAACACTTTTCCCTGCCGAGGAATGCACATAAATAAGTGTGTTAACACTTCTAAAATAGCTTAACTATTAAGTAATAGGGGTAAAGATGTAATAGTGTTTGTAAATACTTATTGTCACACAGTATGAATGAAGCCTATATAAGTTTTTTTTTGGCCCAAATATCTTGCTGATGTAAAGAGAATATATTTAGACTGCATATACTATGAGGACACATTACTGGAATTGTATAGTAACAGACTATTTTAGGTGGACATACTGGAATTCACACACCAGCCTGTAAACAGATCATTTACCCACACAGTCTGTATCATTTTACTGAGTTCATATTATCATCTTGATACTGGTTGGGCATTCAAGTCTGTCACTTCAAACGTCTGTTTGTGGTCATATAATAGTGACAGTCATTTGAAACACACTGGTCCAACCTCAAACCCAAATGCTTGGTGTGGTAATCCATAGTCTACTGGGTAGAAATCCACTATAGGTACATTGCCAAGCATCTTTGTTCGTACTTCAAAAACTGTTTCACTTTTGCTCTTCCGTGTCTGAAAGAATAAATTCCCATATATGTGAATATTCAAGTAGAAAATATAATGATATTACATAATACATTTTTGAGCTTGATATGTAGTGGCATGAAATTACCAGAACAGAAGGAAAATTGCATTTCTGAAATTCATTTAAATACTTAAAAATTTTCGTTTTACTGTTCCATAAAGGATGTAAATTAATGCTATGGGGGAAGCAAGTATATGTGCATGGATGCGTGAATTTTATATAAATGTAACTATAGTTAAAGTCTTAATTCTGTTCTCTAACTATAAGTAAAATTAAAGCTTTAAAATATTAGAATATATTGGAACCATTCATTTCCCCACCCTTTTGTTTTAGAATAGGAAAGTACTGATACTGTAATAGTGAAAAAATGAATAATTTAGATTTTGGTTGATATAGATAGGTGTTTCAGACATGTATAAAATGAAGTCAAACATCCCTGCATAATAAGTCGCGAAGTTTAGAGCTTAGGAATCAAAAGGTTTTGTCTGTTTGCATTTTATTCGGTATTACGCTTTGACCAAATAACTAAACACAGTAAACCACAATTTAACAGCCCCCTACCCCCATGTAGCCTTAGAACTGAAGTTGTTAGTTTTACACCTACTATAACAGATCTTCACTGATATTATTACTCATGAAGCCTGTATCAATGCATGACTTCAATTGTAAATTGTAAGTTAATGTTAAGTTTTTGCATATAACATTCAAGTCATTCAGGGTTACAGACAACCTTTCAAATGTACGCCTCATACTTCTCTTTTAATTCAAATTTATGGCATTAATTATCTTTGCCATACTGTAAAATTATTAAATAATGATAATTTTGGGAAATGTGCATATTGCAGTTTAGAGTACACCCTTCCACTTTTGTCCCAAATGACTCACCTTACATCCATCAACTAAAACACTTGGACTTGTTCCTTCTGCACTGAATTCAGTCTCATTCTCACCCAGCAACTTTATAGCCATGTCATGGTTGTTGGTCTTCAGGTTGAACCAAGCAGCTGAATTGATACATGTATATGTGAAATTTTGATATGCCTCTTGACTCAGCAGCCTTAGGAATGTCATCTGTACAACACCTATTGTTTCATATGTTATCTGAAACATTTTAATTGAAAATTTATCTAATAACATTGTATACAAAGAAAATCTGGTTACCTAAGTGTAAGTGGTATAATATTGTGATAACTGTTTTGTGTGTTGGTACTAACATACATGCACTCACATAAACTGTTCTCAGTCACTGTTCTAGTGAACTAACAACAGTGGTGTAATAAAGCAACAAATAAGTGAACTGTTGGGGTTTAATTAGAAAGGTACATTTTGTTTACAGAATATGCTGTTCTGCTGTTGAGGTATATGCAATTATTTGACATTAAGAGCAGTTTCATTTTTCATATTTTTCTCAGATGTGAATACTGAAGTACACCCAAATATGTATTTAGTTCTTTAAGTAAAGTGGAGCTTTAAATTAATGAAAGTGCTGTATATAAAGTTTCATCAAAATCTATCAAACACTCAAAATATGTATCATATAAAAAATTGCAATGAGTCCTTACGATGAACAAAACTAAATGAAGATCAGTTCGTTCGTCAGTAATCTGTCAGATGACAGGTCCACAGCCTCTTCCAAAACAGTTTCTCCACTTAATGCGATCTTCTGTTTTTGGAAAGAGACTCTCCAGGAAAAGTTATAATGTGGTAGTTTTTCCATTTGCTTTCCACATCGCAGTACAACAGCCGTTCAAACCACTCTGGTCACGCCTGTTGCTATACGAACTTGAACCATCTCGAGCATCATTTTCTCTGTGCTTCAAGTCGCCGCTGATGACGCTGCTTCCGGCATCAGTTTTCGGTGTCTCTCTTCGTCTGATGCCTACCCTTTGACCTGTCCAGCAAGGGAGGCCCTGCCAGTAGCTACGCTACCGCTGGTATAGCTCTCAGGGTCCTTGGCATACTCAAACACCCTCACCACGATAAGGTGGAGACACCAACGAGGGGAAGATCAGTACATCTTAAAAAAAGTAGTATAAATCTACCATACTGAATTTAATAGAAATTTATAGCCTCTTCCCCCCCCCACCCCCAGTGGGGTGGGACAAAGTTCCTTGTACTGTGGCCACTTCTGGCCTATTGTAACAGCCCCAGATGATATGTGAGGGTGATTGTGGAACAATTGGTGGAATGAAGATTGGCAGTGGAAACCTAAGTACTCTGAGAAAACCTGCCCCAGCGCCACTTTGTCCACCACAAATCCCTCTTTACCAGACCCGGGATCGAACCCGGGCAGCCGCAGTGGGAAGCCAGCGACTGACCGCTTGAGCTAGCTTAGTGTGAGAGCTATCATATGTAGACAGATGGTTGGACATGATGAAACTAATAGGTTCTGTGTAATCTTTTTTAACACAGCTGAAAAGAATGGAAAGTTATAGCGGAATGTTTTCTCTTTAAGACCAAGTATAGTGCAGTTGTGAGAGAATAACTAATTTTCTTGCAGTCAGTCAATGCTCATGATCATTTACATGTTTCTACCACTGTCTTAAATGAACAGACACTGCACTATACTGTTTCAAAAGCAAATGTTTGCATTATTTATAATGAAAACTTGCCCTAAGAATACAGTCATGTCTTTCTGACTCATAAAGTCACAATATATACAAAAATATCTCAGTGTTTAGCAATATAATTTGAGAATACAATGCTCTACTCTACTTATCAGTGTAATCTTTTATATAAAAGCCATGTTGATGTCTGTTTGAACTCATGGAGAATGCAGACTTATGAAAACAAACAGAAGACACTGTTACTCTCATTATCTGACAGATGGCATTAGCCATCAGACAGCCTTGAAGCATCATTTGATAACACACTTCAACAAATTATCATAGAAGGTATGTACATCTATTTGTGCTCACAGAGGATGCAAACCTCAAGGAAAATGTTAAAATAACGTAGTATGTAGCATCACTCATATTTGTTTTATTAATTTCCCATAACAGCATGTTTTGAACAATACATGTAATTAACCTAAGCTGTGTTAAGGTAAAGGAAGAGGAATTATGGATAGAGGAATAATTAGATAAATAAAAGGATGGGAAAGGAATGTGGGAGAAGGAGATAAACATACAATAGAACTGGTGCAATATATTTTATGTAACAAAATATGACAGCCTTGTAATTCTGGTGGAAGTATATAGACATAGTATATTTTCCGTAGCACATCTGGTTTCTGAAAATATTCATGAATTTTGTTGTGCATTTTTTAATTCCCTGAGTTTTCATATCATGGAGCATACATACTCTGAGATATTGGTATCAAAGTAAAACAAGAATTAATGAACCATGAGAAAAATGTGAAGAAAATTAAGAACTGGTAATTAAAATAGATTTAATGGTAATAATCAGATTATTTAGCCCAAATTATTAAGACATATTCAAAAAGTCAATAAAATTAAACCAGTTTATCTTGGACATACTCTCTGAAGGTTATGAAGTATCATGAATCCATAAAAAGAATACAAATCATCATCTGTAACAGAATGACAATATCAGGTTCTAATATGGAACAAACTACCAAAGAAGCTGAACATTATAGCCCTCATTACATTGCTTCATGAGCAGCAGTAACCATATCATATTGCAGAATAATCTTTGCTGTTTGGAATTTTCTTTAGTTATCTGAATGTTTAAATTACTTCCAGTTTTGAGTAGTTCAAAATAGTTTTAGATGTAACCTACTTCTTCCTACTTAAAATCCGTGATGTGAAATCCATACATGATATACGTGTTGAATGCAGTCTTTAAGAATCTGTCAGTGTTCAAGTAGACCCCTTGGAGTGTTCAGTCTTATACAGCTTATCTATTATTGGTGCATCACCGCAGTGTTTGTGTAGTTACATTATATGTCATGTATTAACTGCCATATTTTGCAGCCCAATTTTTTTGGACATCAGGTATATACAGCGGTTCTTACATTCTCTTTTTCTTTGGTCTACTAGTTCTCCCTACATTGGCCAATGTTTACAGAATGGGTGTATTTATTTTCAGTTTTTATGCTTTATGTAATGCCCTTTTTGTATGAGGTGAATTAAGTATTATTGAAGGCTTGTACTCCGACCACATGTCTCTGTGTCTCAGTTTGGCAAAATTAGGTGGTGTGCTCTGTGTTGTTGACATTTTGGAATTTGTTCCCTGTACAATCTGGTGCAGTTGTTCTAGTCATGTATTCTGCTGGTCTGTAGGTGTGCAATGTTTTGTTTCCTGCTTTCTTTTTATTCTTTTTGTTTATCTTTTTATAAGCAGTTTGGTGCTTGTATGAGTGATCTTGCAGATGGGCTGAAATACTTGTCTGTAGTAATTAATACATGATGTATAATGTAACTATATGAACACTGTAGTCACGGAACAGTAACAGATTTCACACATAACATGGTGCTGAAATATTTCAGTACCATGTTATGTGTGAAATTTGTTAATTACTACAGACAAGTATTTCAGCCCTTCTGCGAGATCACTCATACAAGCACCAAACTGCTTATAAAAAGATAAACAAAAAGAAAAACACAGAGCACACCACCTAAATTTGCCAAACCGAGATACAGAAACGTGGTCGGAGTACAAGCCTACTGATTTATATGAGTATAATACTAGGAGGAAAGATGATCTTCATGTACAACAATGTAACACATCTGTTTTTAAGAAAAGTGTTATTAATGTGGGCATTAAATTATATAATATACTTCCTTTGGAAGTTAAAAGTCAAAGGGATGTAATGAATTTAAACATAAATTAAAATTATTTTTATTTGATCGTCCTTTCTATACATTGAATGAGTTTCTTCAACAGGGACATGAGGAAGCATAGCAATGTTTTTTTAATTAACAAAAAAAGAGAAGAAAAGGGAATTGTAGTAGTTATTGTTATATTTTTAAAATTCTTAGTGATGTTGTAAGGCAAGTACAGTTTTATTTTTAGTCTAATACATTCTAGGATTATAGAGCTTTCAACAATGATGTATTTAGTGAGTTGACTTGTTCAAGTGTTGCAGTTGTAACAGTATGAATGCAAATAAATATGAATATGAATGAATAATACTTAATTCACCTCATACAAAAAGGGCATTACATAAAGCATAAAAACTGAAAATAAATACACTCATTCTGTAAACATTGGCCAATGTTATATTGCTTATGTGCAAGTTATTACTGTAAAATTTGTACTTACCCTAAACCCTCCTCGTAAATTTGAATACCAGTCATTCTTCTCTCCTTCCTTTCTCCAAGGGATGTTGGGCATATGACTGGAGTGCATGTCAGGGAATACACAGGTTTCACCACTCCCCGTGATATTACAATAAACAAACACAGCATCATCTGACATTCCCAAGTTAGGGTCAATCCAGTACCAACCTGCAATTAAATTCATGTGGTTTGGGTAAATGTTTAACTTAAGATGCATTCCAGCTGTGTACATAAAAATTATTGCATTACATAATAGTAAACTAGTTAGCCATCAAGATTAATGAGAATATCCTAAAAATTATTGCATTACATAATAGTAAACTAGTTAGCCATCAAGATTAATGAGAATATCCCAGTTCAGCACTGTATGTTCAAATAGATTGTACGTCACATCTTTTATCTTTCCATTTCCTCTAGGCTTCAGGCCTGTTGCACTTTGGAATTAATCTCTGAAAGTAAGAATCTGTTGGGCATTTGGTAGATCTCATTAGATGTGGGAATTGGCCCATCACAAAACTTATACCTACTCAGAACAATACAGACACAGAAGAAATTTGTGTAAAAACGTAAACATTAAAATATACAGAAGTAGTGTTTTACCTGTTGTTTTAAACTTGGAACGGAAATTTGCATAATGGGTTTTTTAATTCATGCTCTGCACCAAGTGTTATTAGGATGATTAAAATAGAGAGGACAAGAAAGGCGGAACAGTCAGTAAATAGGTCATAAATGGAAATAAAACAGCTGTAATGGACATAATAGGTTTTCTATGTGTAACACTCCATGTTATATGGGTAACTTGTCACAACGGCATGGCATGTCCTCAGGTTGTGGATAGAGGAGATGGCCTATGATTCAGTTAGGAGGGAAGCATTGTACAGTATTCTCATACAGAGTTTGGGGTACCCATGAAACTAGTTAGGCTGAATAAAATATGTTTAAATGAAACATATAGTAAAGTCCATATAGGTAAACATTTGTCTGATAGTTTTCCTATCCAGATTGGTCTAAAACAAGGAGATGCTTTATTGTCATTGCTTTTCAACTTTTCTTTAGAATATGCCATTAGGAAGGTCCAGGAAAACCAGGTGGGACTGAAATTAAATGGGACACATCAGCTTCTTGTCTACACTTGTGATGTGAATCTACTGGGTTATAATATAAATACCATAAAGAAACGCACATGAATTTTAATTGACGCTAGTAAGGATGTTGGTCTCAAAGTGAACACATAGAAAACTAAGCATATGTTGCCCTGTTGCCATCAGAATGCAGGGCAAAAATCATTATATAAAGATAGCTAAGAGATGTTTTGAAAATGCGGCACAGTGAAGATATTTGGGAATGACTATAACAATTCAAAACCTGATTTAGGAGGAAATTAAGAGGAGATTGAATTGAGATGCTGCTTGCTACCATTCAGTCCAGAACCTTCTGTCTTCTCATCTGATGTCTGAAAACAAAAATTAGAATATACAAAACTATAATCTTTCCTGTGGTTCTGTATGGGTGTGAAACTTGGTCTCTGACATTAAGGGAGAACATAGACTGAGGGTGTTTGAGAACAAGGTGCTGAGGAGAATATTTGAACTGAAGAACTGGAGCTCGGAGAGCATAATGAGGGACTTCTTAACTTTCATTTTTCACCAAGTATAATTAGAATGATCAAGTCAAGGAGGATTAGATGGGCAGGGCATGTAGCACGAAAGGGGACCTAAGAGGAATGCATATAGGATATCGGTGGGAAAGCCAGGAGGAAAGAGACCACCAGGAAGACCAAGACGTAGATGGATGGACAATATAAAAATGGATCTTAGAGAGATAGGATGTTATGGTATGGACTGGATCAGTGTGGCTTAGGATAGGGACCAGTGGAAGGCTCTTGTGAGCACAGTAATGAACCTTTGGGTTCAATAAAATGCTGGGAAGTTCTTGAGTAGCTGCACAATTGGCAGCTTCTCGAGAAGGGCTCAACTGCATGAGTGAGTGAATGATGTGTATCACTAGGTAGTAGCAGAGCCCAGCTTCATGACACCAAACTAAGCAAAACTGAGAGTAGCAGCCGAGGAATGTTACAGAGAATCAGGAAAACAAAGGAAGCAAGGTCTTTGAGTGATACTACAAACACAACAAAAAACCTTGGTTCCAGAGATTCAAGTTTCAAAGAAAATTATATCAGCTCAGTGAATAGGCTAAGAAGTGGCCATTATTGTCTAAAAGAGTGCCTTATTCGATTTATTTTATACGGAAATATGTGAATGTGGCAAAGCCAAAGAAACTATTAACCACAACTTATGACAGTGTAAATTATTTGAGGAATTTAGAGTGCATGTGATAAGATGACTTAATGTAACATAAAATATTTCCACCGTATTTTAGCGAACGCATTGTGCACTATATGGTACCAGAAGCAGGAATCCCAGCAGCGCGATTTATAAACAGTGTTAATAATAAAATATAACTACTTTAAGGATAATTCAAAGTTAAAGCCTTGATTTTATGCAAGAATGAGTATTCCACAACTGTATTTGCTGACAAGCTGGGCTTTATGGCTTAACAACACTTGTATCATTTTCTGCCAAATAAAAAGAAAACCATTGAGATAGACATGCATGTGCATGTTTAAAGGCTGGTTTCAGTAATCAAAATTGTGACCATGTTTGAGGAGTGAATTACCAAAGAGCAGCATTCTGTTCTATGTATGTGTTTTTTTGGGGGGGCGGGAAGAAGATTCTATGCAAAGGATATTCATAAACAAATGTTTCCTCTTTATGGTGTGAAGTGTTCGTCATGTAGAGTAGTTCACAACTGGGTCAAGAAATTCTCTCAAGGACATTCAAAAGTTGCAAATGATGCCCAACCAGGTCGCCCTGTTGAGATTGTGACAGGAGCAACTGTGCAGTGCATGGAAGAGTTGACAGAGCTGACAGGAAAATAATGATAGACAGTGTAGCAACTGCTACATTGTTTAGCATACAGCATAATGCTTCAGGATGCAGTTCACAATATCCAGGCCAACTGGCAAGAAGGGTACTGCTTCAGCATGACAATGCCAGACCCCATGCAGCCCAATTAACACAGGAGAGAATTCAAGGAGTACAGTGGAAACTTCTTGAACATCTGCCTTACAACCTGGACTTGGCCCTTGGTTACTTATCTTTGTTTGGTCCAATAAAAACCACTTTGGTGGCAAACATTTTGCTGATGATGAAGTTGAAATGGAGGTACGAAAACGGTGGAGACAAGAGTCAAAAGACTTATACACTGTGGGTTTTGAAGCACTGGTAAAGCGATGGGACAAGTGTATCAATGTTGGTGGAGGATATATTGAGAAATAGATGTTTTTTCCAGGTTCAAATATCACATGTTTTTCGTTTTATATCCATTTGTGACCTATTTACTGACAGAAAAGGAACTCTGCTAACTTAAGCACATTTGAGAAAGGAACATAGTTTTTGTTGAAGTGAGAGACAATTTCAACCCATCTTTGAGCTGGTAAAGTTTTGTTAGCAGCCTACTCAGAAACTTTTTCCCCAGTTACAGACATAGTCATCATACATTTCATTTTCAGCTAACTGAACAGATGGTACAATTTAATCACAAGAGATGAAATTCTCTTAATGTTTGCCCATGAAGTTGTTCTGTTCAAGGTTACCCAGCTATAGGTTTCCAGACCCTGAAAGTTTCTCTCAATCCAGTTCAAGTAACTCAAAGCAGTTTCACAGAATGATGGGGTAGTGACATGAAACTATTGTACCTCTTTGTGAGGTAGTTCACCTTCTGTTTCCAGTTTTTCAAGGATTTTCCTAACAGCTGAAGGAAGGAAACAGTCAAGTTTTCAACCCATTAATGCTATCAGTTACTTCAGATACAGTGACTCTGTCCCTGTACCTTTATCACACCAAGTCATATGATTAGAAGCGATTTCTAACTCATCTTGAAATTTTCAGCTGTATATATCAACTTTATTTGGCTCTATAGTTGTACTTCGAGTGGTATAAATATTATAAATAACGTAAACAGAACACAGTTTCAGCCATTAGAAACAGCACACAACCCTCTAAACTTATTCTTTTTATCTTAAAGATATAAAATCACTCAATGGACTTTCCAGCATTGAAATGTTGGCCAGATTCATATATTCTAAGCAATTGTGGCTACTCACCATCTTTAAATTGAGGATGTCCATAGAAGAGGTCTTTGCAACTCCTGACTGGATGTTCTCGTGTTCCGACAGGTTTCCTTATCCTGTCAAGATCCTGCCGCATTGTATAGATGGAGCTGTACATATCCAGGAACTTGCCTCCAAGATCTTCTTTCTGATCTCCTTTTTTAGTTTTGTTTTTCTTATTCACATCTTCAGCAACATTCTCTGTTATTTCTTCCCTGTAACATGAAATGTCACAATGGGTAGCAGTACAAACATGTTCATATTAGAAACACAGTACTAGTTCTGTCTTTGCCAACAGGAAGGCTGCTAGTATTTGGTTATGTCAAGGTTTATGGGGCACAGGGACACGCTTCTGTAGTTTTCCCCACTGTCCCCCATGCTTTCCCTCTAATATCTGACTCGGCTTATTCTTCAAATCTGAAGATGAAGGAAATACGAGTATGTTCCTCTGAAACATCAGTCCACTTTCAAGGACTATACGGCGTTAGATCCCAGAAGATAGTACTCTTTTTAGTGCCTATTGTTTTTCTGTTCACTAGGCCTATGTAATTTTGACTTGATTAAGATAACCAATGATTAGCTACATGCAAATTTAACGTTTGTTTATTATAAAGGAAGAGTTCATCATAACCTTAACTATTTAATTTGTAGTTCCTTCTGCTGAATGCATTGTTAAGTGTAACTGTATGCTTTACAGTCTTCTGTTGATTAATCGTGTGAGGGAATGAAGGTACTGCAAATTGTACAAAGCAAAGAAGACATAAAAATCTAGATTTTGATGAAAACCCAGGTTTGGCATACTTAGTACATGGATTTATTACTTATACTGAATGTTGTATTGTAGCATCCTGTTGCACATTGTTAATTAATTAGCAAATTACTCTGATGTTTTGGCTTACACGCAACACTTTTTAACAATTTTTATTTAAAAGTTAACTACATAGCAGGTCAAGGAAGCCAAGCCGTCTAAGACAGGGATCGTGGGTTCGTATCCCACACAAGGCATGGATGTTTGGTGTGTGTGTATGTGTTTAGGTAGAGACCTTGCAACAAGCTGATCGCTTATCCAAGGAGTCCTACCATCTGTAAAATGATCAAAAGGAAAAGACAACCTTGACACCCTAGGGTATAAGACGAACGGATTAAGTAAGCTAACTATATAATGCGTCTTTTAAACTTATTTTAAAAACCACATTGTCGAGTACATGTTTCTACCATCATTGGTCATGATCAGGTGTCTTCAAAATTGTTCTGTGGATACTGCTGTGCTGGCGTTTTCTCCTTCTAATGTAGGGTGAGTCACCCCCACACGTATCCGTGTTTTTCATGGTTTTGCAAGAGAAGACAATGTGGTTTTTAAAATTAGTTTAAAAGACGCATTATGTATATGTATAACTTATAAACAACAATTTTAAAAAGTGTTGCATGTAAGACGGAATATCAGTAACATTTGTTAATTAATTATATTTAATGTACTTGCATCTGAGTATCAGTATGTCGAGTGGACTCACTCTATATCTTTACACCTTGGAACACCAATGATGGTTTAGGTTATTATGTCCGAATTAGTTATTAATAATGCAATCACTATGTATTTTTGAAAGTCAACAAAGAATATTCAGCAAATGCAAATAACTGTGCTATGCAACCGTTTTCAAATTCAGCATTTTTCTTATGGGGCTGTCCGGCCCACGGTCACCTCAGGGTTGACCCACCTGGCCTCAACATTGTTATGATTCCATACACTCACTTCTCTACATTGAGAGCCCGCTTTCTACGTCCCCCATCGCGCTGAAACAAAAGTTCTGGGGGCAGCATTGGTGCTTCTCCTGGTGGACCTGGGGGGCCTGGTGGTCCTGCAGGTCCTTGCTCTCCCTTTGTCCCTGCCACACCCTCAGAACCTTTCGGTCCTGGTGGTCCTTCCAAGCCGGGTAATCCTGGTGGACCATCGCTACCCTTCTGTCCCTGAGGTCCTATTGGACCCTGTAACAATAGTAGAAAAATTGTTTGCCCTACAGTCCGTATACATGAATACATTTTGTTAGAATCAGCATGAGAGCCTCCTACAGTAGACACTGTAATAAGAAGTAGCCTGATCCCATCAGAATCAGCATTCTTTTTTGTACAATATATATAATTAAAGTTTTACTAACAATGGTTAATAAAACTGCCATGTTAAATATACATTATCGATTTTTAATTTACTTTAGAACTAATTGATTTATTAGCAAATTCTAATTGGTAGGCCTTATTTTGACATCATTGAAAATCCTAACTTTGGTACAAAGTTGATGTTCTACTCAGAATGCAGTTACCTGACATGTTCCTCTTTTGGTGCTGAGCTGTGATGACACATTATAAGAGATAATTGTAATATTTTGTGATATAATAATAATAATACAAATAGCAACAAGAACAACAATTAAAACTCAATGGAGCAGAACACCACTTGAGAAATCGTTCTTCACTCACTTATTCAGGAAATCTCCGCCTTTATATAACCAAAAGATTCATAAGGGTATTCACAGGAGCCCCCCCCCCCACGGGAAAATATTCTGATATAGATGAATCCATTGTACACTCTCTCTCACCTCATGACTCAAGGTACGCGGCTTCAAACCCGGCGGAGTTCGTGGAATTTTTAAGGGCGGAAAAATTCAGGGAACAAGTCCTCCGGGAGGGACTTTAAGCCGTGGGTCCCGTGTCGTAGATTTACGGCGCGTAAAAGATCCTTATATCTCTAGGAGACCTCTGAGCAAAATTAGGCAAAAAGTTTCCCGCCAAAGTAGTTTCAAATGCCTTCGGTAGATGGGGAAGCATCGGGAACCACTGCCAGCTTTGCTGGCTGAACGGGGCTGATAGCGAGCACCAGTACCGGCAGGGTATGGCGACTGGTAGAATATCAAAGGGGGACGTACAATAAACTATTAGTCGCGGTGCACATTAGTTTTCTAAGATTCACTTTAATATTTTCTCCCATGTATGCTTAGGTTTTCCAAGTGGTCCCTTCCCTTCAAGTTTTCCAATATTCCAATGTCTGACTCATCTCACCCTCCTTGATAAATGAGTATCTGGTGAATAGCAGACATTATGAACATTCTTATGTGGTTTTCTTCGTCCTTCTCTTTCTTTCGGGCTCTTTTGTACAAATATGCTACTCAGAATTTTGTTCTCAAAAACCGTCTATCTATATTCTTCCATTAAGGTGAGAGGACAAATGTCACACCCACATAAAACGAGGCACACAAATGCCATTAATTTTTAGGTGTTAGATAGGAAGCGGGAAGATAACATTTGAACTGAATATTTCCGAATTATCTATTCATAACTTGGTGAATAATGGGTAAACAAAAACAAACAAACTCCCTTATTTCAGCCCGCAAACGAACTATACCGACCGAGCGACCGCCGCTTGTCGGCGAAGTCAGTGCCGACTTTTGCGGATAGAGGGTGTCGCGTGGTCAGCGCAACGAATCTCCACGGCCGTTAATTTCGATTTTCTAGACCAGAGCCGTTATTTCCTTGAAATAGCTCCTCAATTATCATTACGAGGCTGAGTGGAACCAGTTTTAGACCCACTACTTCTCCGAAAAAATCTGGTAGCGCAGGGAATCGAACTCTGACCAATAGACCACAGAGGCTGTCGAATGATGGGTAAACAAATACGTAGCATAGAAGAAGTTGGAATTAAAAGAAGGCGATGATTCGCTGACTATTGGGTATATGTTAATAGCTGAGGATTTTGTCTAATTGTTGTTCTAATAAAAATTCTTTACACATTCAGAGAAAAGGTTATTAGTCTTTCAAGTAGGTATGTTAAAGTGGAAGTTCTTTGATTTAATATTATAAGAGGGGGTGTTAATAGAAATATCTGAAGTCATTGTACTGTAGAATATCATCAAAAGATTCCAGTAAACAAATGTGATTTGGAAATTTATCCAATCTGCAGCTGGACTTTGTGAAATAGATCTATAATTTCGAAAGTACGTCTTAAAGTATTGCTATAAAAGCGTAATTTTATATTTCAGTTTTTAATGGGACCTATAAGGGATTCAAGGTATACTTGTGCAAAACCTCCTTGAAATTCAGCTGGGAATAATTTCTTTCGTATTTTCATCCCTCACCCCTTCATTCTTTTTTTTTTTTTTTACACCTTTTGTTACTTTATTACTGTATCTTGATCCTTCAATCCTCCGGTAAAACAGCAATTCCTCAGGTCGCTCACTTTACGTGTAGAGTACCTAGTTGCCACCTGTGTTAAGTAGGTAAGGGGTACCACAGCATGAGAACTCCATAACTTGCTCACACAGATACCACTCACAGACCTACACAGTCATAAACTGTACCGGAATATACACATATATTACGGTATATGACCCATAAACCCATTAATTGTATTTGGAGAAAGAAGATTGGACCTAAGAAAGGTGAAGTGATGTTAGTTTGAAGAAAACTGCATAAGGAGGAGATTCATAACTTGTACTCTTCTCCAAGTATAATCAGAATGATCAAGTCAAGGAGGATGAGATGGGCAGGGCATGTAGCATGAATGGGGTCGAAGGGGAATGCATATAGGATATTGGTGGGAAAGCCATAAGGAAAGAGACCACTGGGAAGACCAAGACGTAGGTGGGTGGACAATATTAAAATGGATCATAGAGAGATGGGATGGTATGGATTGGATTGATCTGGTTCGGGATAGGGACCATTGGAGAACTCGTGTGAACACGGTAATGAACCTTCGGGTTCCATAAAATACTGTGAAAATCTTGAGTAGCTGCGTAATTGGTGCCTTCTCACGAAGGGCTCAGCTCCATGGAGTTAGTTATCCTAAAATCCGACTTCAATTATTCAGTTTGTACGTAGTTTCGTGTTTTATCTCCAACTGTCTATATATGACCAAAGATATGGAGTTAGGGAAATCATACTCCCCCTAAAAGTGGCTTTGTTGTCATTTATGTTTAGCGCTTTCATGCCAGAATATCTCCTTGTACGAGTATACAATGTTTCTCGATCTCTCCCGCGTACACTCGTAGGTCCTTATTTTACAATAAGTACACTCGTAGGTCAGGGATGAAGTGACAGGAAGTTGGAGAAAACTGCAAAATGTGGAGCTTCGTAACTTGTACTACTCTCCAAGTATAGTTAGAATGAACACGTCAAGGAGGATGAGGTGGGCAGGGTATGTAGCGCGAATGGGAGAGAAGATGAATGCATATAGGATATTGGTGGGAAAGCCCGAAGGAAAGAAACCACTGGGAAGACCAAGGCGTAGGTGAGTGAACAATATTAAAATGGATCTTAGAGAGATAGGATGGGATGGTATGGATTGGATTGATCTGGCTTAGGATAGGGACCAGTGGAGAGCTCTTGTGAACACGGTAATGAACCTTCGGGTTTCATAACATGCTTGGAGATTCTTGAGTAGATGCAGATTTGGCTACTTCTAAAGAAGGGCTCAGCTTCATAAGTAAGTAAGTAAGTACACTCGTAGGTCAGTACGTCAGCACACAAAATGATGAATTATTTTGTAGCTGTGCAAGTATAAGTGTATGCATAAATTATTTTCATATAATTTAGTTTTATATGAACAGTTATCCCCCTACTTACACGGTATTGACTTCAGTGAATTTTGAGTTAACGAGATCTTATAACTTTTTTAAATTTATATTGCTTACTTACGTGCTCATGGAGCTGAGTCCTTCTGGTGGAGCCGCCAATTCTGCAGCTACTCAAGAATTTCCCAGCATTTTATGAAACCCGAAGGTTCATTACCGTGTTTACAAGAGCCCTCCACTGGTCCCTATCCAGATCCAGATCAATCCAATCCATCCCATCCCATTCTATCTAAGATCAATTTTAATATTGTCCACCCACCTACTTCTTGGTATTGCAAATTCTGTTGCAAAGATGCATGGTTTGCAGGTATAGACTGAACTGGCTGTTATGGACACGGTACGGAACATTTGCGTTCCATAAAAACTGAGAATTTCTTAACCAGCTGAGAGACTTTGGGCTTTTCAAGAAAGATGAACTCTCTCCATTATATAATGGAGAGAGTTCGTATATCCAGCATATCCCGTGTTGGATTTGAGGTACTCACGTCGGTAACTGTAAGAAGAGTACGGTCTTCTTCGGAGAGAGCCTGACGTTTCGGGGAAACATATCGCCTTGGTCTTCAGGGAAGAAGAATGTTTCTTCCTTGGGTATCTCTTCGATGCTGAAGATCAAGACGATACATTCCTCCGAGATACAGTACGAGTATATGGCTATTTCCGAACTACAGCCCAGTAGACGGTACGCATCAATCTGCCCCTCTTCACACAGATGTACAGTGGTAAATTGATGAATTGTCAGGAAACTATAATTAAATATGGAAGATATGAATGCATGAATGTCACTTTAGAATTGAAGGATCTTACTCACAGGCTCTCCTTTAGGACCCTCGGGCCCTGTGGGACCCTTCATGCCACGCTCCCCCTTTTCTCCTGTGTCTCCCTTGTGTCCTGGTGTTCCCATATCTCCCCGGTGACCTTTAGGACCTCTTCGACCTCGGTCCCCTTTGGGCCCTTTTGGTCCTGGCTCTCCCATTTTCCCATGAAGGCCTTCGCTTCCAGCTTTACCAGGTGGTCCAACATCGCCCTAAATAAGAACAAGTTTATTATTACGTATTTTATAGTTGACAATATAGTTCCTTATTTTTACAGAGCTGAGATTTAAATAAGGGGTAACACTCGGTGGTCCTTACTATTGTTCTGGGTTCGCACTCTGATGTGAAATCTCCTTCGTGTACTTCTGACTTCCACGCAGTAAGCTCAAACCTGTTCCACGTTCGTAGATACCTTTTATTTTGTTTCCCTTTGGTTTGTAAGGAAATAAATGTTCTACGGGGTTGCCTATGTCATTGTGCTTAGGCCTACATTCAGTTAAAGTAGTTAAGCTTTTTTTTTTTTGTAATCGTCTATACTTCAGTTCAATGAATAGATCTAAATATGTCGCAACTTTAGTATATTTTGCTTTAGATTTTATTAGTTCTAATCAAAACGATTATTATATGTCACGTGTTATGTTTATTTTGATAAGAACGATCAATATCTGTCATGTAATATACGTATTCTGTCATAAACAGCGTTAATCATGGGATAAGTTTCGTTCGCTTTGAACGGTTAGTGTATGCCATGCGTTAAATTTGTTCTGTTATAAACGATTGGTGTATGCCACGTATTAAATTTCGTTTATGAAAGATTTGTGTCTATCTTATGTTCGGTGTATTCTGTGATGAATGGTTAATGTCTGTCTTGTGTTAGCATTCTTCTGTTGTGGATAATTAGTGCGGACATAATTTTTCCTCTGTTGTGAACGATTATAACATATCACGTACTAAGTTTCTTCTGTTATGAATCTGAAAGTAACTAACATTCTTGATCAGTATGACACAGAATTTAGTTCTGAATGCGTTATGATACGTACCGCAGGGCCAGGGGATCCCCTCAGACCCGGTGACCCCTGGGGTCCTGGAACCCCCTGAGGTCCTAACGGTCCTTGTAATCCTGGAGGTCCTGGTGGTCCTTTGTCCCCTTTTTCTCCAGGAGTGCCAGTACTCCCTTGCTGTCCTGCTGGACCTTCCGAACCCTGAGAAACATATCTCTTTTGCATATAAAACACATGAAATGTATGCAGGTTGTGTTCTACTGTGTGGTAATCTTCTATGGCATGATACACGTTTCAAGATATTGCATCAGTTGGTTCAGATATTATTATGGCGAATCAGACTCACGGACTCCTAAATTTAAAGATACGCTGTTCACGAAAATGTGACAAAATTATTGGAAGATATTATGGTGGTAACTTGATTATAAAAAAACAAATAAATTTATAAACTGCAATTATTTCACAGTGGTGTCATTCTTCGACAAAATAATATCATATTAAAATTATCGTTAAAATTTGTTATTTTTATTGTTTGCATCCTGTTGAGAGAATACAACTAATTTAGAAAATATCATTCGTTACAATTCAATAATTAATTTTGTATCTAAGAGCACCGGAAGATGACCCTTTAAGGGCCGAAACATGTAGTTTGGTTTAAATTGATGAACATTTATTGCGTTGACGGCTGAACTTGTAAAATTAATATTATAAGTAAAATATGTTATTTACAAAGCTACGAAAATATGCAATGCCTGAATCGTAGCCCACAGAATAGATAATGCCAATGAACGAACCACTTTGCCCGGCGGTCCAACGGGTCCCATCTTCCCCGGAGGCCCAGCCTCACCCGGTGGGCCTGCATCTCCTGGCCGTCCATCTGCGCCATCTTTTCCAGGCTCTCCCTTGGGTCCCACTAAGCCGGGTTCTCCTGCAGCTCCAGGGAAACCTGGAGGGCCAGGGCTGCCCTTTGGTCCTTCAGAACCCACGGAACCTCTTGGACCTGGAGGTCCCTGGACTCCAGGCTTACCTTCTTCTCCCTTAGGGCCCGGGGGACCTCGCTCACCCTGAAAGACAATTTTCTATGAATATCACACTGGACGCCAGAGAAAGTGATCGTGATGAACCATGATATTTACCAGGTCTTAAAATTCTTCATATCTTATTCTATTTAGTGTATTTCAGATCCATTTTTTTTTTACCTAGCATTGATACCTGTCTTCCGAGTGAGAAGCGTTGATGTCTAGGAATGAGGCACCAAGCTCAATATTACAATAACCAATAATCACTCAACCCAACTGATGTACGCTGCACAACTGGATAATGTAACTCACCCAAGCGGTGTCTGAATACAGAACGAGTTGCAAATGTGCCATCTAGTTGAGGCCAAAAGCACAAATGACTTCATTATCAGCGTGTGGCTCTAGACACTAACCAACGAACCACATTACCATATCAGTAAGGGCCAAGAACGCGATATAGAGCAATGCCAGTGCTCATACATCATTTAAATGTCCCAACACTTTCGACGTTTCACTCACATGTTTTCCGTCTATGCCGGTTGGTCCCGGTGGCCCAGGATTTCCGGGGTCTCCTTTCGGGCCTTGTAGACCTTCCGGACCAGGTGGTCCTGGAATTCCCTCTCCACCCTTACTTCCACGTGGCCCGGGTTCACCTGGCGCTCCAGCAGGACCTTCAGGACCTATTTGGATACCCATGCATTTCAAGTCAAGTATTCAGAAGTAGTTCCAATAAAGCACGCAAACTATAAGAGACTTATCCGTTACTAGATGACGTTCTTTTCTTTGGGGGGGGGGGTCTTAAAATAAACTGTGTGGAAATAGTGAAATTGCTGGTCTTTAATAAACAACTATTTTATGCATGTAAATATATATACAAGAGATTAATTTTATGCCATCGTATTTAATGAATTTTATGAACAGTCAACTGCACAGTAATCTGATGGCCACCGTTTACCTTTAGTATTGATAATTGCCTAGATTTATCCATCGTCTGATATAATACATAGAACACAGTGTTTCGGAACCTGGATCTGCTTCTATCCGCAGGTGAGGGGTGCTTACTCGGTTAGTTTGTATGTTCGAATGGGTTACCCCCTAACAAACACAAATAATACAAATGCAGGTAAATACAAAATGATAACACGCATCGCAACCATCCTACCCAACGGCTTGTGATGCGAGCAGCCTTACTTTACCAGCAAGCCAGATACCAAACCAAATTTTGAAGTGACCCAGCCGAAATGGAATTTCCAGTAACAATCCCTGCTAGTTGGTATTCGTCTTCTCCGGTCAACGTCGTCCGACAGACTGCACAGTTTAATTCCTACTTCACTAATTGCTCATGTATTGTTCTCTGTTTCATCTTTATTAATGTCATATTACCTCTTGAGAGGCATATTATCATGATCTACGACTCTTCGCAGGCTACATGTGAACAGCCTTAGGAAAAAGAAAACAACTGACTGATCCTAAAACCAACAGAGTGTAGACGATATAAATAATCAATCTTTACCTTTAAAATTCATGGTCATAATGAAAGCAATATATTTCCTCGTATTAAATCACAGTGTTGCTTACAAGAATTCAAAGAGATAGATGTTATTTGGGCTGTAGTAATAAGTTATTGGATTATTTTCCTTATTTTATTTTCTGCTGTATATTGTAATTGATTATGTATAAACATAGATTGTACATGATTACATACAAGTGACATCATGAAACTAAAATTATATATTTATCATGGTCTTTAAATTTTCAACACCTTCCAAATGAATTTCCGGATTCGGAAATGAGTTCTGCAATAGAAAATAAAATACATAATTAAATCAATCAAGCAGAGTCCGTCACAAGTTGCTGGTAATTTCTCCGCTTTTCTTATGGAAGTTTATTATTATCGTCCGAGGAATTCGCAATTGGACCCTGTTCTGAGCCAAGTTGAATCCAATCCACATTAATTCGTCCTCTTTCAACCAGATCCATTTTAACACCATCCTTGCCGCCTAGGTCTTCCAAGTTGTCTCTTCTTTTCAGGTTTTCTGACCAAAGTGCTGCAAGCATTTTCCATCTCCCTTATACATGTCACATATTCCATCCATCCATCTCATTCTCCTTGATTTCATCACTCTAATTATATTAATTATTATGATTAACATTAGCAGTAGTAGTAGCAGCAGCAGCAGTAGTAGTAGTAGTAGTAGTAGTAGTAGTAGTAGCGGTAGTAATAGTACAAATGTATAATAATTGGCGATGAGTACTAGTTACTAAGCTTGACATCGTGTACGTGACAACAAGTAACGTCATCATTTTAGTCCACGATAATTGGTGTTACATTTTTTAACCATGAATGAATGTATGAATGATTGTATAAGGGTTGGGCCTTCTTGGCCTTTGCACTGCAACCACAGCGATCTATTGTGCCTTTTTATAATCATACTATAGATCTTACTTACCCCTTGCTCCAACATCACCCATCTCGCCCTTCATTCCAGGAGGTCCTGGTATACCCTGCGGGCCAGCTGGTCCCGCAGGGCCCGCCACTCCAGCAGGGCCATCCTCTCCTTTCGTTCCTTGTCGCCCAATCTCTCCAGGAGGACCCTTTTCTCCGGGAGGTCCAAGAGCACCAGGCTCTCCTCTAGGACCTTGAGGTCCTGGAGGGCCGGGAGGTCCCTACAATGGAGATATCCTTTATGTTTAGTCAGTTATAACTGCGAAAGTCTTTAGCCATAAATCTTCGGCTTAGGCGAAGGGAAAGCAACAGTGACAGCCTGCACAACGACGAGGAAAGGGGGATTGTGCCGGGTGTACTAATGTCATATGGGGTTCTTTTATATCCCCACGAAATCAACAGATTCTCGAAGCACTAAAAAAGATGAAGACGGGTGCATTAAACTTCGCATCAAGTTATACTTACCATTTACAAATTTGTAAAAGTAACGCTGTTCCTGTACGGGTTATGTGGGCCTCATGGCCGGAGTGAATCTTGTGGAGAAGAAAATAATTCACTCTCCGTCCTCTTTTACCGCCTGGGGGATGATCCCTCGGTATACGCTTGATAATAGACTGGATGGCTTCAGGAGCGATTTGTATGTGGTGGCTGCAAGAAATATTCTTACTCTTGGGAACAGAACCCCGGTCGTCCAGCCCATAGCCAGGCACGTAATAGACTGAGAGCTTGTGACCTACTAAATTTGAATTATGTAAAGATTCTGTAAGATTGTCCGTGAGTTCTCTTACCGTTTCTCCTCTTGAACCTTTGAAGCCTTTCTCTCCCGGAGGTCCAGGGTCGCCTTTGTCTCCATCCTCTCCTGGAGATCCCATTGGACCTGGCGGTCCTGGGAGTCCTCGCTGTCCAGGCAGTCCGTCACGCCCCGTCCCTCCCGGGAGTCCAGTCTCACCCTGCACACGAACAATTTGTGAACACGATACAACTAAGTTTTGGTTAATGGTGCACTGGAATTCTGCCTTACATCAGTGCTGGAGAAACTACTGTGATCGCAAAAAAAAAAAAGACAAAATACATATCTAGATCTTGACTCAAATTTAAGTTTTGTGGCCCTTATTCTGTGTCTTTTATACCTACAGCTAGTCATATGTGACGTATACCAGATTCGATTTAGTGCCTGTCTTAACATCCCGGGAACATTAGTCTGATGGTATGAATCCTGTCCGAATTAATTATTTATAATGGAATTAATATGTATTTTGTTACCAATTAAGTATATTCAATCAACGTGAATAACTTACTACTATTTAATAGTTTTGAACTACAGATTTTTTTCTCTCCACGTTCTCTGTCCTATAGTTACACCGAAATAGACCTATCATGGCTTCCCCAGTAAGAAGGCTGCCAACCCCTGCTTTACATATGATAAACTTACCAGCACATTGGTTATTTATGTAGGTAAATAATCGAAGCATTGACTCTTAACTGAACTTATTAAGATTTATTATCCAAGGTTACAACAGACTTCTTTACTACCATAAACAAGGAACTCTTTAGTTTCAAACCTTCCGCAGTTCCTGCCCTTTATTAAAAATTATAATTTAATGTTTCTGATAATACTTCATTTCCTTTAGACATTTTAATATTCTTTCTATGTATTAACCACGTGGTAGTAAAGAACATCGTTCCAGCGTCTTCTTTGTCTTTCTCTAATTGCGCTCTGTAGGTCTGAAATTCTGTTCCACTTTTGTCACATGCCTTCTGCTGTTATACTTACACGGCCCTTCATGTCCCATGGGATTTTTCCGTATACCAGCAGTTTTTATCGTTGCCTGTGCATATACAGACAATGGCCTTAATAGTTTCACGATTGTTGCACCTGTTCTTATTCTCTGCCATTCCATCTCCATGTCTGACCACCGTATTTTACCATTGGTGTAAAATTTTATGTGAATTCAAATAGACCTATGTGTTCTTGGGCATAATTTTACCTAGGTACAGGTCGGTCTATTTGTAAATTATTCAGTGTATATATTTTACTTTACAAAACTATCACCGTTGTAATTGTCCCAAATTCTCTTAATATTCAAATTCACTTATTTTGTATACATTTTAATCTCCATCTGAAGCCAAATGGCAGGAGCATTCATGAAGCATTAATTAGAAGGATAGATCCTATATACATAAAATAGCTATATTATCTCAGCCTGTTATGTAAATCTGTAAAAGACTGTAACGCCGTATTTACCCTCTCTCCTTTAGCTCCAACAGGTCCTGGTGGCCCTTGGGGACCTTTCCTACCCTCGGGCCCTGGAGGTCCTTCTTTACCGGGTTCTCCCTGTTGTCCTTTATCTCCATGCGGCCCAAGAGGACCAATAGGACCCATGTCGCCCTTCAGACCTGGCATGCCCTGGAAAAAAATGTTTTGGAAGGAACAAAAATGTGCTTGGTCCTTTGCAAAGTTATTAGTATTAGAATAGTTTAGAAACATAAATTATTAATGCAATGCTAAGTATCAGCAAGGTCTGAAAGAGGTGAGATGGAGCCCGTGCCAGTTGAAAAATGTGGGGCCCAACTCCACTCCTAAAACAATATAAATATAGAAATACATTTAACAAATATTTTAAAAAATCAGATTTTATATTATTTATTGAAATAACCTTGAAATTATCTGAATAATATAGTTGCATACCGACTAAAATCAAGAATAATAAGTCAGAATTTGGTTGAAACGGAATCTCTACTGCCCCGATTCTTATTATAATCCTTAAAATTAATAAGAATATAATTTGAGCCCCCTAGGCTAGGGACCTGTGTCAAATGGCCTACTGCCCCCCTCCCCCACATACGCCGGCGTATCAGCACATATTTTGGTATATATCACAGAAATTACTATATTATACGTATTACATGTTATAACATTAAACAATTCTGTGTCTGTCACAGAATGTGTTTATGTGTTCATGTGATTTACAGAATAATCAGCGCTTATTTCCATGAATTGTACGTATAACTAGTAATAGAGTCTAATTGTGTTTTCTATGAGGCAGGAATAATATTTTTTATGTTTCATAGGTCAACTTCATGTTTCAAAATGTTAAAGACTTGTGAGGTAGTGAAACTCTGCGTATTCTTAATATAGGCACTAGATATAAATGGGTAATCAGGTTTAGGCTCCGGCCACTTTGCCCGCAAGGAAGGAGACCCTGATGAGTATCTGTTAGGTGACTGGATAGTCATCGGAGACCATGTGGACATAGTGGCGAAGAGAAAAATTCCTGTCACGCCTAGGAATTTAACCCTATCCGTCATTCTGAATTAAGTGAACTGCCGTATGTGACTGATAATTTTTTGTGGTTTGAATTAGTTTATTATGAAGTGTACTACTTTAAAAATTTAACGCTTACAAACGTGAGTATTCAATGGGAATTTTCTAAACTGAATATATGGCGCTCGGTTTGAAAATTACTGCTCTGAAAAGTGAAACGGAAATTAGCAGAATTATTTGTGTTTCGATCACTGCTGCATAGGACGAATAACATTTCATAGTGATTTACGATTTGAAGGTGCTTAATTATGTGTTTCATGTTTTGCTCTTTAAGAGCACTATATGCAACGGGCTACGGGCTGGACGGCACTGGTTCGATTGCAGGCAGTGCAAGATTTTTCTCTTCTCCACAGATTTCAGGTCGTTTCTAGGGCTCACCCAGTCTCCTATTCAATGGGTACCGGCAGCTCTTTCCCAGGGGGTAAAGCGGCCAGGGCGTGACGCTGACAAGTCACCTCCATCTAGTGCCCATGTCAAGAATGGTGGATATCTATCTCTGCGCCTCCATATGTCTTCATGGCATCGTGCATATCTAATAAAGCACAGGGACAACTTTATTTCAATAGCCTACATCATCTGCAGGGTATAGATGAGGCAAGATGTAATTGGGCCAGTTATGCTGAATAGACACAACTGCCATTCCACAGACTTTTTCGGCTTAAACATTCAGTGAGAAGTCGGTGCCCAAAATATGGACACGCAGGCATAATTGCTGTATGGGACTCAGACCCACTCTTCCCTCTCAGCTGACGCAGGTTTTATGACGTGTTCTGACGGGTTTGAGAGTAAAACGAGGATGCTGATCTGTACCTAGAGGTCGTGAGTTTAATATCCTTACCGGAAGTCCTGACAGGCCTCTCTCTCCTGGAAATCCTGGTAATCCCGGTCCACCAGGAGGTCCTGGTTTGCCTTGTGGACCTGCTGGTCCCGTCTGCCCCTCTTTACCTGCCTCTCCTGGGTGTCCAGGCTCTCCTGGATGACCAGGTTGACCTGGAGTTCCAGGTTCACCTACAGGACCAGGCTCACCAGTGGGGCCTGGTGGTCCAACAACCCCCGGCGCCCCTGCAGGCCCAATTGGACCTGGTTCTCCCTGCAATAAGAATGTTTTTATCAAAGTTATTCTTATTTTACTACATTCAGGTGAATCTAGAGACTGCTGGCTTTTTTTTTACTTTGTCCCTCGTCCTGTATTCTAAGGAACACTAAAGAACACGGCGTTTTGGAAACTGGATCTGTTTCCGTCCTCAGATGAGGTGGCAAACAACTACTCTGGTTGGTCAGTTAGAAAGAGCTAACCCCAATAACTGGATGATTGTGGTTGGGGTTAGCTCTTTCTAACGGACCCAACAGAGTATATGTCTACCACCTCACCTGAGGACGGAAGCAGAACCAGTTTCCGAAAAGTTATGTTCTTTAGAAGACAGGAAGTAAAGTAGTAACAAAGTAAAAAAAATCCAGTAATCCAGAGTGTCATACACCATTGTCAAAAATCTGTAGAATTTACTCGTTTTAAGGCGAATGCAAGCAGTCAGTAGAATTCTGAAGAGCATCGTCTTCATGAATGTAAGGCCTTGTAGATAGCTTTGCTTGCCTCGTACTTATAACTGGCTACTTTCTTAGCTTACACTTCGACTCTGACGATGAAGGCAATATGTACCTCCAAAATTTCGATGAACTTCTACCTGACTACACGGCGATACATTTGTCATCGCTGTGACCGCATTTAACACAGTATCCTATCCCCAGAGTAACTCGCGATTTCCACTGCTGAAAAGCAAATATTCCATTTCAAAATTTCGAGAGAAGACAGGAGACGTTATTTTTACTGTTAAATAACTAAGACAGGCTAAAAGTGAGATACGAAATTCCTTTAGCGTTTAATACAAAATTGTGTCCGTGATATAATCACTCCGACTCGTGCCGAAATTAAGTTATTATTATTTCTCATATTTTATCCTGCGGAGGAAGTATGAAAATGCAGATATCAGCAGAATATAAGATAGATATAAATATGGATTTTACCATAAAATTGAGAGCACATACCAATTTTTCTAAATTACTGTATCCACAACTGAATGTCAGAAATCTGAGTGGTATCCACTCTGAATTCTGTTGTCCCAGTAGACCTAGCGAGTAATTTGGCTCAAGCTGTAACTTTTCTTACTTGTTTTAGATAAGAAATAATCACAGCTTCATTAAGTAAACTAAAAATATAAAACAGACCTACCTTCACAGCACCAATTACAGCTTTGAATGCCTTGTCCGAATTAATAATTGATAATACTATTTTAAAGCATTTTGATATGTCTATTAAGTATGTTTAATAATGCAAAATATTGTCTACAGTTTTAACAGATTTATACTACATAATGTTTATTGCGAATCTGTCTGCTCCATGGTCACTTAGAAGTAGATGATTCCGACTGCAAGCAGAAACTGGTTTTCCATCGGTGGTTTTGGAGGTTAAACTTATATCTGAAGCTTTGTCTGTAGCAACACTGAATATTTTCAAACTACCTACGATAATAGACTTTATTTTCTCGTATGACGTTTTTTCTGAAGAGAAAATTTTGGTTGTGGTGACTAATTTTTACACTGTTGGATCATCTAGACATTTTGCAAACGTGAAATTTTAAATTAAAATTTATTATAAATGTTGATACTTTCTTTGGTGAACAAGGAATTCAGAATATCAACTGCGTAGAGAATTCTATATCTGTGGCATTATTTGTTTAATCCAATGGCTTTTCGAAAAGGAAACGGAAGTTTTCGCTCAGTACGGCTATTAATCGTGATTAATTTGGAAACAATAAACCTAACTCAGAATTACTGGATTTTTGGTCTTTGTCCGTCATCCGGTGTTGTAGAAACTAGAGGACACAACGTTTCGGAAACTGGATCAGTTTCTATCCTCAGGTGAGGATGGAAACAGATCCAGTTTTCTAAATGTCATGTTCTCCAGTTTCTAGAATATCAGACGATGTAGCAAGTCCAAGAACCCAGTCACAATCCTTTAGAATCTAACAACTCTAACACTAACACACGTATACACTATTAATGAAGCAGTAACATACGGAAGACTGTTAGTTCACCAATCCAGGTGTTCTAATGCCAAAATACATATTATTTACTTATATTTCGTTGAATTTGCTCTGCTTATACAGTTAGTCTTGTAAATACTTCACGAAACTGTAGGCGCCTTATCTTCTTTTGGATATCATGTCATTACCGGAGGTCCTCTTTCTCCAGGCGGCCCTTGTACTCCATCCTTTCCGTTGGTCCCTGGAGGTCCTTGTGGTCCAGAAAATCCTCGGGGTCCCTCAGGACCTTGAGGTCCTGTCTCACCTTGCGGTCCTGGTGGTCCTGGTTGTCCAGTATCACCCTGTATGACAAAAAATCTTCTCTATTCTAATACATGTTTTAAAATAGCAATTTTATTGAATGCAGTTTTAATAGTTAATTTATCTAAAAAGTAAGAACGTGCATTACTTTAGGTCCTGGGATTCCCTCGAGTCCTCTTCTGCCTCTGGAACCGCGAAACCCCTGCAAAAGACCACATTTGAATCAATCCAGGGACTGTTCATATTGAGATAATAAAGCAAAATACTGGTTCTTCAACACTGCCATCACGTACAGATTTATATGCCCATATTGTGTTGAAACCGTATTTTACGTGCTTTTTACTTCACGAGACGCTTTAAACAATCGATAACATTAGGTTATAAAAGATCACAAGGTAAGACTTAGAGGCCGTGGCAAAGCTCAGGTTTTTTTTTAATTCGCTTAGTGGGGGGTGGAGTCCTACTGGGTCCACTCGGCACGGCGGCCACTGATTGGCCTATTGTAGCCTGCCCCGGGTGATTATGATGATGGAGAATTTGGTGGAATGAAGCTTGGCAGGGGAAACCTAAGTACTCGGAGAAAACCAGCCCCAGCGCCACTCTGTCCACCACAAATCCCACTTGACCAGACCCGGGATCGAACCCGGGCCGCCGCTGTGGGAAGTCAGCGACTATCCGCATAAGCTATGGCGCGGCCTTAGTTCAGGTGGTTAGTCGCTGGCTTCCCACCCCGGCGACCCAGGTTCGAGCCCGGGTCAGGTCATGTGGGATTTTTGGTGGACAAAGTGGCACTTGGGCGGGTTTTCTCCGAGTACTTCGGTTTCCCCTGCCAATCTTTATTCCATCAGTCGCTCCACAATCACCATCATCTATCATCCGGGGCTGGTACAATAGGCCAGTAGTGGCCGCAGCACCAAGTGGACTTAGTCAGACGACAAAATGTATTGAGCAAAACGCAATTAAAATAAGATTCGGAATATTACAAGTGCGTCTTAATTTCATTTTGTGGGAAATGCAGTATGTATACATACTAAATTACCGTCATTCGGACAGAATTAAGATTATAACTGATCTCTATACTTCTGTCGGTAAGATCACATCGTAGGCTACTAGATGTCGCTATAGGCCTATCAGCTATTGGTATTACGATAAATATGGACGGTGACTAAAAAGTGTTCTTCTTGTTAAATTCGTTACAAGTTTTACTAAATGCCTGAGACAGTACCCCGTACGATATTTTACATGTCTATGTTAGGAGCAAGGGGAAATGTGTATTATTATCTTATATAATAGATACAGACCGGTCACGGTAGCCGGGTAATGTAAGGCATATACTGTCTTCCCTCACTCGGAAGCCGGAATCGTGGGTTCGAATCCCACTCAGGGCATGGATTTTTAGTGTTTGTGTTTGTGTGTGAGTGTGTATGTGCGTTTTTCAGTGTTTGTGTACAGGTGGAGGCCTTGCGACGAGCTAATCACCCGTCAAAGGAGTCCTACCGAATGTCTAAAATACAGTAAACCAAAGTGAAACGGAGAGTTTCATGAATGTAAGACAAGGCCCAAATTGGGGATGTAGCGCCAAAAAAATAAATAAATAATAATAATGATAGATACAATTATGAATTTAGCATAGTTTCACTCATTTACTCAATTGCCTTGATAATTGGCTTGGATTTAAACAAGTAATGAATGCTTGCCTAGAAATTAGCCTTAAAAATTATATACAGAAGTATCATTAAATTTATTTTACTTTTTTTCCCCCTTGGCACTACAGCCCCAGTGGGCCTAGGCCTACCTCCATGAAACTCGCCGTTTCACTTCGGTTTTACTAGATCTTGGACATACGGTAGGACTCCTTGGGCGGGTGATCAGTTCGTCGCAAGGACTCTACCTGTACACAAACAGAAAGTGGCACACAAACATCCATGCACTGAGTGGGATTCGAACCCACGATCCCGGCTTCCGAGCGAGGGAAGACAGTACATGCCTTAGACCGCTCCGTTACCGTGACCGGCTTATATTACATATAGAGAAGTTTATTTTAATTTACGGAAATGTATTCATAATATTTCGTTAAATATGTTTCTTTCATATCGGAAACCTGACTGCAGCTCCTGTATCTTAGGAGCTTGTATGAAAGCCGACCTTTCAGTTATCTCCATTTCCATCCGTCTGGTTGCTAGGCGAATGTAATTGGTTTTATTGTGCACAAATAATAAATGTCAATTTGATGCCCTTGCTTAGTAATCATTCATCATAGTAGAACATTCCTGAGCCGGAATAAGTAGCACGCCCATGCAGAGAAACCTGCTCTGGGATTTCGCGTCTGTTTACTGTTCGTGTTTACCTTGAGAATACGATTCTTGTTGGGTAGGTCCTATGAAGAAAAATATATAAAAAAGTAAAGCTATCCCTGTAACAGGGCGTGAAGGCCCATAGGGTTTTGAGACGTTGAGGGTCCCACATTATCTAGATTCTAGACAATCGGCTCAAAGATGGCGATAAGGTTGTTAGCCTTACGCTCCGGCCGCGTTTTTACTCCCCAGGAAAATTATTTAATTAATTCCTGGTACTCATTTCTGTTAAAGGCTGAGTCAACCCCATAGTGCGGCTGGAAGGGTTAGATCAATTGAAAAAAATCCAATGACCTCATCGTGACTTGAACCCACGACGACCTTCCGGCTACCAACTACGCTGCCGCGTGCCCCTAGAAAAATATATTCCCGCAATAAAACAGCCTGTTTTTTAAATTTCGCACAGACTCATAAAATTATAGTACACGATTTCTAATTACTTTAACACACAACTAAGTAGTCTAAAAATAAGCAAAAATGGAAGTATGTTACGTTAAAATTTACGGTATTGCTGTTGGATTACGCTGACATGTATTAAAGTCATTCTTACTCATTGACGTCACGTTTCCACCGCTTCTCTTATGAAGGAAACAGCGTGGAAAAGAATGGCTTTTGACTCAGCTTATGCACACAGGAATGAAACTAACAATTTTCCCATGGCTGTTTCTCTAAGGGGAAGAGTTTTGTGTTTACCACTTTCATCCATGACGGGCCATTTTGGAGATATATACAGTGGGATGGGCATAACGACAGACAGACATTTGGTTGATATATATATAAATAATACTGTCGTATTAATTAAGAACGTGGGGTATCCTTTTTATCAGCAGGAATATATACAGGGTGTAACTGAAAGGCGCGGACAAATTTTGGGCACGAATTCCACATATCAAAACAAAAAAATGAAACAATATTATATTTAAGCATCCTGTTGCACTCCATACGATAAATGATATAAACTCCGTCTCAAGTGCAAACAATATATTTGTGTCTTTGATCTTGCTCCCTACACTACATGTTTTGGCCTCAGACGGCCAGGTGTATAACACTCACGTCGCTGTCACACTGCACCCAATTCAAAATTTAACATCTAAAACACTCTCCCTGTCATTATCAACTTCTACTTCGTTGATAGCTGTCCACCCGTAGATTACTTCACACACGTTAATTTTGAGTTTATTGTAATAGCACCATAATAAAATCTTTAGTTCTAATTTTAAACCTTTAAATTCTTGTCCAAATTTTAAAATTTTAAAATTGTTAGGGTTATTAGCATTGTGTGGGCAGGGAATTTTACTGATTATTTGGAAGGCCCGTCATGATTTGCCACATCAGCTTACAGGCAACTTCTCACTTGATCTGCGAAAAGTACTAGAATATTTACCATTGGCAGTCAGAACACGAATATGGTACATGCAAAATGATGCTCCGACACATTCTTGGCGTGCTATGCGAGATGTTTTCAGTAACAGCTATCATGACTGATGGATAGGCTGAGGTAGACTAACTGCTTGGCTTTCACGCTCGCCAGATTTGAAGCCCCTGGATTTTTACCTGCCGAAACACTTAAGAACCCCTTGTGTAAGCAGCTCCGGGAACAACTAAGAACCCTTGTGTTTGCAGCTCCTGCTGACAATGAAGAGAGGCTTCATCATCGCATTGTTGATGCCTGTCAGACTACCCGCAACTGCCCAGCTTCTTGAACGGATTTGGCGGCCCATGATGAGACGTGTCGAGGCGTGCATTGAATTTCATTTTGAGCTCTTATTACAAAAGTACGATAATTGTAGAGCTATTTCAAGGAAATAGCGGCTCCGGCCTAGAAAACCAAAGTTAACGGCCGTGGGGATTCGTTGCGCTGATCACGCGACACCCTCTATCCTTTAAAGTTGGCACTAACTTCGCCGACAAGCGGCTGTCGCTCGGTCGGTATACTTCGCTTGCGGACTAAAACCCCGGAGTTTCTTTTATAAATATACTCTTTCAGCCATAACTCACAAATTAAATGTTTCCAGACACATGTTGATATGGACATATTTTCTTGTTTTAGTATGTGAAACTCGTGCCCAAAGTTTGTTCGCAAATTTCAATTATATTTTTTATGGTCATGAGACTGTCATAATAAACAAGGAATTTCATTATTTCAGTACATTCTCCCACACTTTCTTTAATGTTTTCTTTTTCATAGGAAATATATATTGTTTATTATTGTATTATTATTGTTTCTATATAATTCTGATATAAAGTGAACATACCCAAGTGATGGTAGAATAATTTAAATGAAACTATATCCGTATGAACGTGAGTAAGTAATTCTGTTTTTTTTTAGGCAGTTTATTTCACGAGAAGCCTGGCTGAATAATGGCACTGTCGTTAGTAACACATACATCAAAATGTTGCTCTTGTACTTTTCTTTTGTTTCGGAGTTCATTACTTCAACAAACTTACTTACCCTAGGACCTGTCTCTCCTCGTTCGCCTGGAAGTCCTGGATTCCCCTGCAAGAGTAAGAAACATTAGACACAATTAGGTCTAATCGATGTGGTTTTGTGAGAGAATAAGATTCTTGTCTTCCGTGGGGCAAGTAAATTTATATTTTTGCTGGCGAATTTATAAGTTGAGTTATGTAACTTTCATGTATATTTCCTGAGGTGTCAACACGTTCATGAATTAATAATTTCATAACTAACCATTTCGCTATGGAGCAATTTCTTCAGTTATCCTATAAAATATCCTGCAAAATATAGGCCTGTTTCTCCAAAATTCAATATTTATTTTAATAAAAGCTGTTTATTTAACTCATGAAAGGAAACTTTTGGTTATTACTGCATATCAAAATAAGAGCCATGCCATATTTTGGGCCCTCTACAAGTTCTTGTTAGTTTTATTTGAAGTTAATTTACATCTTTAACGTGCGGATTAATGTATGTTAAAATGTTGTTTAGAGAGTTATAGTTCCTCCAATCTACGAACCAGGGTACGTCATACTTCTCAGAGGCAACCGTACAGCACAAAGCGCCTACGTACAAATACTGGAAGTACACGGTGATTCTAAATTATTGACGACAGGAGCTAGTAACTTTCAGTTAATGATGTAATGATGTAGGCCACTAACTGACGATGATTCGCCCTCCTTCCCGTAGTAGCTGAAGTATACCAGTATCAAAATCATAATCACCGTTACATGGCACCCAACCAGGCCGTAAAGTAACAACCGGGATAGCGCAGTCGGTGTAGCGACTGGCTACGGGCTGGACGATCGAAGGGTCGGAAATTTGAGTCCTGGTGGGGGCAAGAATTTTCATTTCTTCATGTCATCCAGACCGGCTCTGGAGCCCACGCAGCCTCGTATGCAATGGTACCGGGGACTCTTTCCCCGGGAGCAAAGCGGCCGGGGCTTGAAGGCGACCATTCACCTCTAATTAGTGCCGAGGTCAAGAAAACGTGGGTATATACATCCGCTCCCCAATACGCCTTCATGGCTTTGTGTTTAACTAGTTAAGCACAGGGACAGCTTTACCTTTTACCTTTTTACCAGATCGTGAAGTTGAAGGAAAGCTGCTGCACGTGTTTATGTGGGGAAGCAGTGTTCATCAGTTACAAATTATTATTGATCTGAATTATCTTGCTATCATAACGACAACTAATTCTATACTTCAAGTTCTTTCATGTGTGTGCAGAAAAGTTGCACCTATGTTGACTATTATGGAAAATATTATAAGAAAAATTTGGATTTCCAACTAAAATTAATGTCAGCATATTGGACACACTTTTGTACAGTGTAAAGGAAAGGTTTTCAACATGCTAACATACTGTTCCGTGAAGTAAGGGGCAGTAAGACCATGCCATCGTTCAGGCTGTTAGACACCAGATTCCCAACGTGGCGGCCCGGCTTCGAGCCTAGCTCGGGTCATGTGGGATTTGTTGTGGACAAAGTGGCACCAGGGCAGGATTTCTCCGAGTACTTCGGTTTTCCTTACCAATTCTCATTCCACTGACTGCTCCACACTATTCATCTGTCGTCCGGTGCTGGTACAGTAGGCCAGTCAGTGGCCGACTTATCAAGTGGACGCAGTAAAGACTAAAGCCGACACTGGCAGCACGCAGAAGTGAGTGGCCCGCTTTATGCTCCCTCACTGAATACGGGGTTGGGAGAACAGTGGAGGCGGTTAGGAAGTGAAAGGCAAGAGAACAATCGTTTCCCTCGTGGAGAAACAGCCAGTAGCCAATCACTTTACTCACTTAGATATAATGGTCCATGAGGGAAAAATCCGTCGGGTAACGTGGAATCACAAACAGCAGACCGACTACGCAACAGTGCTGCAACATACTCACCCGGTCTCCCTTTTCTCCGGGGTGACCGCTCTTACCCTCCGATCCCTTGTCTCCTTTCTCTCCCGGTGGTCCCGGATAGCCGGCAAATCCCGGAATGCCCATCTTTCCCTTTTCACCTGGTTGTCCTGATGGTCCAGTCTCTCCTCGTGGTCCCTCAAATCCCTATGATAACCAACAGAACAATTCAGGACACAGGCATAAATGCGTCCATTGGAGCTCTGCAATGACATCAGTGGTAAAATAACGTACTGTTGATATAGAAACTTACAGAAATCTAATGTAATAAATTACAAGTCATAAAATCCTTACTTAATATAATAAACTCTCGCTAATCTGGAGTAATGGGTGGGGGGGGAGATCGACTGGATTAAGCCATAATCTGGATTAGTTAAGCAAAAGGTAGCACTAGGAGACAAAAAAAAATTAGAGCACAAATAAATGTACAATTTAATGATATAGGTAGTGTTGATGAAAAAAAAATATCACTGTAGAGCCTTTATTTAAAAACTATGAAAATACAATACATTTATTCATTGATAAAATGTATGTGTTCTATGATTACTCCTTTGCTGATAATTGTAAAAAGGCACTGAAAATGTAATTCAAAGGCTCAAATTTTTGGCACAATTATACAGTTTGACACATACCTTAGGCCCTTCTGGACCTTCCAGACCTGGTATGCCTAAGGGTCCACCAGGTCCACGCTCCCCTTTCATTCCGATGTCCCCTTTCTCACCATCGGCACCTCTGTCACCTTTATCCCCTTTGTCTCCTGTATTTCCTCTCTTCCCTTCGTCTCCTTTGACCCCTCGAGATCCTGGGAACCCTACAGGTCCTTGAGGTCCAGGAGATCCGATATCTCCTTTAGCACCAGGCATTCCAGAGTTTCCAGGGTGTCCCGGCGCTCCATCAGCTCCTGGAAGTCCAGGTATTCCAGGTTTCCCTTGTGGACCCTAGATACAAAATTATAATTTATATACTCGTATTGTACTAAAGAACAAAGCATATCCTAACATGGACTCTCGCTAAGTTGGAATTTCAATACGAAGTCATACTAAGCTAAAGGTAAAGGTAAAGGCGTTCCTGTGCTTAACTAATTAACACTGGGCCATGAAGGCGTATGGGGGCGTGGATGTATAGATCAACATTTTCTTGACCTCTGCACTAGGTGGAGGTGAGTGGTTAGCTTCATGCCCCGGCCGCTTTACCCCCGGTGAAAGAGCCCCCAGTGCCCATTGGATAGGAGGTTCGACAGACCCCAGAGCCTGTATGGGCGAAGTGGAGAAAGAAAATTCTTGACCCTACCGGGACTCGAACTCTAACCCCTCGGTCGTCTAGCCCGTAGCCAGTCGCTGTACCGACTACGCTATCCAGGCTCATACTAATATTAATTGAAATTCAAAATTTAAATAATGTAGTTTCAATTTTTTTTTTCATAGGTTGCATCCTGTTGTGTGTCACAGACAATATAGGAACTATATCTTTATTACTGTAATAACTTAAATATTTGTTGTGTTGACGGTAGCATAGTTCCTACATATTATGTAACGTATGTAGTTTCAGTAATCTCTTTAATGACAATATTGTGTTTACAGCAGCAGTTGATCTTCATCATCAGATGACTGAAAAAATAATGGCTATTTAAGTCACTTTTTAGTAAATTTAGCAGTTGGTAATCATACTACTCGTACGGTGCACATAAATTCCTTCATTCGAATAGCTGCAACGGTAGCAGTTGCCTTACAATCCGCAGACTTTACTATATGCTGTAAATGTTAAACCATGCCAGAGTTCGGAAATTATTATTGGTAATATTCATGCCCTATAATATATTACCGCTAATCCAGGAGGACCTAGTTGACCTTGAGGTCCAGGGGGACCTACAGGACCTACAGGACCAGCCTGACCAGGTTGTCCAGGTTGTCCTGGCGGTCCATTATTCCCCTTTGCTCCCACAGGACCCTCACTGCCTGGAATTCCTGGTGGACCAGGCAAGCCTGGAAATCCCCTTGGTCCGGGAAAACCACGCGGACCCTGTAACATCAGTCGTCAGATTCTCAACAATACCTAGGCCAGACGGGAGGATAACATTAAGATGGTTCTCGAAAGTAAGAGGGTAAGAGAGTGTGGACTGGATTAAATTGGTGTAGGATAGAGTCTATTTGCGGCTTCCTGTGAACATAATGATACATTTTTTATTTTCATAGGGAACAGGGAAGTGCTTGGCTAACAGAACGGGCATCCGCTTCTCCGTCTACTTAGTTGAAGAGCAAATTTACATTCATATGGTCTCTACCTTTTGCGTGAGCAGTGAACTTTATGGCCGCTAACACGTAGACTTGCTCCTCTGCTCTCAGCAAGTTTCCGCATCTCTAATCTTCGTAAGAACTCTTTGCCTCGTATATCCAATCGGCCAGATGGAAGTAATTCTATTTAAAAAGTAAACATTACTCAGCCCAAGTTAATACACACGTATTTGTAAACAGGTGTTAATAGAAGGGATAAACGCAGATGTAGGCCATATGTAATCCATAAAGTGAATTGTAGGTGAGAACTGTATAGGAAACTTGTAAAATATAATTATTATCATTGCGCGGAATATTTCGATCAGCTATTTCACACTTCAGACAATTTATTTTTAAGCTTTAAACTTTATTTCAACGTGGCTAAAGTAATATGTACTGAATGTTGATTGCAAAATGTTTTGGGAAGCATCATTTCCGATGACCGAGATTGGGCATGGGATGAGTAGTAGGATGGTAGGTTACGGTGTTGGTTGGCAAGGGATGCAGCTATCTCGGGTTCATGTCCAGTGCAGAGCTTTGGCATTAGCAGTGTTAAACCTTCAGGTTCTGCTACTTGCTTTTAGCTTGTGTGTTACATATCGTGGAGAAACGTTGGCTAGTCTGAACCAGCGACTTATTAAAAGGAATATTATTTTATTTTAGCAGAACTTTTCGAAAAAAATAGAAATATGAAAGTTTATGAGAAACATCTCCCCGTATGATACCATTTTCCCCATTCCTCTTGCTTCTCTATGCTCGTAGTTTGTAAGTTCATTGATCTATTCAATTTACAATCTATTATATCACATTTTTCTTAAAAAAATCCGTGACTTTAGTCCGCAAACTAACTATACCGACCGAGCGATCGCCGCTTGTCGGCGAAGTTAGTGCCAACTTTAGCGGATAGAGGGTGTCGCGTGGTCAGCGCAACGAATCCCCACGGCCGTTAATTTCGGTTTTTTAGACCGGAGCCGCTTCTTTTCCATTCAAGCAGCTCCTCAATTATCGTCACGAAGTTGAGTGAACCCCGTTCCAGACCCACTACTTCTCAGAAAATCTGGTAATCGCCGGTAATCGAACCCGGGGCCTCTGGCTCTGTAGCCAGAACTCTGAACATAGACCACATAGGCGGTCACATTTTTCTTACAGCAATACTTTTCGCAGACAGTGGACAGTGCCCGACATAATATTCGTACAACATGACTGCTTACAACGACCGTTATACTTGGAATATAAAATGTAGTACCTGCACAAGCTTGGAAGATATTTCCATTAATTATCATTTGTTCCATTAAGTGCAGATTAAACAAGTTTCAGGAACTAATTTTAACGACAACAAACGAAATGCCTCCCGATTTGAATACTGTATTGTCCAAGTATCTTCTTTGCAGTTACGAAAGGCACCTATCTTCCTATGTACGGTTTTGTCACTTCGAAGTACGTGCATCTTCCAAATATTGTGTGTTATTTGTGATGTTTGATGGGTGAATGAATCTACGAGTACGTTATCCAGAAACACTATATCAACTACAAATGCTATTTAGTGACGAATTATATGGTAGGGTGTTCACTTTGGGTGAACTTGAAAGAAATATGAAGAAAGTAATTATGACCCATTTCAAATTATTATCCCGGTCGTTCTTCTAAAGGGGCTGAGGAAAACAATAAAAACCTAAGCCAGAAAAGAAATATCCTACCCGAGATTCAAATGGCGTATCCCGAATTCAAGTGAGAAGCTTGTGACCCAACTTGCTTGGTTTTTGTGATTTCTAAATGCATTTTTCCATATGTATATATTCTGTGCAATTCTGAAGTACACTGTACTTCAGATACGCTTATCTGTGATCGGATTACCAATTTTTGTTGCATGGTTACTTACCAGTTCCCCCGGTAAGCCTGGTAAACCCGGTGGACCTTCTTCGCCCTGCATTCCATCGTGACCTGGAAGTCCTTGTTCACCTGAACTTCCTGTCAGACCTCTGTCTCCCTTTTCTCCTGGCAGACCTTTTATGCACAGGTGGAAATATATTTTTATTTCATTTCAGAGCTTTACAGTCAATTAATATTACTGGATGATGTTCATAGTCAGCTAGAGAAATGAAATAGTTTTCTCTCCCGGGATCTAAGTTACAGTGAACTACCATCGAAAGAAGCTCGGCGATTTTGTTTCTAAAATTTACACTTCTAACTTCCGCATTATTCTTACCAATCTTTAAGAGTACGTAACTAGAGACCTTTGTTCGCCTTTATTTCCCATAATCAGTAATACCACTACAGCGCCTGTCCGGACTTTTGAAGTAGGATTGGGACCAGCTGTACTGAGTACAGGATCCTGAATTTTATGTGACAGGCTCTCGAAAAATATGTTGCCAGTTTCTTTAAGACAATGTTTTGTATGATGATTATTCGGAAAGCAAAGTCCGTTTATTTTAGGCAACTATTGTAGGAGCAAGGGAGAGCTCGCGCATGCGAGGTGGCGTCATATGGCTCATTACCTCATAAACCATCACATAACTAGTGATCTAGTGTTTGTTCTTGTCTCTACAGAGTGAGTTACGATGTGTCCTGCGATTGATAATTCCGCCAGCTGCGAAATTCGCACGCTAAAAACGAGAGTGCTGCGGAAATCCATTGTGAATTATGCGCGGTTTACGGCCAAAATATAACGAGTGAAGGAACTATAAGACAATGGTATAGAATGTTCAAAGATGGGCGAAAAAATATTCATGATGAAGAGCGAAGTGGTCAGTCATCTGTAATGAGTGATGATCTTGTTCAAAGTGTTGACCAGAAAATTTGTGGAAAACGGCCCTTCGCAATGTCAGAACTTTCATGTGAATCTCCACAAATTTCAAGCACTGTTCTCTTATCTGTTGGATAAAAAGTAGTGGCAACACTGCTGTAATATGAAAGATGTGCGTCAGGTGACACTAGCGCCGTCTGTAGCTGTTAGCAGAAGTTCAGTTGAAGTAATGCAGTGAGTGGCTCTGGTTGTGTTTCATTGAGTGGCATTGTGCATCTTCTTGAAGTGCAGGAGCCCAGTTCACGCACCCTAACAACATGTTTACGAAACAAGAACAAGGCTCCTGGATAAAAATTGGATTTTTCAATTCACCTAATCCTTCCAGCTACATTGTGACCATGGGGTCGACTCAGCCTCTAACAGAAATGAGTACCATGAATCATCCTGCGGGGTAAAGGGCAGTCGGCGCTTAAGGCTNAATTAATGAAATTGTTTACAATTAGAGCGTGTTGCCGTATATGTGCATATATATGATAACAGACCGTCACAAATAAGGGAATATTAAATGTGGGTCACGCACAGATACATTCAGCAATCTGCCGGGAACCAACCTGCTAACCTGACGTAGCCTACACGAGACGTCATTTTGCCACGGTTCATTCCTGTTATTTCCTTGTTGCGGATTAAACCGTTTCAGCAGTTTGTACAGAAATGAGAGTAGAATAATTGGATAATCTGTGCATGGACTTGTTGATATTACTACAGGAATCAAATAGATGCTTTTGGTCGTTCCGCTTAATTCATTCATGTTTTACGGAAGCTTTTTCTTCCTGCCAAGTCATTCTGTAGTCATGATTAATGAATAAACTGTTATTTTATGTTGTATAAAAACCGCGTTTCATTACACGATCCACAGCTCTATTAGTTGCTATAGCGTTTTGAAACAGCTCAGTTAACAACAAGAACTTGAGAGAGATTACACTGAGAGGTTAGTCGACAATATCCACTCTAAAAAATATTTTCTAATAACGTAGAGCGTAACTATGGTAGGGAAAATTGCGAGAATACAATAAATAACGGAAAGCGAAGAAATAAAATTAGGAAGAAAACAAGAAAGGAAGGAATTCCTGGATTTATTCCAATATTCTTTACGTACCATACGCCTTCTTACTCATTGTATCGTTTCTCTCAGATAGCCTATGTCATCTGTGACATTCTGACTTATGAGATAACAGAATGTCTCAAAACGTGGCCCGACCTTAACAGGATGAGAAACTGAGAACAAACAAGAAACTCATCCTGTCCCAGGTACATTCATTACAATCGAAATTAATTCTACTTTCACAGATATTTAGAATTGAACCTCCAATATTAGTTATCGTTAATTAAAACTTCTATGTATCCACAGTCCGTCATTGATGCAACAATTGTTCCTTTTTTTTATTCCTCCAATTTCACCATTTAACACTTAACACAACATGTTTCGGCCATAGATGGCCATCTTCAGGTGTCTTAATGTATCGAAACTGCTCTTACGTGCGCTAAAATCACGTACCGCAGTCCACTTAAAAATAAAATAAAAATAATTAATTAAAATCCATTTAAATTTTCTATTAGAATTTTTCATTATTTTTGTAAAATCTTATTCCACTTCATAAGGGGCGTCGTCCACTTGTTTAGAGCTATGTGTACAGAATTAGTTATCATACCTGGCAGTCCCTGTACTCCTTGTTCTCCTTTTGCACCTGGTGGTCCAGTTACACCTCTTTCTCCGTCCCTTCCGGGACGACCTCGGCGTCCCTCTCGGCCCGGAAGTCCCATCATTCCTCGCAAACCACGAGGACCCTACCACAGTCATTTCCTATGATTTATTTCCAAAGCAAATTATTTGTGTGCTTAATGATTATGATGATATTAAGCTATGCAATGAGCTGTTAGTTTCCATTGTGTGAGTGAAGGATAAATTAGGCGATGTTCTCCCATGAATATAGGACATAAACTTGAATATCAGATCTCCTAATACGAATATGAGATAACCTTTATAATTGGCTCTTTTGTTGACGATGAACTTCATTGTATTAAGTATTACTTAAGTTACCATTTCATTTAGTCAACACAAAACAACTCCGCAGTGCAGAACACGAAGGCTGATGGTGTTTGCAACAACCAACACACCTGCCACATCATCATTCTCTTTCAACTTCAGTGCTCATTAAATTAATAATAATATGGAAACAATTTTGCAATTATCCAAGCACTCTTTTCTCTTTCTTATTCTTACTGCAATCTCGCACATTACATCGAATTATCTCTCTAGAACTTTGTTTACCAATTTACTACATTTTGTCTCGGACCATTTTAGACCCAGTGGTACTAATGGACTATTTGGTTTACGCTATGAACTTACTTACTTACTTATGGAGCTGAGCCCTTCTTGATGAGAAACCACTTCTGCAGCTACTCAAGTATTTCCCAGCATTCTATGGAACCAGAAGGTCCATTACCGTGTTCACAAGAGCCCTCCACTGGTCCCTATCCTGAGCCAGATAAATCCAATCCATATCATCCCATCCTATCTCTCTACGGTCCATTTAAGTATTGTCCACCCACCTACGCTTTGGTCTTCCCAGTGGTCTCTTTCCTCTTGGCTTTCCCACCAATATCCTTTATGCATTCCTCTTCTCACCATGCTACATGGCCTGCCTACCTCATCCCCCTTGACTTGATATTTCTAATTATACGTGGAGAAGACTACAAGTTATGAAGCTCCTCATTATGCAGTTTTCTACAACATTCTGTCACTTGATCCCTCTTTGGTCCAAATATTCTCCTCATCACCCTGTTCCCAAACACCCTCAGTGTTTACGCTATGAAAGTTTTATTTGTTTTATTTAACCATTTCCTGTTTTGTTCTTACCATATAAATAATCTGCTTGTTAATTTATTATTTATTGTGTCATAAGCATTATTCCTATTTTTCCTTTCCTTATCTGGGAATGTAATCTTAATTGTATTCCATTTTTTTAAACTTATCTCTATTCCCCTTATATTTCACTCCAGTTTATTCCAGAAATCAGTAATTTTAGTTCTCCACTAAATAATCGTGTTTTCTGAGAAAAATATCGTTCAATGAGAGGGTACTGAAATTCCTTTCGATTCTTAGCTGCACTGCCATCTACAAAGTCTGCGCTGCTATTACGATTAACTTCGCATGTAGGCTCTGTATTTGTAATACTTAATATACCCCTCTCTGTCTATCTATGACTCTAGAGCCCTTGTGGACCTTGACCGCTTTTTCAGTTTCTTAATCTATATACAGCCAGTAGGACTCCTTGGACGGGAGATCAGCTTGTTTCAAGACCGCTACCTACACACTGAACGACACAAACACAGAATAAATGCACAGAGACATCCATCCCTCTTGTTGGATTCGAACCCACGATCCCAGTGTTCAGGTGGACGAAGACGGTTCATGCTTTAGACCGCACGGCCACTGTGATCGGAAATATAACCATCAACGTAGTAGGTCTAGGTGGTTTATTTGTATTGAACATACAGCCGTGACCGGCTGTGACAGACTTAGTACCGAGACCAATATTTGCATATCAGAAGTATTATTAGTTTAACTATTTCTCAGTCTGAAGTTATTTACGTTTAAATATATGTGATTGTGAATTACTTAAGTCATTCAGCAATAAAAAAATTGAACTTCTACTTTCATTTGCCTAGTTTAATTACATATTTTCCGGAGTTAAAAACAGTTCTTTGGCTTGAATATGATTTGTAATAAATTCTTTATGACATTTTGGGTTGATATTTGAATTAACCTTTTGTTTCTTGTATCCAGTTCTACTTAGTTTTTCTTGATTTAAGAAATATTTACGTGTGCTCCTATGCATTAGACTCATATTAGATCAATGGATTTACATTTATTTCTTTAGCAGAATAAATTATTTCGCTAAACATAGGACTGTGTTATTCAGAATATTCGGTTTTAATCCCATATTTTCTCAAGCATATAATAAGAATATTTAACTGACGGATTCCTGAAACTTTCAGATGGTGATTATTATCATCTTACTGGTTCTCCGATGTCACCTGGTTCTCCTTTGAGGCCTTCAGGGCCGGGTGGACCTTCAGGCCCTGGTATTCCAGTTAGACCCATTGGTCCCTCACTGCCACGCATCGCCGACTACAAAAGTAAACCATAAGGTAAGAATCACTAAATAAGATCTTAAAAACTGTGACGATGTTACATTAGTACTAATATTATGTCTCTGGACATTATCCATCGTCCTGCTTCAATCCGAAACACCGACCTGTTTTTATTTAAAAATAGAACATTTCGGAGACTGGATTCCCCGGAGACAGGGACTAGGTCTATCAATTGGGCCCATCTGAGTAGGTTTTTCCTGAAGACGAAGACAGAATCCGGTCTCCGAAAAGTTTTGTTTTTGAATAGATAAAAACAAAACGATGGACAATATCAACAAATATTTGTAGAGTAAAAAAAGAGTCTGAATAGTAAGAAAATCGACACTGCCTCACATAATCCTATTTATTGTTTTTCTTTATGTCACTTTTCCTTGAATTTTCTCAGTTTCTATGAAGATGAGGACGGAAGCAATGACTGCTCTTCATATCGGGGTACACTTACTGTTGTGTTGTTTATACGTGTATGAATAGGCTGAAAAGAATTTCAGTCCAAATGGGAGCAACCATTAAAATAAACAGGAATATATTCGTTTTATATTCACACCCAGGAGTGTTGCTATTCGTGAAGGATGAACCTATGTCACAATATGTGTATTTAGAGATTTTATAGTGTTATATCACAGCAAATGATGATGGCCGATAGTGGCCAAAACATGTAGCAAAGCCACAGCTGTACGCTGACTTTGATGTTTTACTATTGCTGTGTTGTGACGGTTCATTAAAGAGTTGTATATTGTAGCACAGCAGGATGCATAAAATTAAGATTATATAGACATGGCATAAACAATGACAAGATTGGTTATTAATAATATCACAAGAAAATGAAAAAGAATTTCGCGATCAAATTCATGACTGACCGTTGGACTGACTTCCTTCTTAATGCGCGTCAGATTCATTGCTGTTGAGCTAAACCTCTTGGGATGCAACCTTTTAATTACGTTTGTCCTTCCATTTCAATGCGGAATACAATTATTAAAACAAACTGCAATTCTCTGACTAATCCCAAGGATTGAATTCTCTAAGATTTGTGTCAATTTAACGTCCATTAGTTATGGTCCGTCAATATTGCAACACTCTTCCATTCACCACTCAATATTACTTTAAAATTATACACCTTGACACTACATGTTTCGGCCCCAAACGGCCATCTTGCGATTGCATGTGATTTTAACACGAACTAAGACAGTGTATCAGTTTTAACATAATTTAACAAAATATTTGTAACATATCAAGACACCTGAAGATGGCCGTTTGGGGCCGAAACATATAGTGTCAAGGTGTATAATTAAACTAAAATTGAGCGGTGAATGGAAGTGTGTTGCAATATTGACGGACCATAAATACTGGACGTTAAGTTGAACAATTTCAACGGGATGCTAAAATATAGAATCATTTGTGTCAATGTCTGATTCATTATGGGCCTTCCATTTCTATGCTGGACGCCCGATATGCATATGATTTCGACACTTGGCTCTAGCCTCGTCTTCGGATTCTCTAATGTAGTTATTCAATCTTGAGATAAAAAAACAAACTCCGTCGCTTTAGTCCGTAAGCGAACTATACCGACCGAGCGACCGCCGCTTGTCGGCGAAGTTAGTGCCAACTTTAGCGGGTAGACGGTGTCGCGTGGTCAGCGCAACGAATCCCCACGGCCGTTAATTTCGGTTTTCTAGACCGAAGCAGCTACTTTTCCATTCAAGTAGCTCCTCAATTATCCTCACGAGGCTGAGTGGACCCCGTTCCAGACCCACAACTCCTCAGAAAATCTGGTAGCTCCG